ACTGATTCTGAAGCAGCCACTTTAATCACTTCTACTATTGACCACAGAGATCATTACTTCGTCATTGGTGCTACTAACCCAGAAGCCGGTGATTTATCATCCTTGATGGCTGAAGCTGAAGCTAAGGGTATCTACGGTGACAAATTAGCCGCCATTGAAGTTGAATGGACCAAGAAGGCTGGTTTGAAGTTGTTCCACGAAGCTGTCATTGACCAAATCAAGGCTGGTAACTACTCTAACAAGGATGCTTTAATCAAGAAGTTCACTGACAAGGTTAACCCATTATCTTTGACTTCCAACAAGGAAGCCAGAAAGTTCGCTAAGGAATTATTGGGTAAGGAAGTTTTCTTCGACTGGGAAGTCTCCAGAGCAAGAGAAGGTTACTACAGATACCAAGGTGGTACCCAATGTGCCGTTATGAGAGGTAGAGCTTTCGCTCCATATGCTGATTTAATCTGGATGGAATCTGCTTTACCAGACTACAACCAAGCAAAGGAATTTGCTGAAGGTGTCAAGGCTCAATGGCCAAACCAATGGTTAGCTTACAACTTGTCTCCATCTTTCAACTGGAACAAAGCAATGCCAGCTGATGAACAAGAAACTTACATTAAGAGATTAGGAAAGTTAGGTTACGTCTGGCAATTCATTACCTTAGCAGGTTTACATACCACCGCTTTAGCTGTTGACAACTTCTCCAGACAATACGCTGAAATTGGTATGAAGGCTTACGGACAAACTGTTCAAGATAAGGAAATTGAACAAGGTGTTGAAGTTGTTAAGCATCAAAAATGGTCCGGAGCTGAATACATCGATGGTTTGTTGAAGATGGTTACCGGTGGTATTTCATCTACTGCCGCTATGGGTGCTGGTGTCACTGAAGACCAATTCAAGCACTAGGTTTCATAAAATAGCATTTTCTTCCGGAAGGGAAATGTAGTCATTCTTCCAAACATGGATTGATGTATATTTATAAAAAAAAAAGTAATAAAATATGAATAAAATAGATTTCTGTAGTTTTTTGCTTACACATCAGGTTAAGCCGACCAAACCTCTCTCTGCCACGGACTCTTCTAACGATAATGCTACAATAGTGAAGAGAATACTTACTACAAATGAAATTCCTGCATATATGTATGTTTACCCCATCTCTTCTCGTATATTGAAAAATCTACAGCTCTGCAACAGCTTGTATGTTTTCTGGTATACTTCAGCCATGGGGTTTGTTGAAACCGGGAGATCTTCTAAAAGGCTAAAGAATGCTCCGAAAACTGTCTCTCGGAAGAGAATTTCAAAATCGAGACAAAATTCACCATCTTTGACGACAACTTCCTCTGGGGCTAGAAGTCGAGCACATACCTCTATACTTGAAAGGTTCCCTAAAGAAATCTTGTTTGAAATATTCTTACAGGTGGGATTAGAAGATAACTCATTACCATTGTTGAGCAAGTATTTCAATGGGCTTTTCAAAATAGACCTCACTCTCATTGGCGATTTTCTCAAAGCATACCAAGGTGGGCGGGATGCACCACAACCCGAAGCACCTGGCTTGGGCTTTTTGCTTCGATGTATAAACCATTACATAGATACTCATAACTATTCCAAAGGGCCCAGGTTTTCCCAGTTGAGGCGCAAACTAGAGAAATATAAGGCAAAGTATGAGTCTTCAGGAATAAGGAATGATAGTGTTGACTCTAGCGTCAAGGAACTGGAAACTTGGATCAACTGTTTCGAAAAGACACAATTGATCCCCTTAGAATTGTTTAAAAAACGATTCATAACTGAAGCAGTGGTAAAATGTCTACCTGATGGACAAGTCCGTGAGATTAAAGACATTCCTGAGTGGATGGAAATTAGAACAAGTTGCATTGCATCTTGTTTCAAAAACTTGCACGAAGCTTTGAAGAGAGCTTTGCCGGAGCGATCATCAGAAGAATTGGCAAACATTGCGCTGGAACAATTTGAGCAGCAACAGCAAGAACTGGAAACAGGTTCTGGTGTTGTGTCCGGACATGCTGATAGAAGTGAAGATGAGAAGGAATTGGTCGACTTCCCTAGTCGCTTTTATTCTGGCCAATTCACTGAAGAAAAGTTTAACTTGATCTCATACATGAGTATGAAGTATAAGTTTAGGTTCCGAGATGTAGACAAGGCGATGAGCTACTTTATCAGAGAGGTCCAGAATAAAGACTACAACTTGCAATGCTTAATATACTCCTTGATCGATAAAATAGCGGCACTCGAGGAATATACCGTCCAGCCTATAGTTGAAGCATTTGAAATTCTAAATAACCATGGTGAGCAATCAGACCAAGCTTCGTACTGGAAAATTATCAATGTTCTAGTTGAAGGTTACTATAAGGCTCATTCCAGTGATGTTAGAAGTGATCAGGATTTCCATGATGAAGAGCTATGGATATATTTGCGAGAAGCTGAGAGATTAGACTTTCTAGAGTTGGTGATTAAATACACGGGAGAAAGGGGCCATAGCAAGGCAGTAATGTTATAGCCGAACAAAACAAAGGTATAGAGAATCAATAAGCTGGTCTTTTTGAATATAATAAATGCGATACATATCTCTAATCTTATACAAAATCTTATATTCATTCTTTACTAATGGTTCGTAGAAGGTGTTACTTACTTCAAGTTCTATAACCTACTTATTATTTTCCTCATTTTATTTCCCTACTTGGTGCCATTCCAACTATTGATAGAGTTGCTGGTGTTGCTGTTGTTGCTGTTGTTGTTGGTGGTGGTGTTGTTGTTGTTGTTGCTGCTGCTGGTATGGATCACTCAAATGTTGTAATAAGGGATTTGGGTTGGAAATTTCGTGGAACCAGGGATGCTGCAAGGCTTGTCTTGCTGTAATTCTTGCATCTGGCCTCATTTGCAAAAGACTTGTCAATAAGTTCAATCCCATGGAATCTAAGTTGGGGATCATATTCCTCAAGTCTTGTGGGATGAAGATTTGCCAATTATTCTTAAAGTTGGGGAATTGTGAGATTCCAGGCCATGTTCTTTCATTTGGAGTCCCCATCAACCTGAAGATCTTAATCAACTGGTCATCGTTGGCAGTTCCTGGAAACAACGGCTTTCCTGTACACATTTCAGCGAATATACAACCTGCTGACCAAATGTCAATGGAGGTAGTGTAAGACTTGGATCCTAAGAGGACATCCGGTGCACGGTACCACAACGTCACCACCTCGTTGGAAAATGTGTTGAATGGAATTCCAAAGGCTCTTGCCAATCCAAAATCACCCAATTTCAACTCGCCTTTGGCATTTATCAATAAATTTTGAGGTTTCAAGTCACGGTGCAACACTCTATTGTCATGACAGAACATTATACCCTTCAACAATTGGAACATGAAGGACTTGACCAATTTTATGTCCAAAGCGCCCTGATTTCCGTGGGTCTCCATGTACTTCTTTAAGTCCTTGTCCATAAACTCAAAGACTAAGGTCAATTTGTTCTCCGTGTGAATGACATCGTACAAGGTGACAATATTTTCGTTGTCTAGCTCCTTCATGAGTGAAATTTCTCTTATGGCTGTGGATGGAGTACCTTCTTCCGAGTCAAGGTTGATTTCTTTAAGCGCTACAAGCGTACCGGTGGTACGGTTTCTACCCTTGTAGACTGTGGCATATGTACCTTCACCGAGCTTTTCAAGCTGTTGGAATCTAGAATGTTAGTACAAGGGCTGACTTCAGACAGAGAGAGAGAGAGAGAGGGGGCGAAAGAATGAGAAGATCAGATCAAATAGAGCAGAACAGAGCAGAACAGGTACCCTAAAGCTCCTGGAAGGTGGGACCTAGCTCCCTTAGCACGATATCTTCCACTAGCATTCACACCAAACGCCCCACTGGGCACCATGAAGGATTACTTGGCGCTTCCTCGTTAATTTCAGCTAAACACAGCGTTATTCACGTCGAAAGTACGTGAGATGGGGTGCTGAACTGTATGAGCAACTCGATCTCCCCTACCCTTACCCCCGCATGCATCCCAATGGTGACTCCAGTCTGCTTTGAAGGCTCTCAATCGACTCCTTTCGCGTCGCATACTTACTGTGATGATGATCCAGTCATTTCTTATTGCACTATAACCTCCTGAAGCAAATGAACTGTCAAAAAAACGGATCTATTAGCCTGCTTTCTACTTGTGCTCGTGGTGCTGAACTTCCAGCGCAGAAATTTGGGCTCAATTTTCATCAGCCTGGTTTGTTTATATGCAGGACGTACAGTGAGTACTGGGACCAAGAAAGTGTTGCAATTTGCAACTGTTACAAGAAGATGTTGGAAATGTTTAGATTAGCACTAAGTTATGGACATATAATTACAGATGGTATGTAGGAGATGACAAGATATGGAAGAGTGTGGGATTTTTTCAAAGAAAAGGGTGAAATTTTTAATGGTTTCTTGGGGACTTCTTCATGAGTGCCATAGTGTTCCCGACCCAACCCTCGGCTCCACCTTCTAGTGCTACCACGTCTAATACTCTAGTATCCCAGGCTTCCTGGGACTCTTCGTATTCTTTAGATATTCCTATTACTGCAGCATTCCTTGTACTAGGAATTCTAAGCATTTCTCTTTCAACTTTCCATCCCATTTGAAAAGCGATGTCTTCAACATGGTCCACTAAGCTTCCATAAGTGGAAGACGCTGGAGCAGATTTAGATTGTGGATTATGTGGTTGTGGGTGCTGCTGCTGCTGCTTCCTTGCCGAATACCTATATTTGGCTCCCAGCAATGCGTGTGAGCAGCATGGTATGACCAAGAAGGGGAATCCTAGCAAGGGTATCCAGCAGGTAAGCTCGTCAGAATGGTTTCCAATTATGAATGTGTTTGGTGCAAAGTCCTTGGTTGTGCATACCTGCGTCGATTCCAACAAATTAGTGGACGAGTAGTAGCTCACTAATGGAACCTTATTGGTGGCAGTGGATGGCTGCTCTGGGACCATGAATAGTCTGCCATTATCTGTCTGATGTGGAGCTAGTTTGGCAACTGCAGGATGAGGCTTGAGCAAGATTTGAGGAATAATAACTTGCTCCAATAAGTTGGCTTGAATATGTTTTGGGTATGTCAACCAGGACTTTCTTGCCCTTGCATCGATACCCTTCCCTCTATATCCCTCCATGTTCAAAATATAGACAAGGAGCCCATTCCCACATCCCAAGTCTCTGAATTCAAATGTCGAGGCTCCACCTTTATAGTGCTTGGCCCAAAGCTCTATGAGAAATGCCGCAATGGCCAAGTCTTCGAAGACATGCTTCTTTGGATCCGTCAGTTCCACCCACAGATTGACCAACGTTGAGGAATACTTCTTCTTCAAGCTGATATATCTATTTTGGAACAACTCCTTGGGTACCACCAAATCGTGGTTCACTCTTTTCTCATACCCATCTTTGGCACCCTGGGAGTGCTTCGTCGACGTCTGTAACAACCTCAAGGCGATTCTAATCGGTCTAGATGAGGAATCCAAAGACCTGAGGTCATCTGCATTCTCATCCTTAAAGGGGAAATAGTGAATTGACAACTTCGAATCATGAAGCAAAATCCCCACCGCATAAACCGGCGGGAGGTAAAATGGGATCTCATCGCTTGTCTTTATGTGAGGGATGTACACCACAAGGACAGACTCGTCTTCATCTCCAGTCAACAACAAACATGTCTGATTTATGATATGGTCCTTAAAGGGATTCCTTGGTATTATTCGCCGTACTACATCGGCTCTTTTTTGAAGCTTCACCGTTGAATCATCTATGGTGATACTTTTCAAAGCTACGTCTTCAAGGTATCTATGTAATACGCTCTCTCCACCTTCATTTTGCTCAAATTCTGGCATTTTTTGGGCTAGCTCACTCACTGATTGACTGTCCACCTCACCCTCCGAGGTATAAGCGATTTCACTAAGGATATCTGCTCTCATGATAACAGTGGAGTTGATATTAGGTTGTCTAATGAGATTAGTCATTGCAGTTTGGAAATTTTTTCCATCAAACTCCACAGGGGCCTCATATATTGGCACCCAAGGTTCACCCAATATGGATTTGCCCTGGCTCAACAACTCTGGCTCTTTATCTGACGATTTCATCACAGAGTTTTGGCTCCTAGTGAACCCTAGACACCTTCCCTTCAGTCGACTTTGAAAAATGCAGTTGCAGAGAGGTGATGAGGTATGTGTTACATGCAGGACATCACTTGGAGAGACTGAGAGACTGGGACTATAGTGCTGGTGCTATTCCTGTCACTCAACACTACGTGAACGGCATGAGAAGACCTCTGGCAGGGTAGTTGATTCCCCGTAAGTAAAATTCACCCTATGAGATATTGCTCTTAAGAAAACAAAATAAGAGGGAGAAAGTTGTAGAGGCTATATCTACAGTTACATCCTTGGGTGCAAATTTTTATTTCATATTTATTCTCCACTCTTTCTATATATCAATGAAGAAAGCATCGCTTACATCGGTTAGTTTATGCTTTTTGTAGCAATAATGGCACTTGAAGATCTCCGTTCCCTTTTTAGAAAGTTGTAGCACACTATCTCTGAGAGCTAAATGCTGGCAGAACTTCAAAACCACCACTTGACTAGCACGACTCAGTAGAGTTATTTGCAGATCTACTATTCTGTTGTCATACATGCTATCCGCATCACTATTCTTACTGATGTAGTCAAGATTCGCAACAGATACTGAATCGCTTAAATTGGGCAGCAACAGTTTCCTATCTATGCGTTTCCTCTTCCTATCAGCTATCATTTCCTCCGAGATGGTAATTGGTATCAATTGTTCTTTCGAAACAGGGCAAATAAAGATAGGGTGGAAATTGAATAGCTCGCTATTAGAATCTGGAAGTTGAAATGGCAATTCGTAACTATACGGTGCTACCCCGATACCATTGAACATGTGTGGCAAAGGCTTGCGCTTAGTGGATGGATCTTCGTCGTCATCATCCTCGTACTTAATTTCTGATTGCAACTGTTGTTGAGCAGCTCCCGCAACTCCAGCTCCCGATCCTAGTGTTGCTCTTCCTAATTTCTGCTGAATCTTACTGTACTTGTAGAAATTAGGGAGATTGTAGAATCCTGCTAGTATACTCTGGAAGAGTGAAGAATTGTTCAGCAATTTCATTTCCTTGCAGTACTCTGATATGAATTCATATGCAAGAAAGGTAAAAAGGGGTTGGTTTTTATGTATCGTTTGAAAGCTCACTAAGATTTCTTCCACGAACAGTGAAATCTGATCAGAGCGGTTCGTTTTCAATCCGGAGGATGCAGAAGAAGGCAAGGGTGGCGAGAGTCGTCCGGTGCCTCTTCTTTCGTTTGAACCAACACCTATGCTACCCTTCATCATGTTGAATAGATCTTCCAATTGGGGTTCTTCTTTGGATCCAGCACTTGCATTGGGATTTACAAAGCAAAGTAGCAAGATCATTTTGTCGAATTCATTGGTGTACTTCAGGTAAAACTTGGAGAAATGTTCAAGGGTATACATGTAAGCTTCAAAAGCACTTTCGAATTTGTACTGATCGAAACTGTTCAGGCTGGTACCATTACCATTCAATATGAGAGCATATTGAAGGATATGGAATTTGAACTCCAATTCCAAATTCTTCGAATACTCATTCGAATCCGTCAACGAAGCTTTGGATGCCAACCAATCTATAGCATCCTTAAGCTTGTGGTTTATAAGTATATCGTCGACAATCCTCTTCAACTCTTGGAAGGATGCCAATGTTCTTTGATCTATAAATGCAGCGTCATCATTATTAGCTGGTATTTTAGCTATCAAATCCTCTACAATCTCGGACTGGCATGTTTTGAGCAAGTGTAGCACTACAGCCTTGTTCAACTCATGGTAGTTGCTCGTAGCTGTCGTTATTGTAGCCATGCTGTTGATCTCCCCCTTGACAGGGATTTCGAAGTTGTTCAAGTTTAAAGGGTATGTGTAAGCGTCATCCAAATCAATTAAAAATTTAGGGTTATTTAGGATGTTCTTCAGGAACTTATTAATCAGCGTGTTGTACGTTTTAATGCTGGAGATGGAGTTCTTATACCATTCATTTGTCAATTTTTCTAGGGGACGAACTTTCACTGTAGACTCTGAGATAGTCTCATGTTCTTCGTTATGCAATTGTTGCTCTAGTTCCGCTTCAAAGCTCTTCAACTCGGCCACAAAGGAATCGGTCTCAGAAATCAAGCTGGTGAAGGTAGCATCTCCAGACACTTTAAAAATGCCAATTTCCTTATCCAAAGCACTCAATAAAGACATAGCTGTAGACAAAGTCGGCAGTACGTGCAGAATGAATGGTAAATAGGGACGAGAGATGGGCGTAAAGTATACTATAAAGATAACAATGCCAGTGGATACTTTCTGGAAATGTGTGGAGAGGTGATGATCTCTCCTTATCGGTTGCAGTGTGAGATTGTATGCAGGCATTTCTAATCAGGAATGATGGGGTAAGAATAGAGTAGAGAGTGGGAACACATACGGTAGGTGTGTTGCCTACAGCATGAGATGGAATGGAACTGGGGCATGAGAGTCGTAGTATTCTAGCTTAGTCTATATAAGGATATGAAAAAATGTGAATGCTATAATTTCTCTCTGTTTTGGGCATATAAGGTTCACCCCAATTAGATATCGAGCACTTGCTTTAGAAAACATCCGTATACTAATTGGGCTACTGTGGTGGCTGCTCTGGTGTTCTAGTAGCGCTGGTGCTGGTGATTTGGCCAGGTACGCGAGAGTAGGGAGATGTGGAGTATCATCTATGTAATTTCTTTATACGCTCATGGCGTGTTCTTATAGCATGCTGAACGTGGTGCAAGCAGTAGCTGGAATTTTTTGCGAATCTCGGAGTTGGATCACCTAGGGCAGATGGTACTTTCTCTATTTACTTCTGCTTTCTTCTTCTACGAGTGGGCAGCAACGTGTCCTGCGTATCCTGCGTGTCCTTCTTAGTGGCTTCTTACTGATAAGCTTATTATCTTCTTCTTGAAAACTGAATTTATAGTTCTCTGCCACGCATTTTAGAGCTCAACTGTGTGCATTTTCGTAGTACTACAGGTGGTGCTCTCCTCCCACTGGCGTCTCTATATATCTAAGTAGTCAGCCTTCACCAACAACTCAAGTGCCAAATGTGTAGGAATGTTGAACTCCGGTATGTTCCCTGTCACTGCCTCATCTTTGTACTTAAAATGATAATATAAATAGTCAACTATACACTCAAGAATATCCCCATCCATATCCAAGTTAATCTTACCAGTCTTGCCTTCTTCGAAGCCCTGTGTGCTTCTCAACATAGAAGAGATCAGAGCTACTTCTTTCAAGATAATGAACTTATGGTTATCGGCCGACACCAACGTAACGTAGTTTGACATATTCAGCTCGTTCCACGATTATACAGGTATTTCGGTCTACTAAGTTTCTTCTTCGGGTTTAACAAAAAGGTAGTAGCATTTTTTTTTCCACTATAATTTTTCAGTATGGGTTTGGTTTGTCCCAGCCCTGCACACACATATCATTATCACTTAACATTAACTATTACTCCAAGACATCAGCTTCATATTAGTTCCATTCTTCAGGTAAGTAGTCTGTGAGCCATGTTTAATCCTAGTCTAGGCTGGCAAAAGCTACAAGATGTGTATTATTTTCTTAGACCGTGCTACGAATCCCTCAATTGGTCTATCACAAACCTTTACCAAAATAATAATGTAAAGATATCTCCGCAATCAACATTGCTTGCCATTACGTCAAAACATGTACCGCATCCCACTATTATAGATATATATAGTATTTCCGGAGTGAAGCTTTGCTTCTTCGCTTATAATAGTCGTCCAGGAGACCATATTGTAGACTTTGCTTTCAAGGATGAGGACTTGGTTGTGGTGTTAAGTAGTTTAAAGTTTAGATACTATAAAGATTTCCAGGGCAATTTCAATGAGTACGAATTCACCAGTGATTTGATACATTTGGCTGATGTTAACGGAAACGTAGATGAAGATAAGCATGCTGAAGTAGAGGAGACAGAAATTCACTCAATTGATGAAGTATTGGAGGTGAAAGTGTTTGGGACTTTCTTGGTTATCAAGTTAGAAACTTCATTTATCATTACCGATTTGACCAACTTCAAGAACTACACAATTCCGTTCGATAAATTGTTTCAGTCTGCATCTTCTTCATCGCTTCATTTCTTCGACATACTTTCATTAACGCAGGATTCGTTGACCCTCCTTGTAAGTTACGATGTATCCATTTTCACCATCAAGATGGATCTACTTGTACAGGAATTTGAAGTGACCGACGAAGGTTTAACAGAGGGACCGTTCGATCAAATCTCAAGTTCTCCAAATGGAATGTTGGTTTCCTTGTATAATGCTAAAGAATCTAAGATTTTCGTCATCAACAGTAAATTTGACCAAGTACTTTTGGAATATGATACGTCCAATGAATTGTACAGTCCATATCAAGTTGGTTGGTGTGGGAATGATGCTATTATATTATCTTTACGTGATGAGATCAAATTGATTGGACCGGGCCAAAAATCGATTTCGTTTTATTACGATTTGGATGGCGATGATGACATGTTTGCTGATGGGTCCAAACAACAAGCCGATGATCTAGGATCTATAACTGTACCTATCCTTAAATCAGAAGTGGATGGATTGAAAATAATTACTTCTTCCAAAGTAGAGTTTATCTCAAGAGTGCCAGAAACAAGTCTTTCCTTATATCAGATTGGATCTTCCTCACCTTCTTCGATCTTATTAGATTGTATCGACAAACTTTCACAGCATTCTCCAAAGGCTGATACAAATATTTCATTATTAAAATCTGACAACTCTCTACAATTGGCAATGAACGAATGTCTTCAAGCATCTCTTGATGAATTTCAGCCATTCTGGCAGAAGAAATTACTAAGAGCAGTTTCGTTTGGAAAGGTGTATATTGACGATGGAAGCTATGACGCCGATGAATACCTTCAAATCGTATCATACTTGAAAGTCCTAAATCAGATTCGATCGCCTGACGTTGGTATCTTTATTACTTACAAAGAACTACTTCAAATAGGTTGGTCTGGGATAATTGACATGCTCCTCAAAAGAAATCTTCACTTTTTAGCTCTTAAAGTAATAGGTCTCATTAAGCAGGATGAGTTCATCGAAAAGGTATATATCCATTGGTGTTGCTACAAAATTACCAAAGAACTCAACATGAGTGATGTAGAACTATTTGCAATCATTGCTAAAAAGTTGAAAGAGTATGCAACGTCTTCGCAAGACCAGCAACATCTGAGGCTGCAGAAGCAAAAAATTTACAAGAATCTTATAAGCGTTGATGAAATTTCTGAAGTCTCATTCCAAGAGGGTAGAATTGAGCTTTGCAAGCTTCTAATCAATTTGGAACCTTCCATTTTGAAGAAGATCAACAGTTTCGTCATTTTGGGAGACTTGGAATTAGCGTTGATTAAGTCATTTCAAACTGGTGACTTTGACTTGTCTACATTAATATTATTACAACTTCAAGACTCTCTCTCTCCGGTCCAGTTTTTCAAGATCTTGAACCAAAATGAGCAAAAGGGTGGAGGAATTACCGATACATCATTGAATGAAATAAGTAACTATGATGATATCAAAGATTTTTTACATCTTTCTGACGATAAAAATCTATTTATCCATGGTGACTTAATCAGTAATTTTTGGATTGAAAGTATTGGAAAGGAAAACAATAATCTTCTCAAATCTTACTATGATATGGAAGACAAACAATTTCCAGCTAAAGAAGTTCTTCGAAAGGAGGAAAATCAAGAAATAAGTAAGAGAAGGCAGCTATTGACAAAATTTATCCACTCCTCCTCTACTCCTAAAAAGGATATCCCTGCTTATGAGTACGAGTTACACTTTCTAAATTTAAAAAGCAAATTGGTTGAAACGTACCAAGATGAATCTTTCTTAGAAGAAAAATCGATACTTTCTATCCTTACCAAGTTAGTATTAATGAATCAAATTAAGGCAGCTACCAAGATATCTCGTGAATTTAAAGTTAGTAAGGAAAAGTTTTGGTGGTTAGCGTTAGAAGTTCTAACAAAGGCAGAAAAGTTCGATACTTTGTACCAATTTATAACATCTTCATCAAGTTCACCTTCTTCTCTATCGGATCTAAAGTCCCCTATCGGATTTCAAGCAATTGTTGATAGATGTTTTGCCTTCAGCGCACCAGCTTCTCACCTTTCTGTATACATAAAAAATTGCACGAATATTCATTATACCGAGAAGATCAAATTACTTATCAAGAATAAGGATTTGTTGCTGGCTGCAGCAGAAGCCTACAGATTCAAGGATGTTGAATTTTTGCATGCAATTCAAGAAAAGGCAAACAGAGAGGGTAATGCACAAGTGGTGAATACTATTAAGACATACATAAGTAGACTAGGATATTAGCCGAATATTTACAATCTCCGATATTTAGCTCTTTAAGAAGGAGCCATTTTTGACAGTACCAGATGAGGCACCTTCTTCTCCTGTAAGCCAACCAGGCACCAACTCAGGATTAAGGATCATACTATCCCTTTCAGTAGTTTGTACTGAGAGTTCGTGTAGCCCAGCAAATACGTCACTCCCGGAAAGCTTTAGCACAATGCCGCTACTCTCTTCTTGTAGATCTAAAATTGTGTCTTGTAAAGTAAAATCGACATACTGTACTGGAGCGATGGAAGAGAATTCAGTGCGTTCCAGATTCTGGACTTCTTCGTATCCGTCGTTTACCTCCTCTCTATCTTCAATGTTATTGAAGGAAACAGCACCTCCAAACTTCTTACGTCTTTTCGAAATTGGCTTCACATCATCATAAAATCGGTCAGATTTGAATCTACCGTCTTCAGATCCTTTAAATCTCAAATTTGCAATCTTTTTCAATTTCTGCATTTCATCTTCCCCATTCTCAGCATCGTCCTGCAACGCCATTTCTTTCTCTATTAATTTATGACTTTCTACTTCATCTAATGGCAAAGCATCTACTGTTCCATCTGCGTATGGAGTCCACGCTCCCAAACTGCCCCCAAATCTCGAGTTACCCTTGAGGATGTGCATGGATTCCAATGACCTCACGGGCTTTTGATTTTCATCCGTTTGCAAGCTCAATATGTTAGTAGGATCTTGAGACAAATTTCTCTCTACCGCTTGTAGCACTATCTTGGAAACTACAGACTGACCTGGTGAATGGATGATGTGAGGTGAGTTCAACGGGATGGCTAGGAAATATGGCTTATGTGAAGTTATATGTGGGTTACTGTTATGTGAAGCCTTGGAAGACAAAGTCGAGGATGATATCGGCTGTAAGTCAAAGACTTGGATCCGTATAATTACCAAGGGATACGTCGGATGTCTGCACACGTATATATACGTCATGTACATTGTGTTCAAGTCCAGAGCAAGCTCGTTCAAGAACCGCTGAGGGTCCAACAGTATGGGGACTTCATTACCCAATCCACCTCTATCTTTCACAGTTGACAGAATCCAATAATATGCGTTCGGTCTATCTACAATTAGCTGGCAGTCAATTTGAGAGATCTGGAGTAAGTTCAATCCCTTAGTCCAGTACTCATATAAGAGCTTGTCTACGAGTTTACGTTTCACAGGGAGTCTCCATGCTGCTGCAGACGTGCTAGAATTGGAAGATCCAGCAGGTACAGAAGGTGGAGTATACGAATTCTTAATTTCCTGTATTATCCTCTTGTTCAACAACCTTTGGTTGTGCTTGTTTTTCTCATCACCTTCCAAGTGCGGTTGGGTATGTACTAGCCTGGGCCACAAGAGAGACAACTGCACTATCGAATTGGTGGGGAGCCGACTCAAAATGTTGCCTAGAACCTTTTTCAGTAAAACCGGTATATACGTATTGGGAAGAACATTCTTTCTCCTGCTATCTACGGTTATCTTCATGGAGCTATGTACCTCTGAACGCAGTCAAAAGTTCTCTTCATCATCTCTTCGTTTGTTTTTGTTTTCGGGCTTCCATGCGAAGAACAGTAAACAATGATTCCATGCGTGCATAGAAGGAAACCCTCTGATTGTGGTGTGTTCTGAAACTTTGCACAATATAAATCTGGCAGCCTGTCCGAGTGGTTAAGGAGAAAGATTAGAAATCTTTTGGGCTTTGCCCGCGCAGGTTCGAATCCTGCGGCTGTCGCCATTTTAATTTTTTGGTAAATTTGTCAAGTCTGGTCCGGGTAACAGGTACGGGCTTGTGTGCACTCCCCATCACTCGCACGCAAACTGAAAAAATTCGCATCTCTGTCCTGCATGCTGATTTTTTTAGGTAGCATAGGCGAAGAGCATCTCCTCATAGTGCAAACTGATATAGATACCTATAGTCCTGTCTAACTAAGAAGACTAAGCTTTAACTATCGAGCCTGGCATGTCATCTGCTGAAATATCAACCACTGAGAGTGTTCCGCAAGTCGACGCAACCGGAGCAGCTCATCCAAAGGAGCCATCATCTGAAGATGGGCTCGACCGTAAAACGTTGTTTGTGAGATCAGTTCCATTCGAAGCTACATCGGAAGAATTGTCCGAATATTTCTCCCAGTTCGCTCCAGTCAAGCATGCCGTCATTGTCAATGATGAAAATCAAAAGTCCCGTGGGTTTGGGTTTGTCTCCTTTACTATGGACGATGATACATTACTTGCACTTACCGAGGCCAAGACCACTAAATTTAAGGGAAGATTCTTAAGAGTTGACATAGCCAAGAGAAGAGACAGAAAGGCGGAGAGAGGTACCGGCGCCGGGATCTCCTCCGAGAACCCTAGAGAAAACAAGCAAGAGATTGTTGAAAAGAGAAGAGCCCGTTTAATCATCCGTAATTTGCCATGGTCCTGTAAGAAACCAGACGTGTTGAAGAAGATCTTCAGCAAGTACGGTGCCGTCTTCGATGCGTACATTCCAAAGAAGAAAGGTGGTCAAATGTGTGGGTTTGCCTTTGTCACCATGAAGAAGGATTCTGCTGCCAAAAAAGCAATTGAAGAGAGCGCAGGGTTGAAGATTGACGGTAGAGAAGTGGCTGTAGATTTGGCCATTGAGAAGAGTAAGTGGGAAGAAAGAGTAGTGGAAGATGAAGAAGAGGAAGATGATGAAGATGAAGAAGAAGAAGAAGACGTTGATGAAGAGAACGATGAGGAGAACGACGAAGAAAGCGAAGAAAAAGACGACGGATCTTTCGACAACTTGAATGAGATCAACACCGACGACGAAGTCGAAGATGACGATGCTGAATTGAAGATTGACGAAGAAGACGAAGAAGATGAAGAACCGGAAGTACCAAGAGTGAAGGCCAACAAGCAAGAAGCATTCTCCATTTTTGTCAGAAATATACCGTATGATGCAACTGCTGAGACTTTGAAAGAACATTTCGAAAGGTTTGGTACTGTTAAGTATGCCTTACCAGTCATTGACAAGGAATCAGGGTTAGCCAAGGGTTCAGCCTTCGTTGCCTTCACCGAAGAATCTGCATTTGCTGACTGTGTTGATAATGCTCCTACTGTGGCCTCTACTTCAATGTTGATTGCTGACGATGTTTCTCCAGACTACGTGTACGATGGACGTATCTTGTCCATTACTTCTACTGTGGACAGAGAATCTGCTTCTAGATTAGCAGAAAAGAACTCTGAAAAGAGAAAGGAGGCACTTGGAAAGGCTCCTGGTGAAAGAGATAAGCGTAACTTGTTCTTGTTGAACGAAGGTCGTATTACTGAGAACTCTAAGTTGGCTCAATTCATCTCTAGAACCGATTTGGAATTAAGAGAAAAGTCCTTCAAGTTGAGAGTACAACAATTAAACAAGAACCCTACTTTGCATTTATCATTGACGAGATTGGCTATTAGAAATCTCCCCAGAGCAATGAATGAGAAGGCATTGAAGGCATTGGGTCGTAAGTCCATTGTTCAGTTCGCTACTGAAGTCAAAGAAGAGAAGAGACAAGGGTTATCTAAGGAAGAATTGACTAGAAGTGTCAAGCATAAGCATGACACTGGTGAATTCCAGAAAGCAGGTGACGATAAGAAGAAGAAAACCAAACAATCCGGTGTCGTGAAGCAGGCTAAGGTTATTATGGAAGTCAAGGGTTCCGGAGAAATAGGGCGTAGTAGAGGCTATGGTTTCATTGAATTCAGAGATCACAAATGTGCCTTAATGGGTTTAAGATGGTTGAACGCACATGAAGTTACCATCCCCGAAATCTTGGAAGGTTTAACTGACGAAGAGAAAAAGATTGCTGAGTTTGAAGGGTTATCTAAAAGAAAGTTGATTGCAGAGTTTGCTATTGAGAATGCTCAAGTCATGAAAAGAAGAAGAGACAAGGTCTTCCAAGCAAGAAGCGACAATTCTGGAGAAAGATCATCGGAAAACAGGAACAATCACGACAGAAAGAGAAGAAGAGATGACAGGGATCAATCTGGTGATGCTAACAACAAGAAAAAGGCTAGAAAGGGAAGTTCCAAAAAGGGTAACATGAATAAGGGAGGAGCCGGTGCTGCTGGTTCTGCTACTAAGTCTTCCGCTCCTGCTAACCTGAATCCATCCGGTATGACTGACGAAATGAAAAAGCTTATCGGGATCAAACGTAAGAGAAGAAAGGGGAAGAACTAAACAGCAAATCACAAGTATTAAAAGAAAAGAGAATAGGAGTTTAGTATAACACAACGCATTGCATAAATAGAGCATATATATTTTAATAAATTGTCGGAACGGCTAGTCCTGATACCGTAAGCATCTTTTATCATTACTTTTTTATTAAATATTACTTTATAAATGGTATATAGGCAAAGAAGTTATGTTCTCCGCATTTAATGAAACAAATAAAAATATCATAAAAATCGTTAGCGTCGGTTGTGGTGGCAGTTTATGTACTCTGTTATAATCTTGAGCACTGCTATCGTTGCGCTTTCATTTTATTGCATTGCGCCATAGAGCAGCAGGGCGCTTCTAAATGTATTGGCTCTTCATCATCAGGCATTATTGTTGTAGTACATATTCTCTGCTTCTTTTGCTTAGAATATTCACCAATTGATGTGACTACAAGAAATAGTCACTCCTTTGTTGCTTAGTGGCATTGTTCTTTGCAGTAATATCTCCATCCTGTACCGCACTGAAAATCTTGAAGTGAGGATCCAAGTCCTCGTCAACTTGCATGACACTAGCAACATTACCGCATCTATAACAGTAATTCGGAGCAGACCAGACCGTAACAACATCCTTATCCTTGAAATGGTACTTAAAACCCTCCATAACTAGTTGATGCGCTCTTGCAATTAACTCTAAATTATTTATGTGGTTAAACTCTCTACTGACCTTCGAACCAAACAACCAACCAGCACCTCTTGGCGAGACGGCCCAAGTGTCAACGTTATCCGGATCGGACCATACCAAGTCACAGAACCCTCCTTCGTGGGGCACTTCTTGAGCTCTACTCAAAACTCTAATTTGATCTAACATTCTGATTTCTGGCGATAATCCACCGTGCACACAAAGAATCTTCCCATCTATTATGGCAGCCAAAGTTAAGAAATCGAACACCTGACAACAGTATTTCCAAACTGTGGTGGATCCGTATTTGGTAAGACACTCTTCGTAGAACCCATACACTTGGGTGATTTGTCTTGATTCATGGTTTCCTCTGACAAGAGTGATCCTGTGAGGGTATTTGACCTTGAGTACCATCAAAAGCGTGAATGTCTCCAAACTGAAGTATCCTCTGTCGACATAGTCCCCAAGAAAAATGTAATTGGTGTCGTTATCGTCCAGCGGCATTCCTCCAGATATACGGAACAACTCCAACAAGTCATGGAACTGCCCATGGATATCACCACAGACCGATACCGGAGATTGCACTGGTTGGATGTTGGATTCTTCCATAAGGAGTTCTTTCACCAACTCACATAGCTGTTTCATGTCTGATTCAGAAAGTGCGATGCATTTCTTGATCTGTTCTAGCCATTGATCGGGTCCTGACATGACTACTGTGTAATTATTATATGCAATTAGCTGTGGGTAAGGCGATAATCTCAAATTCAAGTGTGTTGTACCTTTTTGAATATACCTAAGTTGGATTTGTAATCGTACGCTGTATTTTAATCAACAGGCTAGGTTCAATGTTCTGGCACCAGGTTATTTTTATCCGAAGTTTAGCTGATTTTTTTTTCCTTTTAAGGCTTGCTTGGTGTTGGGTGGTTCACAATGATTTCCAAATACTTCCCAAAATCAAACTTTTATCTTCTTAATGGGTAAAGTTGATGGCAGTATCCCTCTCTGTTGCTCAGTTTTCTTTCTTTTTTTTTGGTTTTTGATGAAACTGGACTTTTTTTTCTCGATTGTATGCAGGACGTGATTGTAAGGCAGAGGGCCGGTGGAAGAGGGAGACAGTAGCACCAAAGGGCGGAGGGAAGAAGGGGAAAGGCAGGGAATCTGCCAGAAAGAGGATGGATTTCTACAAATCGGAGCTTCTTAGCCACCAAACACAGGTCAAAGAAGAGTAAAGAGACTTCGGTGAAGAAATCTCTTTGCAGCCCTTGCTTCTCGCTTGGGTTCTAGCCATCGTTCTACATGCACTCCTCTTCCTCAGCTGCACTTATAAGCACAGAAAACACTTTCCATTATTGGCCCGCACACGAAGAAATCCCACTAACGAGAACACAAGTGAATGATATGCAGGAACCTTTGCGGCTTTTTATCGAAGGTTTGCGGGCAGGCTACAGAGACGAACACGGAACCATTCACATGCTGGGCTTCAAGCGCTCAATTGGGAGTGATGGGAAGTTTTGATGCATTGGTATGAGCATGTTACGAATTTTTCTTTTCGGCGGTTTAGTCTTCTTTTCTTTTGTGGGATTTTTCGCCTTTTACGTACTGTGCTGCTCTCCTAAGAATGCCTGGTATTGAGGCTTTCTTAGTCACTTAGTCAACCTGGCTTACAAGTATCCTACCTTAGACTTATCTTTCTTTTGACTTATTTTGTATTTGTTTGTTTTATATATATATTTAACTCTACCCTTTTATTTTATTAATCTTTACTTTTTTGTTGATTATCCTACAATGACAACTTGGAACCCTTTTCTCTAACAGCTTCACCATACTTCTTGATTCTGATGGATTGAACTGCAATGAATCCTGAGGTGTCTTCTGGTGAGAATCCGGTCAATTCATCCATAGAGGATTCGGTTTCATCGTATAACTTTTCAGTGTCAGAGGATCTACCCAAAATGGTTAAAGATCCCTTGTAACAGCTGGCTCTAACGACACCGTTAACAGTCTTTTGAGATGGGTCGATCATAGATCTGACGTATTCACACTCTGGGGTGAAGTACATACCGTTGTACAATAACTTGGAGTAAGTGGTGGTAACGAATTGATCTCTGATGGCTCTAACTTCACGATCTAAAGTTAAACCTTCCAAATCAATGTGGGTAGATCTCAAGATGGTTAAACCTGGGGTTTCGTAACATCCTCTGGACTTGATACCGATGAATCTGTTTTCAACAATATCGATTCTACCGACACCGTTTCTTCTGGCTAAAGCGTTGGCTTCAATGAAGAGTTCAACTGGGTCAGTGATGGTCTTCTTACCGCCGTCAAGAATTAACTTGACTGGCAAACCCTTTTCAAAGACAACAGAGAAGTTTTCTGGGGTGTTTGGAGCGTCTTGTGGGTCGACAGTCAACTTCCACATATCTTTTGGTGGAGTGGTGTCTGGGTCTTCCAAGATACCGGCTTCGAAGGAGATGTGGGCCATGTTTTCGTCGGTGGACCATGGCTTGGCCTTGGTTTGAGTGACTTCAATGTTCTTGGAGGCAGCGTAATCCAAAAGATCCTTTCTTCCAGCAAATCTGTTGAAGAATTCAGGGTCTCTCCATGGAGCAATTACCTTAACGTCTGGCTTCAAGGCGTAGAAGGATAATTCGAATCTAACTTGATCGTTACCCTTACCAGTACAACCGTGAGAAACAGCGAAACATCCGTATTCTTCAGCAACCTTGATTTGGGCTTGAGCAATGACTGGTCTAGCCAACGAAGTACCCAACAAGTACACGTTTTCGTAGATAGCGTTGGTTTGGATGGCTGGGAAACAAACTTGTTCAACAAATTCCTTTCTGACATCAACGACAACGAACTTGGTAGCACCAATAGCGTAAGCCTTCTTTTCAGCAGCTTCGAAATCTTCTTCTTGACCAATGTTGGCTAAGAAAGCGATCACTTCATAACCTTCTTCCAATAACCAAGCTAAGATGACTGAGGTATCTAAACCACCAGAGTAAGCTAAACAGACCTTTCCCTTTGACATTGTGAAAAAATATGTGTAAAGTTTATAAAAAATTTAAACTGAGCAGAAGGAAAAGAGGAACAGGAAAGAAATTTTTCACTTTAGGTCGAAATCACCTCCCTTTATAGGAGTTTTTTTTTTTTTTTTCACTTTATGTGGGCAACATGGTAGGGGAACCAACGATAACGAAGCGCGGTTAATTTTTCAGTTGCCTGATTGGGCATGACTCATATATCACGTGAACTGTGTGGTTTTATGCGGGGTGTAAGGGTTTATCGAGATGAGGTGCTAGCCTGAACAGTGGTAGAGAAGAAAAAAAATAGCGAAAAAAATGGTAAAAAGGTAAAATGCAACATGAGATGGGAAACGAATAAAAGCATGATCAGCCATAGTAGAGGAGGAGAATTGCGGAGAGGGTTGGTCTGCGTAAATGTGTACCTAGATAGAAATGGAGCGGAGGGTTAAAGGGGAAAATAGCACATAAATTTGGTGAAATTATTGTCTTTTAGTATGTACTTCACTCTTGCTTGACATCTCTTCTCTATACTATTTTTTCACCCAAATTGTCTTTTCTGCGCATTAATTAAAGGTGAAAAATTTCCGTTTTTGCCTTAATAGTAGGCAAACTATGGCAGTATTGCAAATTTTCACGTTGCACAGGAGAAATATAGCACATGAAAACCGCACATTGGGCCTTTCTCCGCTAGCCTTTGCACTTTTCGTTTAAATATTCACACCCACTTTTGTTATGATATTGTAGGTCCTCTGATTAGCTTGAATATTCTACCACAGTTTTGGGCATTAGCTGTGTATAAACCCTCTGCAAAGAGGAGAGCCCTTTTTGCCGAAATGTCGGTGAATCAATGAATCCCACTCAATTGAGCTGAATCAAGTCGTAACAGCATCGTAAAATACCTTTAGCATATTTCACCTTTCACCGTGCCACCTGTTGGGTGCAACTCTACTCCGCTATTGAACTCACGCTCGATATTTCCCAGCATGGTGCCAGTGCCACCAACCAAAAAGACTACCACGATTTTTGGTTGAGTGCAGGAACACGCATTTATGAGACTACCCAAAAAAAAAAATCTGATTCATAGTCATCCAAAACCGAAACCACAAAAAAAAGTGATTCATGAGTCGCCCCAAAGCATCATTAACCGTTAACGTTATTCATACACTTCAAAAATTTTAAAACAAATGTCGAACGATTTAAACTCGAAACGGTTGGGAATAACATACCAAATCCGGACCAAGTTGAATTTCCTTGATGAGAGGCTCTGGAAACGATTTTCGGCGAGAAGACTCGAATTAATCGACACCTTAGAATTGAGCTCCAAGAAGGCATCTGAGCAAGAGGATGAAATTAGAAATGTGGCAGAAACTTTACGGAAGGAGTTTAACTATACTGAGGACTACTTCAATGACTTCGATAGGCTTGTACGAGCTGCCATCCAGAGTGTGCGAAGGAACAGAAAGAGATCGTACCGATCTAAGAAAGGCTCTGCGGTAACAATGCCTCTGGCTGCTGGAGCTACTGAAGCCTTACATGGAAGTGAGAGCCCAGAGTTTTCATCTAAAAGACATAAGATGTTTCTGGCATATCACGACATATCCCCGAGCTCAGGAACTTCTGTTTCACCTACAAATGAACTCGTTGTGCATACGGTCAATATGTCCTTGGGCCACGGCAATGTGCCAGATTCTGGGGCAAACTCATCGGTAGAGTCGACGTTAGGATTAGGAGTAGGTGATCACAAATCAAGCGTTGAGCCTGGCCATACAACTGGTGGGGAAAGCGACTTTTCGTCGGTTCAGAGGAATAAGTTCATATCAGAGATCTCTAGGTTAAATTCCGACTCTCAGGAGGAGACGATAAATTATCCTAGGTCAAGGAATTTCACAACTTTTGATCGCTCGAGAGGTGTCATAGATTCTATGATAACACCTAGAATAAGCCAAACACCTAGTAATGCTATGGCCACCAGCACCAATGCTGCCAAAAAGAATATGCATGATGATAAAGTGAGTGCTTCTATACCTGTTTTACCTCCCATTACCAACTTTCACTCGCACAAGGACCGTCTTTCTCACCCACCATCTCCATCTTCTGCTTTTTTCAATGGAAGTTATCAGGTCATCGGCAAACCATCATCTTCAGGCGTGGTCGACAAGTCACACTCTGCTACCCTTTTACTACTTAGTTTCATTGAAAGGTCTAAAACATGCTCAGAATCTACTGCATATCATAACACAGAAAATTTACAGATCTTAGGTAGAGCTGCCATGACTTGCGTTATATCGTTTTTATTCGAAAAGTCATTCTATATGTTAAACGCAACATCCATTGTGTACTTAAGGGACAAGTTATTGCAGGACCAATACTTGGCAAGAATATTTCGAGAATTGGATCCTAGTACGGTATCAAACATCGTAGCTTTAAATGATGAGACTGCGGTGGTGTCTCTCTGTACTTTGCTTGGAGGTTGTGTAAAAGATTTTGGATTCGATTCGATACTATTCGCCCTATGTGAAATAGTTTACCATCGAGTGATAAAGGAATATCCACTTATAGCTAAAAACGCTATTGAATTCAAAAGAGAACACAAGGAAGATTTGACTCCTCGGAGCGACCCTCAAGATTCTGATGAAGACATGAGCCAAAAGGATAGTAAAGACATATATGATGGTCTTTCCCAATTAAACTCCTTGGCTGCTATTGCAACGGATATTCAATCTCAAGAAAAGAAACTACAAGAAGATAGGAATAGATACTCTGATCCCCTTAACAAGAAGGTCACTTTAAAATTCTTAACCTCAGTCTTGGAGTTTACTTATCCTGCTGGTAATTCTGCATATCCAAGGCTAGTTGAAATGATTGAAAACGGAAAGGCTGCATTCAAGCTTCCTATGGATAACGATTCTTTAGCATTCAGCTTGAAAAATGCTCAAGATGGAAGTCCAATAGGTTCAGATCTTGACTTAGAAAAGATTTTTAAGAATTCAAATCTAATTGAGTTGGAGATGTTTGTACGTAGAGCAAAAGATATTCCAATAAGCGAGCTTACATCTACTGTGTTGCCCACTGGTGGGCCACCAAAAGTACTACTTCCTCCTCCTTTTGGTGCAAGAACATCTCCATTGTCCAGTCTGAGGATCAATGGAGGAGTAGCACCACTTAATCCAATCCCAATGGGTGGTTTCAAGTTTTTGTCGAATTTGGAAGATTCCCCACTTCCTCCACCGGTATTACCTAAGTTTCAACCATTATTATAAAGTGACACTTAATTTAGTACAGCTTACATATTTCCTTAGTAAAAATTATTAGATTATGGTAAATTTAGAAATATCATTAAATGTAAAGAATGAAAAATATACATGTGAAAGATATAATTTAAGCGGAGAAGAGATGGAAAGGAGGCTATGAAGACAATCCCATTGATCGAAAAGAGTCAACCAATTCACGGGCCTTCTGATCATCATTTTCTCCTCCACTTTCCTTTTCTTTTTTAGTATCTTTTGACTTCGATTTTGTTGCGACCTTCAGAGAAGATGGTAAACTCGCATCTGGAAGCTGTTGGCTAGTACTTGGTCTCAAATTGAGTTGAGAATCTGTATTTAATGGCAGTTCCGTCTTTGAGGAGATGCTTTTAAAAATCTCTGGAGCTTGAAGAGGAGGAGGCATCTCTTGATCAACATATTCACTCTGAGGTGAAACACTGCCATCTGGTGATAGTGAATAAGCTTGAGGAGCAGGAATGTTGGGACCTGGTATCTGTGGCATATTGACTGGAATAGGAGGTACTGGAGGCGGCACTGTAGAACCTATAATTCCTTGGTTGTTATAATAGACCCCTGGATTATACATCATAGGCATTTGAACATGTGGTGACGCTGAACTTCCTCCTGAAGAATACGCTGCTGCAGCAGCTCTGCCGTAGTAAAACTTTTGCTGAAACAGATTCCTTTCGAATGCTAAATTACTCAAGACAATCGACTTTGGAATTCCGTTAGGCCCAAACGGATTCCCATTCATATGATTATTAGACATATTGTGCATATGCATATTGTTCATGTTATTTTTAGAATAGGGATATAACTGTTGAAGTAGGTAATTATTAAAATCAGGAAATTTATCAAATCGTACCGTTAACTTCCTGCCTTCGAACTCAACATCATCGAAGTATTTGATCAACTTTTCTGATGATTCTTGATCTCCTGTAGTGACAATGGCAAATCCTCTGCTCATACCTCTTCCATTACTCCCAGAACCACCGCTGCCACCGCCGACACCTCCATGAATAATATCTTGCCTCTGCTTGACCTCGTTATCCAAGTAAAAGTCATTCCCCCCATATGCACTTTTCGTACTTGTTTGAGGTTGCATAGGAATTTCTACTCTTAAGATTTCGATATTGTTATCTGGTTCAATTTCTTCCGATTTGGAAACCAAGAAATTTTTCAAAGCTGGCCAAGTAGAAGTGAATGGGATGTTACCAACAAAAAGCCTCTTTGGATTAACTTTAACGGTTTGTCCTTCTTCATTGGTGACATATATGGCTTCGCTGCGAGAAGCATTGAAGTTCTGCTGCATGTGTTCATACAGAGTAGGGCTATCAATATCTGGGTCTTCAGTTGTAGTACCTTCCTTGTTTTCACTACTTCCTGTGTGATTACTGTTTACCATGTTCATTATAAACGGTGGAACCCCAGCAGGATTAGACGACGAGGATGAAATAGAAGACGAGCGATGAATAATAGGCAGCAGTTGCAGCAGTTGCAGGCGCAGCCGTATTTGCAGCTGCGAGATCTTCTCTGAGGATCTGTTTGAGGGCCTTCTGCTTAAGTAGTTTCTGCCAGGTGTTCCCGAGTAATCTGCCCAACCTGGATACGGAGGAATTTGTTCATGTTGGTGCTGGTGTTGATGCTGTTGCTGTTGCTGAAGAAGAAGATTGTGGTGAGGAGGTAGTTGGTTGTACAGATTATAATCGTAGTTTGCAGGGTTGTACTGCGGCCCCGGATTATACATAGGATAGTACGGACTGTAGAAGGAGCTGCCGCCCCCTACGCTGCTATTTCGGGAACTCCCACTGGACCCTGACGAGATACCGGGGGGAATTGACCCACTTGGCTGTGGAACGAAGGTCCTTGGATGTGAAGAGTCTGAAACAATCTTGGCTTCCAAGGTTCTTCCATGCCATTCATAGCCATGAAACGCCTCTATGAGCTTGTATGCAAGGGGCCAAGTAACCTGAATCAAAGCAAGAGGTTTCAATTCCTTATTTTCACTATCCTCTTCCACATCGTCCTCATCCGTATCAGTGATATCCTCTGTATCCGACTCCTTCGTTTCCAGTTCGCCAGAGGAATACTGGATCAAGTCGTACTCAGCAGCAGTGTAGTCGCCGCTACCGTCATCGTGAGAAAATGCCGAAACAACCGAATCTAACAATTCCTGGAACGTTGTCTGTTTTGTCTTTTTATCAAAATTTGAAACTTCTATATTGCACACTAGCGACGGTCCTGGGTTCACCAAGGAAGGGAAGGGCTGTGGGGGTAAATAGTGCTGTGAAGGGAACAGCGACACCAGCAGAGAGGGCGTTGGTTCATAACTATCCGCTTCAGGAACAACTTTGAACGACGAAGGATAGAACGGAGTGGCCCTTGGGTTGTAGTTGGATATCGAATCGCTACCCGATCTAACTGATATGCGGGAGTTGGACACCATTGATTCTTAATATTGATATTAGATGGAAAATATTATAGACATATACTTTTTTTTTCCCCCTGCGTGCCAATATTTGAAGCTTGACTTGGCTCAATTGCACAATTATCTGTAAAAGTTCTCTGTTTAGAGTCCGGTCCAGTCAATGTTGAGGACTATGTTACCAACCTCTTCAATCAATTATTAAGGATGCGGATGTACACTAACAAAAAAAAAAAAAAAAAAAAAAAATTGGACAAAAAATAATAAGGGAGAATTAAAGATAAGCGAGCCTCACTGTAATCAGCTCAAGTGCAAAGTCTATTTAGAAGCATCATACAATAAGCAGGGGATCAGCAGTCTGTTACATTCCCAAGGTCTGCTTAGAAGAACCTGTACTGCATTTCCACTGTGGTACAACACCTACCACTTGCGGTACATCGCTACCTTGCTGGCATGCATTGGGTCTTGCATCTGTAGAGCAGCACCTTAGTCTAAATTTTAGTCCAGATTGCCATAAGGTGAAATTGACAGGGAGCACCAAAAAAAAAAAAAAAAAAAGAGGCTCTCGCCAAAACTTGATACAATGAAGATAAGCACCAAATTGTGTTGCATTTTGGAGCTGGATGCAGGACTCGAGCTAGATGGAGTTTACGATACGTTATAGTTTGATTAATCATCTGACTAGCTTGACGAGTGTCTGGAGGAAACCGTCTGTGGATTTCATCATAGGATGGCTTCAATTAGTGCGCTGACGCCTCGCCAATGCTAACTTTGTAGGGAAACTAACATTCCTGTCTCTTATTATTGTTGGTCTGTGTTGAGCTCTCATGCACGGTGTTATTTTTTTTTGTTCTCCGCTGCATGATGCATGTGTTCAAATATTGTTGCAAAATATGCGAAGATACGATGGGTGATTGTTTGAGCATGTCTGTGATGTAGTGGGCTTGTACCGTTTGGTCTGTGGTTCTGTAGATGTTTGTGGTTGGTATCGTGTGAAACTGTGCTTGTACCGTGTGGTTGTACGCTGCTTGTAGTGTGACGTACTCTGTGATGTATGTACTGTGATCGTACTCTGCTACGTCAAATCTTTTTGCAGTTTCGTCATATGGCACCCCTAGAGAGCAAACATGAAACTAGAATTGGATAACCAGAAAGAAAGCACCGATTATGAAGAGGGTAGGGAATTGGAGCATTCCTCAAGCAATACACCAGTACTCGAATTTCGAGAACCAGAACCAATAGAGCTAGAGAACGCAATTCTTCCTTTAACTCGCAAAGAGCGAAGGATCAACCTCTTACACTGTTGCATCATCTCACTAACGGGTCTTCCCTTGGGCTGGGATGTTGGAACTACAGGGCATATTGTGAGTCTGAAAGTCTTTTCTGATATTTTCCTTAACTCGGCTACGTCGGTGATTGTGGTTGGCACCATTGTCTCTATTTTGAATTTGGGTTGTATAGTCGGAGCGATGACAATAGGGCGAAGGGCCAATTCGATTGGAATGAAGTTGAGCATTTGGATATCACTGCTTGTGTACATGCTCGGAACTGGTATTGAGTTCTTGTCTTTCAATTTAAAAACAAGTTGGTGGATCTATGCCCTTGGCAGACTTCTTTGTGGGGTATTTATTGGCGTCCTAGGGGTTGTTGGACCAACTTACATTGGAAACATAGTCAAGGTCCCAAATGCGAAAAGAAAGTGTATCTCTTGGCACCAGATCAGCTGCTGCTTTGGAATAGTGTTGGGAAATGTGATGATTCTTGCATTCCGAGAAAAATCTCAGCTACTAAATATTATTGGACTGACAAAGTCTCTTATCTGCTTACTAGTCAGTGCCATAGTAATAGTAGTACCAGAGAGCAAACTGAAGAGAAGAACAATTCGAGATGGTGAGGTCCTGGAGCATAAAAATGTTGAGATATTTCAAGCCAAGTTCATGATCTCAACTGTTTGGAAGACATTCCCCAGCAAGCATTTAGTTGATAACTTAAAATGCTGCTCTATTATGGTGTTGCAACAGTTATCAGGCATAAACTTCTTTTTCTATTACGTTGGAATCATTTTCACGGGGATTTCACCTATGATTCCTACAATACTACTTGGAGTAATCAACTTCGCAACATCCTTCGTTTCTGGTTCTATTTTTGAAAAGATAGGAACGAGAAGAAGCTTGTTTATAGGTTCAATTGGGATGTCAATTTGTATGATTTTATTTGCAACAGTGGGATTATTTGGAGTGAAACACAAATTGGACTTCGAGGGATTTCTTGTTGTCGTGGTTGGTACCTACGTTATACTTTTTGCAACTAGTTGGGGCCCAGGTTCAAGTGTGATGGTAAATGAGATTAGTGTCACGAGCGAGTCAATGGCTATTGCCATATGCTCCAATTGGTCTGCCAACTTCGTCGTTGCTATCTCTACTCCGGTTCTTAGTTCCAAGATTACTTTTGGGTTAGGCTATATTTTTGCATTCTTCCTACTTGTCAGTGCTGCTTTAGTCGATTTTTGGTATTAAATTCCAGATCTGAAGGGAACTATGCTTTGAAGCTTGAAAATTGCAAGAAGGAAAGGAAATCAGATAAACAGGTATTTACGTACGTTCTATTAGTTCATAGTAATTGGTACACATGATAGTGGAAAAGGAAATGGAATGTAGAAGGGCAGTTGTCACCATAGTTGCATACTTCAATGGACCATAGTGAAAAATTAAATATGCAGTACATCTTTCTTCTCCAAGGTTGCTACATTTGTATTGCCCATCTTATTGGCAATTGCGTGTTAGAAGGTGTTCTCTTCAATTAGGAGCTAGCCAATAATGGGACAAAAGGCTACTAATGGATCCAAGAGGCAAAAGATCGAACGTGAACAGTCCACAGTAGAAGCACCCAGTAACTTGCTTCCTCACTTTTCAAGCCCACACTACCCAAGCTCTAACAGTGATAAGAAGAAGATTCCTCAATCATTACTACCAGAGCTTAATGAATTACAAAAGCTGAACTCTTCCCATGCAGTTGAAGTTGAAGCATGTAAGAGCATTGTACATATTTTTACCAGAGACTTCAGAATTAATGATAATATTTCACTTTCTGAAGCTAGCCAAAGAGCCACAGAACTTGGCAAGCCGTTGATTTGCATATATGTTGACTACCCACAGCTCGACAGAGTACACTCCGTCAGTGGCTGGCAACGTGAGTACAGAAAACAAGCATTGTTGAAATTACAAACTGTGTTGGAAACTGAGTACCTGATCCCACTCTATTTCTCTTCGTGTGAAGATACTAGTAAACCTAAAATTTTGGAACATCTTCTATCTGTCTTGGCAAAGGTAGAGAGTACCATCGTGTATTCCAATATTCTATATGAAATAGATGAATTGAAATTGTGCTTACACATGCTAAAGGAGTTGCCTAAACATGGAATATCTTTTAATACGTTTCATGACTTCTGCGTGATTGGACCTGACAACATTAGGACCAAGAAAGATAGTCCATACTCAGTATTTACTCCCTGGTATAAGAGCTGGTTAAAGTACTTAAATGAGAACAAGACCGAGATCCTAAGACATGTTAAGGTAAATAAGTCACCCAAGAATGAAAATGTCGATCCACTATGTAAGAAATTCTTCAACTCAACCTTTGAAGAGAAAGCAATCAAACAAGAAGTAGACGTCGATTACACTCAGCAAAGAAAGAATTTCAACAAGTACTGGAATGCTGGAGAAGAAAGTGCAATGAAAGACTTGGATAGCTTTATTAAATCAAGGAAGATCAGCTCCTACGGTAAAAATAGAGATTCGGTAGAACCAATTGAAACTTCTCAGCTCAGTCTTCACATTTCATCGGGAACTATATCAGTTCGAACCATTCTAAGGAGACTTCAATCCAAAATTCCAAAATTATTTGTTTTTGATCATAAGGGAAACGAAGGTGAATCTTCTTGGATTCGTCAGTTAGCATGGAGAGATTTCTATACTCATATACTTTGCCACTGGCCCTATGTTTGTACATACCTTCCTTTCCAGACGGATTTCGCATCCATTCAATGGGAATACAACAAGGACCACTTCATGAAGTGGTGTAAGGGTGATACAGGCTACCCTTTCGTGGATGCAGCAATGCGTCAATTGAACCAAACTGGGTATATGCATAACAGATGTAGGATGGTTGTTGCGAGCTTTCTTTCGAAGCATTTACTTATAGATTGGAGATTTGGAGAGAGATACTTTTTAGAGCATCTAGTTGATGGAGATTTTGCATCCAACAATGGAGGTTGGGGTTTTAGCTCCAGCGTAGGTGTCGATCCCCAGCCTTACTTTCGTGTATTCAACCCTTGGACTCAGTCGGAAAAGTTTGGTGCTAATGGTGAATACATTAGGAAATGGGTTCCAGAGCTCAGACACATAAAGGACAAATCGATTCATAATCCATACGCATCCCATGAAAGCGTGGATGGCTACCCTAGACCTATAGTCGATCACAAGGCAAGCCGAGAGAGAGCGTTACAGAGATACAAGCAAGCAAAATACGATGAAGCTTAAACCAGATACTTTTTATTTTCTATAGACAAATATTTTACTAAACAATTCTTTTTTTTTTTGCATATTATGAATTAATGAATGCTATTAGATGGCCTTTTCAATCTCCTTTCTGGCGATTTCCAAACCGTTTTCACTACCAATCAAGTAGACAAATTGATCATTCTCATCCTTTGGCTTTGGAACAGTGATGAAACAGTTAGAAGCCTTCCTTATCTTATTAAGCTTTGCACCTCTTGGTCCAATTATCTTAGATACGCTAGAAGACTTTTGGAAGTAGAACCAACCAGTAGAGGTTGCCGCTTGGGCAGCACTCAAACGGGATTCGATATACTTTGCTGCCTTAGCAGTATCAGCTTTTTCACCCTTCAATCTCCATACTATGATATCAGGTGAATCACTGGCAAAGTCAATTCCTTCCACAATTGTGAACTTGTTAGAATCATCAGAGCCGGCTGCACTTCCTGGAGGAGTTGGGATCTTTGCCTTAGACAACTTATTAGCTTTAGATTGGGTGTTTCCATGCTGCACATCAACATTAAATTCGTTCTTTAAGTAACCGAAAATGGCCCCCCTTTCACTAACCAAAGTATGGAATTTTTCTGGGATATCAATAGCTTCATTCCAGTCATCTTTAGTTACTTCATCTAACTCTAACTTCAATTTCGCAAGATCTTCTGGTAAACCTTCTAACTTAAGAACGGTAGAAGATGAATCTGGCTTAGGAACGTTAATAGTACAGTTGAATTTTTCTTGTAAAGTTTGACGAACATAACCACCAGTACCAACAACCAATCTATGCTTTTCTTTTGGTAACTCATACTCTTCTGTTACTGCTGCTTCCTTAAGCGCAATTATAGCTTTAACTTGTTCGATGACCTTGTTTACAATGGACTTATCACCCTTGGAAACAACTTCTCTAGATCCATTACCTTCATCTGGAATGATCAATAACTTGTGGTATTTAGGTCTAGAGATGTTTTCACCACCAGCCTTGGCGATAATCTCTCTCATTACAGAACCCCCTTGGCCAATAAGATTACGATGATATTTAGGATCGACGTCAATTGAAACGGTAACGAAGTTTTCAATCTCTTCGATGATCTCTTCAATTTTTTCAGTAGCATTCTTCAATGCAGCCTTAGAACCTGTTAATTCCAACTCGATATATCCCAATTCCTTTTCATCCAAATCTCTGTTGAACCTGTATTCAATTCCAGAACCATCTGCAATATCATTGATGGTTTCACCAGATTTACCAATAACTCTGGCAACGGCCTTTGAAGGAATTTGGAGAGTCTTCTTGAAACCATTCTCCTTTTCAAATTGGTATAATTCTCTTAATTCTTCTTCAGCCTTGGCAACACCTCTTGATGGACCCTTAATGGTGACTTCGTCTTTGTTTCTTGGTGCGTCAGCAAAAGTCGATGCAGATCCATCACTAGAAGGGAATCTAATCTTAACATTATACTTATCTTGTAATCTGTTGATATAGACACCAGCAGCACCAATGATCTTTCTGTGATACTGTTCTTCGACTCTCACTCTAGTCAAAGTTTCATCCGCCCATCTCTTAGCGAAGTCAGAAATACGAGATTTACAAACATCAACGTTTTTCTTAACACCAGAGATACTAATGTTAGTCTTCGAAGACTTATCCTCATCTGCAGCACTAGATTGTTGTTGGTTATCAACGTTGATCTTAACAGCGAATTCATCTTGCAATGAATTTAAGTTAGAACCATTCTTACCAATCAATCTTGAAAGAACAAAGGATGGAACTTCAACGGAAGTAGATATAGTCTCAGCACCATCCTTAACAACTTGTTCGATTTCCTTAACAATAGTAGCAACTTCAGTCTTAGTACCGTGAATGAAAACTTCACCATTGTCTTTCAATTTAACAAGAACAGAATTTGGTGAAACTTCCTTTAAGATAGCCTTTAAAGTAGTTCCTCTTGGACCAGAGACACGGGAAACTTCGTCCTTTCCAAATTTAAGGGTCTTGGAATCTAAAGTCTTAGCCAATTCCCTAATTTCATTCAATGCCTGATCTACCTTGTTTAATGATTCCAAAGACTTAGATGAGTCTTCAAAATCTTCAAAATCTTCGTTCTCCTCATCATTGCTAGCTTCCTCATTAACAAACAAGGTGATAACATTACCTAAAATGACGTATTCAACATTGTTTTCCTTGGAAACTGAATTGATAGCTTGTGGGACTTTTGGAATGAAAAATTCATCGATGTCGCTGACAACTTTCGTAACCTCTGGAGAAATTTTATTAACAGTACTAACAATTGCCTTCTTAGCAGCCTTGGTGTTTTCAGCTTGATCATTCTTAGAAATAATCTCAATAGGGATGCTGGAGGTTGTTTCCTCGGATTGTAATTGGCCAATCGATGGAGCATTAATTATAACTTCATTCTTTTTACCGATTTCCTTGAAAGATCCAATCTTGGATAAAAATAAGGCAACAGCTTTCACATGTGAAATATTTCCCTTATGCGCCTTAGACATATCTAAGACTTCTACCTTGTATTGTGAAGTTGTCTTTCTGGCTTCTTCTTGAGCCAATTTAATGTTTTTCTTCTGACCAACGAATTTAACATTGGATTCACCTTCACCAGGTAATTTAATTAAAACATTGAACAAGTCTAAGATCTGCTTAGTAGGTAAGAATTGATGTTTCAATTTTGGAATTGGAACTTCTTCTACTGACAAGTTCAGCTCAATGTTTGCTAATTCAGCAATGATCTTCGGTTTCACAGCGAGTGCTGCTTCTCTGTCACCAGAAAGTAAAATAGTAGTTGAATTCGAAGAATTGTCTGGGATATATACATCGACTACGTCGGCAACGGATTCCACAATTTTCGATAAGCCCTTTGCGGCGAATGGCTTGACGATATCAGCAATTGGGATCTTGATGGTCAAGGATTTAGTGGCTTCTCTTACAATGGCTTGAATTTGAGCCTTGGCATGCTTACAACCTTCAACGTCACCTTCAATGGTGACTTGAACGGTCTGAGAATAGATATCATCTTCATCGCTGTCCCCAGCACTTACGTCAGCAGTTTCGTCGGCGGTATCTTCTTGAGGGGAGCCAATGTCAACTCTAACCTCATTGGCTTGAATAATTGGCTTCAATACTCTACCTTGGGGTCCAATTACCTTAGATCTAACCTTAGCTGGGATAGAAAATGAAATGGTAACTGGCCTAGTCAATTTCTTAATGACTAATCTCTTGGCCAACTTAACGTCCTGAGGCTTACCAGTGATCAAGAAAGTTCTCTTCTTGGTATGCTGAGAAGTGGTACATTCAATATTCGTCTTGGTTTCTGTCTTAATGGAGGTCAAGAGCTTGATAAATTCCGGTCTAGTGACGTTCAACTGGTCTTCAGTGTCAAGGGAGAATGCGTCTTGGATGGTGGAGGATTTGAAAGTAGTTCTGCTACCATTGGACAAGCCGGAGTTGGTGTTGGACGCAAGCTTTGGAGTTTCAAACAGAGCAGCTGCAGGAGCAGGAGCAGGAGTAGGAGCGGATGCAGAACCGTTGCTGCTAGCAGACGAAGCTGACGAGGCAGGAACCGAACCTGGCTTAACCCATGTAGGGGTACTGGATACACCTGAGGCACCACCTAATGTTGGAAAGGCAGATTCATCAGCAAGTGAGGGAGTGGAAAATCCAGAGGTGGATGAGGTAGAGCTTGGAGCAGTTACTGCAACGGGCTGTTCTTCCTCATAAGGCTGAGCAACTTCTTCAGGCTCTGTTGAATAACGAGCAGCTATGATCTCAGCAGGAGTAGACATCAATGCAATACTTATTCTTCAAAAAACAAAAAAAAAAAACAAAAGGAGCGACTATTATGTTTGTAGTGTTATTACTATTAACTATCAGCTATTTTCTTTATATTGTTTGATCAACCCGGCGCAACGAAGTGACAGATAGAATAGACAATATTATATGAAAAAAAAAAAAATTTAAGCTTCTATTGATTTGGATTCTTACTAGATTCTCTGTTCAGATTTTGGGAAAAATGAAACTCAAATTTGATAAAAATTCAACGTTATATGTATATAATAATATCACGTAAGGTATCAGGTTCTAGATTTACCACTTTTACTACTCAAATTTGCAATTGAAATTAGCTAAGGCAAGATAAAGTTAACACTTAATCTTCCAAAATTTTCACCGCCAAATCTACGAATGTGTTGAAAAAAAAAGCTGCCTGATCGGACGGAATGGTTTTGTGCCACGTCGCCTAGTATGGTGCATTAATCACGAGTTCCTTATGCAACAAGCGTTTTTTAGATCAGGCGCGCACAGGCAGGAGAGGTTGGTGCGGGAGCAGATCATTCGGTAGAGGGGAACAGATGAGAGCAGCACACCAAGAAAAGAGGCAGTGAATTAGGGGCAAGCTAGCGTGAAAAGGTGAAATGAAAGGCGAAATAAAGAGAACTGTCCAGCTTTAAAGTTCCAGAGCCCCGGAAAGTGCGTTAGGACGTTTCAGCTGAGGGTGAACAGCCGTGTTGTCTACCTGGTCATACTCGCACTCGCTGTCGTCGTTCATTATGCACACTCTGCTATTTGCTGCTCATAGTGGGTCGGACTTTTTTTCTTGTGCGGTGCCAATATTTTAGTGCGCAGTAGAGCCTCACAATCCGCTGCTGGAGCCACATGAGTGGGCGCCTGGGAGAGCGATGGCTCGAAGCCAGAGAGATTGTGTGGAAGTGTGGGAATGAGTGAGTTAGAGTGAGCTAGAGTGTGCATTTGAGTCTGCGAGCGTGAGCTTGAGTGAGCTTGAGCGAGTCTGAGTGAGTCTGAGTGAGTCTGAGTAAGTCTGAGTGAGTCTGACTAAGTCTAATCGAGCTTGAGCGAGTGCATATATGCTGCGTCACAGTATGCGTGAGTACATGAGAGAATAGTCCCAGTGTTTAGGTGGGCGGGTATTTCAGCGAGTAAGTCTACCTCGTATTTTCAACTCATGCATGAGTACGTGAGAGAATAGCTCCAGTGTTTACGTGGGTGAATACCTCAGCGAGTAAGTCCCCTCGTATTTTCAACTCCTAAGTCAATCTTATTGTTCTTATGCATTCGACGCTGCATTTTCACTTATTTCTTTTTTTAAATCTGATGCACTTCTTATTGGGCTCATCATAGACTCTACAGTGTACTAAATCTTCTTTGTATTTATTATATTCATCTAAAGGGTTTCGTAAAGCAACTCTCTGACTCTGTATTCTTCATTAGCATCTTCAATATCCTGGAAGTTCCCAATAAAATCATCTCCTCTAACCACCCCCGGTAATAGCTTTCCATTAGCATATCTCCTCCAAATCTTCTTAGCCTCTTCATCAGTACCGAGATCACGGTAAGTGTATTTAACCTGATTTCCACTCAAAATAGTAGAAAGTCTGTTAGTTCTGGACATCACTTGCATACCTCCAATCAACGATGTGAAGATGTACACAGGTTGAGCCTCCAAGTGCTTACGCAATTCTTCGGGACTGACATCAAATTCCTCGTCTGATCCTGGAGCTTCAGCTACAGCTGCTGGTGCCACTTCTGCCACAGGTTCCACTTCTTTGGCAACTGGTGCGCTATCGTCAGATTCTTTGGAAACTGGCTCTACTTCCTCAGCTACTTTGGCTGCTGGTGCATCTTCTTCAGCTTCTTTGGCAACTGGTTCTACCTCCTCAGCTTCTGTGGCAATTGGTGCATCTTCTTCAGCTTCTTTAGCAACTGGATCATCTTCTTTAGCTTCTTTGGCTGCTGGTGCATCTTCTTCAGCTTCTTTGGCAACTGGTTCTACCTCCTCATCTTCTGTGGCAATTGGTGCATCTTCTTCGGCTTCTTTGGCAGCTGGTTCATCTTCCTCATCTCTTTTGGTAAGTGGCTCTACTTCTTCAGAAACTGATTCGTCATTCTCAGCATCTTTATTCGCAGCTGGTTTCAACTCTTGTTCATCCTCAGCGTTGGGCTCGTTTTCAATAGCATCTTCTACTGTAGGAATCTCCTCAGAATCTTTTGGCTCTACAGGCTCATCTTCGTTCTCTATATCCTCTTCTGTAGCCAGACCTTTCTTAGCCTCTGACAAACCACCAAGAGATTTTTCTGAATCGACTACCTCAATATCCTTGGTAGCAGGTTCTACTTCCTCTTCCTTCTCTGGCTCATTTACGTCAGTGTTCTTTTCAGAATCATTTAAGTTCAAGCCCTTTATGGATTCTTCAATTTTTGACACATCAGCCTTATCATTAGAATCTTTTAATTCCAATTGCTCCACTGGATCTGTAGCAACAGGCTCCTTTACTTCTTTTGCCTCTGCCTCTTCTTCTGCATCTCTAACTTCCTTAGAATTTGGTTCTTCCACTGCTACTTCTGGCTTATCTTCATGTATTTCAACATCCTCTTCATTATGCTTAACTTCCTTACTACCTTCCACCTCCTCAGTTTTATCGGATTCCTTTGCTATTTCATTGCTTACTTCACCCTCAGTAGAAGTATTTGCTTCTTCTACTTCAATTGGCGTTTTTTTTTCCTCTACAGATTTCTCAATTGGAGTTTTTTTTTTGCCCTGTTCACTGGTATTTTCTCCCTTTAAATGTAAGACTTCTTCTACCATTGTATCTAACCCGTTAATTGTTGAGTATGGATCATCACTTAACAAAGCACCTTCCTTTTCCAATTCTCCGGTGTCAGCATCATTCTTTTCGTTGAGTAAACTTTGAGTTCTGACACCTTTACTTCCATGTGAATTCTTCTCGGTCGGCTGTCTTGATCTTGATCTTGAAATTGACCTAAGGTAGTTGGTGGACGACAACGATCTTCCAGCAAAAAGTTTAGAATCTTGCGAATGTTCAGGCGTATCTACATCAAAATTGGTGTAGTCACCAGTGGTCAACAATGAAGTTGAACTTTTCATCTGAGCAGCCTGTTCGATAGCAGCAATAGAATCACCCATGGTTGGTCTAGACATTCTACTTCTTCTGTCATCTTCTTCAACTTCAGCAGCTGGTTCCTCCTTGATCTCCTCGGACTCTTCATGGAGTCTAGCAGGCAATTCGTACCTGGAAGGATCTTCATCGTGAGTATTCTTGTACAGATCACCACGAGCTAAATGAGGTCTTGACCTTGATCTGGAGCCTGAGCGATCTGGGGGAGGCTGTCTAGAACTAGATCTGGAGCTTGATCTACCGTCTCTCTGGAAGTATGGAGTATGAATCCCATCCTTGATAGGAATAACTGGCTGTTCATCATACTCTACGTTCTCGTCAGAGATAAGGCTAGGAGTGGAAAAGGAAGCAGTCTTCCTTGGCTTTGGTCTGGCGGCATATCCTGCGTTAGAAGCGGAGCCACTGTTATATTCCCTTCTCTCACCAGTTGGTAGACGGTGATGGTCATAGGATTGAACAGAGCTCAATAAATCCTTATGATCGTTGATCTGATTTTCCAATTGATACTCAGAGAGATTTGGCGTGGAGTAATCCTTATTTTGGTAGATTGAGCCACCACCGGCACCAGAAGTCCCGGTAGAGGCAGTGGAAGTCCTTGGAGAAGCCTTCTTACGTGGCTTTGGAGTGGCATCAATTTCCTCTTCGGAGTCTTCCTCTTCATACTGAGTTTCACCAGTGACGACCTGGGGAATAGAAGCTGCAGCCAGCTCTTGTTGATCTTCTCCTCCTTGCTTCTTCTCAGTGGGTTCAGAGATATCCTCTCTCTTGAATTCTTGGCTAAGTGGACTCTTGACGTCATTGGAGTACTTTGCGTCATCCTTGACATGGCCTTCTTCGTCAAGGAACTTGGTGAAGTCTTCCTCAGACCCCAACAAGGCACCCTCACTCATCAAGTCATCCAACGAAGCACCAAGAGTGGAATTGCTCAACGCAGCATTCTTCTTGTCCTTCTTGGACTTCTTGCTGCCACCCTTATATTTCTCAGGGTGGATGTAGTTCTTGTGGTTAGAGTCATCTGCTGATCTCAAAGATGATCCAACAAGAGAGGGGGTAGGTAATTTTTCAGCCTTTTCTAATTGCTCTTCGAAATCCATTTTATTTCCGTTCAATTATTCTACAAAAATAAGAAAAAACAGTACTGTAAATAAGAAGAGTGAACTGGTAATATAGCAATAGTAAAAAAAGAGAAAAAAGCCAGTGTCTAGATTCCCACACAAAGAGCCTCCTACAGTTTATTAGTCGAGCTCCGACGGACAACTGTACAGTACCGCAAGCGACCTAACGACGACCAACAAGAGAAAAAATATTTGAATTAAGACGCTTACGAACGTGACCGGTATACAAGCCCCAAAGCAAGAGAGAAAAACCTTTGTGAAGGAAGGGAATAGCAAGGTGAATTTAAGCTTTAAATGATAGGGCTGGGACAGTTGAGATCAGTATGGCCGGGCTTCGAATGGTAAGAACTTTAGCGAGAGGTGAATTGGGATTGAGAGGCATCAGTTATTTGGTCCGTTATGCTCTGACTTTCTCAGTTAGGTTATCGAATTTTGGTCGCTCTCTTATCAGTCTGACCCCAGCTTTTTTCCATTACAAAGTGGCCAATCTGATTGGTGCAGGGGGGTCGGTTGGTTGGATACTGCACAGACTCCCCAAATCGCTGCTAGTGCGTGGCCCCAAATCGCAGCGGTCCGGTGAGACCTCACTGCCAACTCAGTGCGAACAGTGCGATCAGTGCGAACTCAGTGCGATCAGTGCGATCAGTGCGAACAGTGCGAACTTGGGCAACTGCAGGAAATGTCAACACATCGTAAATTGAAATTGCTCTCGTAAAAGAAAAGTGTGAAACAGAAGGCATATGGCTAGTACACCAGTAGGTACAGAAGAAGGCATATGCCTAAAGAGGAAGAGAGACTACCACAGACTTACACAACACCATATGCAGCATATATGCAGAATATCCGCAGAATATCGGTAGGGTAGTAGAAAGATATCGGCCCCCTGCCCGATGTCCCAAACAACTCAATAAGGTGATCTGTTAGCGAATATCCTTGTTAGCTCAGCTAACGATCTTCCTTTGGTCCACTTAACAGAGCACATCTGTGCAGTGCTATTTCTTTTTTTCGCAATACCGCCTCTCTTTTGACTTTTCTCGCACTGCGTTGCTCTTACCTCGCTGCACCCTCGCCTCACCATCTTTCCCCAACATTCATCATCTTTCTACTTTCACCGTCATTCACCGTCTTTACCGTCTTTTCTTCACTGCTGTCACCACCACAGTCCGTCACTAACTCCATTCCACCTTCCACCTTCCACCTTCTTCCTTCCTCCTTCCTCCTTCCTCCTTCCACCTCTTTACCTCTACCTTTCTGTCCTCTCCCCTCTGCCTTCCACCTCTTGTCCACTCTCCCCACGTGACCGCCTCGTATCTCTTCCACATCAGATTCGCTCGTCTATCAGAAGGGGGGTAATGAGCTAAATTAAGAATTGGCTTTATTTATTTTCTACAAATACGCTATTCCGGACCCAGGTGTGCCATGAGCTTAACAATGTACTGCCAGAAACAAAAGAAATAAATGAAATGCAACGCTAAAAAAAATATCCCACTTACATGCTCATATCTCTCAGTCCATGTTTCTTATCTGTCAGGAAACGCAAGGGTGAAACAGCGGGAGCCTATCGCTGAAGCTCGTATTCTCATCTAACGGTATTCTCGCCCAAATCAGCCGTCATCTCTCTGCCATCAACTGTCATCCACCTACTATCAGCCATCAGCCTAGCCCGCACCACTCCCCAGATCGGCTTTCCACCGCACTCCACTCAGCTCCACGCCCACTCTCCACGCACTCCACCCACACCCAATTTACCCTTCTTGTTCCTCTTGCCCTTTCCCTTTCCTGCACACACTTTATTTCTTTTTATTCTTGTTCCTCTTTCTGTTTGTTCTTTTGCTCATTTCTTTTTTTTATTTTTGTTATTCAATTTCGGATTTGGTAGATTTGTAATTTCTCAGCAAGAAGGGAAAAAATACATTAACGGCACTTTTAGGTGAATCACAAACAAGAGAAGAACACATCACAGTAGCGACCAAGCAAGCGATATTGGCATACAGAGAGAACCACGATACTGTACTAATACAAGAGACCAGTATAAATCAATAAAGAATAGGAAAACAAGAGTTTATAGTGCCCGCCCTCCTTCCTCTCTCGTACCGCTTCAAGAAGATACCTAGCACACCCCCTCCCTCAAATCAGCTTTAGTGTATTTTATTTACCCTAAACGAACCGCTATACAAAAAGGCTTTTTTCTTTACTGTTAATATCATCATGTCGTCCAAGTCTGCCGCTGCTATCTTGCAACGACAATTTAAAGATCTTACGGACCCGAAGAAGGGCATCCCGTCGTTCCACATAGAGTTGGACAACGACAACATATTCTTGTGGAACATCGGCATCATGGTGTTGAATGAAAGCTCCATGTACCATGGTGGCTACTTTAAGGGACAGATGAGATTCCCGCCTGAGTTTCCCTTCTCGCCTCCGACGTTTAGATTCACCCCTGCTATATACCACCCTAACGTCTATAGGGACGGCAGGTTATGCATTTCCATTTTGCACCAGGGCGGTGACCCTACCCTGGAAGAACCTGACAGTGAAACCTGGTCTCCAGCACAAACCGTGGAGTCCGTATTGATTTCCATTATATCGTTGTTGGAAGACCCTAACGTTTCATCTCCAGCCAATATTGATGCCTCCGTGGAATTAAGGAAGAACCCAGACGCCTACAAGAAGAGAGTGTTACAGGAAGTTGAAAGATCCAAGATCGATATCCCTGAAGATTTCGTCATGCCCGAATCTGAGCATTTGGCCTACGGTAACGGGAACTCCATCAACAACGAAGTTGAGCAGGAACCTGTTGATGAAGATTTTTGGTATGACAGCGAAGAGGAGAGCTTCGACGAGGAAAGCTTGATGGATGATATGGAAGACGAGGAAGAAGAGGAAGAGGAAGAAGAAGAGGAAGATGTTAATATGAAGTGAGAAAGCAAACGAAACAGGGTGATTTTTCCTTTATAGCATTTCAGTTCCACGTTTCATCACCTTCCCACATTTCCGTCATTTAGATCCTTACAAGTTTTGTTTCCATACCAGAAAAAGAAAAAAACCCAAAAACCATAGAAGTCCTATCAAGATTTATATATTAATTACCGAAACAGCTTAAGTAAGTAGTATCTATTCTAATGCATTTATGTTCTAGCTAAAGATGTAGTCAAGTGTCAGTGTAGCCAATTACAACTAGTCGCAGCTAGCCTCAGCTAGCCAAAGACACTGATGTAGGCGGTTCATGAGACGACGAGCACTTTGATGTAGCCTGGTGGGACGACTAGAACACTAGGGGATACGTGCGAGAATGTAGCGCTTTCGCTCAACGAAAGGAATGCGTAGGGGAGGGAAGTGAATTGAGACGGGCCGGGCCGAGTGTGGGCATTCTAGGTAGACGGAGGCACTTTGACTAGATTCGGAGAGGGTGTGATTTAGATTATGAATGGATGTGACGAGACAGCTAGTTGATTGGAAGTCAGGTCTTGATAGTTCATTGGACCTCTGGCGACTAGTTCTCCAGTTCTCCAGTTCTCCAGTTCTCCAGTTCTCCAGTTTTCCAGTTCTCCAGTTCTCCAGTTCCCTAAATCTCCAGTTCCCTAAAACTCCAGTTCTCTAGCCATGTAGCCCTACAGTTCTCCAGTTCTCCAGATCTCCAGATCTCTAGTTCTCTAGCTGGGGCTCTAGCCATCTAGATCCCCAGATCTCTAGTTCTCCAGCCCTCTGGCCCCTGGCACACTAATCCCACCACATCTTACTCTCTGCGGTACCCTTTGAGCCCCTCACTCAATGCCGCATTGATGTTGTCTAGCTTCAACTTCGCTACTGCATCTGGAAAGTCTCCGTTATAAAAAACAACCACATAAAGTGTACTCTCCTGGTCTTCCTGGTCCTGCTCCGAGTCGTACTTCACCTTTTCAATGATAGCCTTAATACCAAACTCAAACTCGAGCAACGTCCAATCCTCAACATTTTCCAGCTGGAAATTGTTCACAGCTAGCAACGAATAGATCTTCAAGTTATCTGTGGATATCTCCGAAACGGCTTCGTCAAGCGACGTGACAGTAGTGAGCGGCAACCCGGACTTCGAAAGTAACGAAATTGCAAACGGCGACGAGGTGGACGTCTTGACTGAAGCAGCCCTCAATCCTTGTGTCAACACCTTTGATATCTGTTTCAGCTGGAGCATGGTTTTCTCTTTTTTTCTTCCCTTTTTTTCGCAATTGTTGGTATCTATCTACAACTTGCGTCTGCGTCTTGCTCTCGTAACACTTCTGAAACCGTTACTAGCTAGCCTGTGTTGTTTTTCCTAGTCTTTACTTCACCCATCTAGTGATACCTGCATGAAACATCTACCGTCTCTCACCAGAGCCCTATCATCTATTTATGTCCTGCACACAACCAAACGCGGTTTTGATGTTTTCAATTTTTTTTGCAGATCTTCAAGAAGATGAAAACAACCGGAGCTAGAGCCAAATCGATACAGTTGGAGGCATTGGCAGAACTGATAGATACAGGAGAAGATACAGAAACACACGGAGCACAGGAGAAGCATATATTTGGTACTTTTGAGTCTTTTTTTTTCCATTTTTTTTTTCCATTTGCCTGATACACTTACCGGTTGTTTACGTCTGTGACTTCCTGGTAGAGACATAGTCATAGTATACATTTTGTCATGGATATCCCTAGAAAGAGAACGCTAACGCAGCCCTCTGGCAGCACTAGGATACCGCTAAAGGAAACCAACGGAAACATTCCCTCGCCGGTGTTCAAGAAGGCCAAGCTCAACATTCCGTCTCCTGGAGTACTCAGCACTAGCCATAGCACCAGCACCAGCACCACCACGAACTCCAAACATGTGCAAAGCATTTCTAACAGGCCAATATTGGCACCATCACAAGCACACAACACACACTCCGCCAGCGCTACAGCCACCAAGGCTTCGGTACGTAACACCAGGCTCGAAGGAGACGAGCTCTTGAGCTGGCAAATCTCCTGGAGGAAGATCATGAAGGAACTGATCGCCTATTTTGACACCCAGGGCTGCGACATCACCAGCTCCAATCAAAAATTGGAGCAAAAGAGAGCCGCCAAGGCATTAAAGCTGGTGGGATGCACCATAGCTCCGTTCTTCGAGAGAGACGTAACCATTATAGTCAGTAGAAGACCCTTTGTCAACGGGAAGCAATACCCAACGAACGATATCTTCCACGACGCCATGAATCAGAGAATCAAAGTCTGGAATTATGATAAAGTTTTCAGGTTTTTGAAGAACTTGGAACCCACAAACTCGGCGGGTACTGGAGGCTTGACCGATGCGTCTACATCAGCAACTACCTTGCCAACAGCTTCATTGGTAACAGGTGAACAACAGCATACTGAATTGTACAATCTTTTGAAAGAGGAAAAGATCTTCGGTAATAATGATAGAGACCCCAACGCAAGAAGAGATGATTTACACTATCTTGAGAAAAATTATTTATATTCGTACGACTTGAGCCAAACCATTAGACCAATTGCCGTTCGAGAATGGTATGAAAATGCTTTCCCGGTCTTGAATCTCACATTGGATGGGAAATGTCCCTTTATAGTGGACTCCACTTCCATAGCTGAGCAAAATCTGGAAAGAAGAAAGTTGAGAAGAGCTCAAAAGTTTGAAGCTACCAAAAGTTATAGAGATTTGTTGAAAGAAGCTACTAATAGAATAATTAACAGTGCAATGGGGTTAAAGAGAGGTAATTTCAGTAGTACTAGCACGAGTACTGATAGAACTGAAGATGACCAAGATTATGATGTGGATGAAATAGAGCCAGAGAAAGATAATGATAATGGAAAAGAGGAAGGTAAACAAGATGGTGAAGAAGGCGACCAGGAAGTAGAACAGGAAGAACAGGATGAAAAACAGAATAGTGACGAACGAACTGAAGATGACCTTGAAAACATTAACCCACTCACTACCAAATATCAATTCAAGGCACCTCCTGCTCCATTATTGCGACAATCATCGGTAATGCATGCCAATGATTCTAATTCAAAATATTATGAAGTAGCAGCCTCAGGTTTTAACGGAGCATCTAATGCAGCACAGTGTTCCATGGATTCTACGTTGAACAGCAACACCATTTCAAAGATGCATATTAATGAGAATGCATTGATAGGAAATGGATTGGGGCCAAGCGTTTCTCAAGTTCCATCGAAAAACATTAATAACTTGAAGAGGAGAATTTTCATGAAAAAGCAGAAGGAGGGAAAGAAGCCTTCTCATAAGGACCATCACAGTAACACTAATAAGGATAAAGAATTGAAACCTGGGTACTGTGAAAATTGTAGAGTCAAATACGATCATTTTGAAGACCATATTCTTACCAACAGGCATCGTAATTTTGCTTGCGACGATGAGAACTTCAAAGACATCGATGAATTGATCTCGACTTTAAACGAAAGTAAGAGTCTTGGGTATGTGACTTCAAACGGTGACTATAGATATGATTATGGGGGATATAATAACTAGCATGGCTACAGTAGCTACTATATATATATAGATTTGTATATCAATTGCATATAAATACAAAGAATTGAAGAGATCTAAGTGCTGCAGTAATTAATTGCAGCCATTCTTCTGTACTGCGTCTTTCAGCTCACTTTCGAGAACAATATTCAACATATTTTATGGGCATGTTATAAATAGCATGACTGAATCAGCCAATATGTGCAAATTTTGAATATTCATTGGAAGTTACCTTACCCTTGTACTTTTCACATCAATTGCAGCCATTTTTTGGTACTTAATTTTCAATGCACCCTCGAGAAAAAAATCCATGCATGGAAATGCGCACACTAAATTTTTCACTTGCACATTTTTTTTTTTACATGTTAGAATGCTAAGTGACTAGATATGAGTTATACAGTGCCGCAAATGCTTATCAGAAGCTCTCTTCAAAGGGGGTTACAGTATAATGCAACTAGACAGTATTCCGATTTCTTGAGAGACCTTCCGAAAGTCGGAGGGGTGTCTAGATTCGGTAAGAAGAAGGTGCCACCTGCGACTTCATATACAAAAGCGGTGCAAGCACCAGCGGCGACATCTGATGCTCAGAAGAAGCCAACGCAGAATCGAACACAACAAAGACCGAAGGCTCAAGCACAGGCAAAGACGCAGGCGAAGACTCAGGCCCAGAATCAAGCACAAGGACAAGCGAGATCACAGATCTCTTTAGGAAACAGGTTTGCCAATAAGTATACCAATGCTCGCGCTCTGAGTGGAAATACGAATCAGCTAAGTGCATACGAAAGAGCAAAGGAGGAGTTGAAGAAAGTGCAACAAAAAAATAGTAAGGCAAAGCCTGCTTTGAAAGGGAAGAATCCTGCTTATGGGAGGAAAGCCAGTACAAAGAAGGAAGTTGCTAAAATCAATATAGCCATCCCCACATTCGTGACGGTCTCCAATCTCGCCAGTATAATGGGAGTCTATCTTAACGACTTACTTAAAAAATTGGAAGAGTTGGGATTTGAAGACATGAGACACGATTATATTTTAGATAAAGAGAATGCATCATTGATTGCAGATGAATTTGGTTTCCAAGTAACCATGAATGACGACTTGGGGGCTGATCTATTTCCTGCTGAAGTCGTTGCAGACAAATTGAAGCCCAGAGCACCTATCGTAACAATAATGGGCCACGTTGATCATGGAAAAACCACGATTTTAGATAATTTAAGAAAATCATCCATTGTGGATAAAGAGCATGGTGGGATTACTCAACATATTGGTGCTTTTTCAGTGATTACCCCAATCTCCAAGAAGAAGATTACATTCTTAGATACCCCTGGCCATGCCGCTTTCTTGAAGATGCGTGAGAGGGGTGCCAATATAACTGATATTGTCATTTTAGTTGTTGCAGCAGATGATTCAGTTATGCCTCAAACCATTGAAGCTATCAAACATGCCAAGAAGTCCGGAGTTCCAATTATTGTAGCCATCAATAAATGTGATAAACCTACTGCCAACCCAGATAAGGTTGTTGCAGATGTGTCAAGTCATGGTATTGAAGTAGAAGACTACGGTGGAGATACCCAAACTGTGAGAGTTTCAGGAAAGACTGGCTTGAATATGGATAAATTGGAAGAATCTGTCATTACCTTAAGCGAATTATGTGATTTACAAGCAGAACCAACTGGTGTCCCTGCTGAAGGTTGGGTCATTGAATCTGAAGTGAAAAAGGGACTAGGTAATGTTGCCACTGTTTTGGTGAAGCGTGGAACTATGAAAACTGGAAGTTTTATAGTTGCAGGTGAAACGTACTGTAAAATTAGAGGAATGAGAGACGAACTGGGCAAACAAATCAAAGTTGCTGGCCCATCGACCCCTGTTGAAATTTGGGGCTGGAAAGAATTACCTGGTGCTGGGGATGAAGTAATTGAGAGTAAAACTGAACAATTTGCCAAGAAGGTCATTGAAAACAGAACAGCTAGAGGGAAACAGATACAAGCTTCTAAAGACATCGAATTGATCAATGCCAAAAGGAAACTGGATTTGAGAGAAGCTGAAAGACAGGACAAATTAAATGAACTAAAATTGGCTGGACTAGACATCAATGACTTGAGAGATAGCGACTTGGAAGATCTTGGCGGTGCTGATGAATCCAAGGACAAGTGTAAGAAGATGAATTTCATAATTAAATCTGATGTTTTTGGATCGGCTGAGGCTATCAAGGAGAGTATCAATGGGCTAGGTAATGACGAGGTCAAGGCTGTAGTTGTATTTGAAGAAGCTGGCTTGCCCACTGATAATGACCTCGATAGAGCTGAAGCTGCAAATGCCCAGATCCTTTGTTTTAACATTAAAGTTGGGAAAGATATTCAGGCAAAGGCTGCACAAAGAAATATTGAGATCAAAGAGCATAATGTTATATACCATCTTATTGAAGACGTCACAAAAGTACTTACAGATCAATTAGCACCTCGTATCGAAAGAAAATTTTTAGCTGAAATCGATGTTAGAGATATCTTTACGATTACGGGCAGAAATAAGAACAAATTCAAAATTGCTGGTTGTATGGTGGCTACAGGATTGATTAAGAGAACTTCCCTCGTATTGGTAGAGAGAAAAGGAAAGGAAGTATTTAAAGGTAAGTTATCATCTTTAAAGCACGTCAAGGACGATGTTAACGAAGTGAAGAAGGGTTCTGAGTGTGGTATACAATTAGAAGGTTGGGAAGAATTTGAAAAGGGCGATGTAATCAAAGTTTATGAAGAGGTGGTACACCCAAGGTACTTGTAATAAACTTCAAGTAAAAAAGTATAAAATTTAGAAATATTCCAAGGCAGAGTCATAGAAGGAAAAGAAATCGAACTACCTAGAACATTCATAGATGGCAGAAGAATCTCTATACTTGGTCATAGAGTGGGGATCAAGACTCTTGTATATAATCCTGTATATAGTACAATACGATCTTTTTTTTTTTGCAATTTGTTGTTCCAAACTTGCGATGATCATCGCCATTGGCACAAGTAAGACGGTAGTTAGTAATAGAAAATAGCAGATATGAGCTCTCACGATGCATATTCTTCTGAAGAAGAGGATGAATTTGATAGAAATTCAAAATCCAATGTTTTAATAGGATTGGTTGACGTTAAAATAGATGGAAACGAAGATGAGCCAACCTTTGAAGATACAATTCTTGGAGGGCAGCCGGTTTGGTTGCATTCCAATTCACGTCCCAAGGACGAATTATTGACATGTGGTAATTGTGGAAAAATGATGGCCATGTTGTTGCAAGCTTTTTCTCCGTTCGACGATGAGTTGTACGATAGAGTAATTTACATCTTTGCATGTCCTGACACAAGAACATGCTCTAAGAAAGCCAATAGCGTGAAGGCTATTAGGGGTATATGTAAAGACCCAAGTAAAATCAGTCAGTTACAAAAAGAGGAGGAAACTGCATTAAAAAAGTCATTAGACGAAAAGTTGAAGTTAGAAGAGAAGAAAAAAATACAATTTGAAGCTACCAAAGACTTATTCGGGAAAGGGAATCAAGCTAGCAATCCATTTAGTGCTAGTGACAATCCGTTCAGTCAAGGTGAAAACCCATTTGAGAGGAAGGCAGAGAATCCATTTACAGCCAAAGCAATTCCTGATCCATCTGGAAGTTCCCCAAAGACAGAAAAGGAATCGTATGCTGATGCTGCCAAGAAGAACCAGGTAGCTTCCACAGCAGTTCGAACCACAAGAGCCGACAGCATCGAGTTACCAGAGTACACCAGTTACTTTTTATATGTTCAGGGTGAAAAGTATAAGAAATTCACCGATCCTGACCTTGAAAAATATAAGCATTTAACAGAAATGGATGTTGATTCCGGTAGTGGGTCGGGAAGTAGCAAAGGGGGAAAAGGAGGCTCAGATTCGTCTGCTCAGCTTGACCCTGGAGCCGCCAAGATCTCCAATATGTTGGACGACACAGTATTCGAAGCATTCACCAACAAGGTTAAACATAATCCATCACAGGTACTTAGGTACGAGCTTGGAGGTAAACCATTACTCTACACTGGAAGAGACTCCACAGCAGCCAAGTTTCTTGGTAAAGAGATCACCATACCTAAACCTGGATACAATCCGTCATCTTCGAGACAATTCGAACTTCAGCTCATGCCCAAGGCTATTATGGACTTAGAGAGCGATATCATCAAAAAGGATATACTAGAAGGAATGGAATGGGGAACTATAATAGTTGCAACAGACGTTGAAGACTACATTCCTGAATTGGATGAGAATTATGTTGGATACGTAGAAGAATGGTGTGGGGTACAATGGGAAGAACTGGTTTAAGATTAGAGTTAGACCTCGAAGGTTTGAAACCTAGTATGCTTTTTGAGAATGCTTTTCAAGAACAGAGTTATGGAATCTTTTGATGAACTGAAACAAAGTTTAGAAGTTGACCAAGGTTCACTATTGCCATATTTAAAGTGTATATAGTTAATAACATAATATAAGCTCAGCGATATGTAGTAGAGGACTATCAGGCATGAACACCAGGCGTTAATACTAAGCATTGCAACCTATATGTATATGTCTTCCTCAGATGTTCGGTATTGCGACTTCAAAGTGTATATAGTATATAGCCCAAGATAATTAAAGCTAAGCGACTGCAGGAGATGAAATGCCAGCAGTTGCACGCATATATACACCCATACAGACACCTATACATACACATATACAGACACCCATAGATACACCCATAGATACACACACATACACACACATACACACACATATTCCATGTATCGCTCTACTATAGCAGATTGCAAAGCAAGAGAATTTAAAGCGCGATCAAAATGCAGCACATCTGCGCGCATTTAGGGTATTCTATGCACCTGTAAATGCAGAAAATAAGGCCCATCACAACCAACAAAAGAGGACGTAGCATGGTGCTACAACCCCCTTCAAATGTTCTAAGTGCTATAGCAAGCTCATTATCAGAGAAGTACAGATTCCCTCACTTCAAGTGAGACGCAATGGTGGCATTCAACGGCTCCTATACGGTATTTCCGCGCCCAACCTAAATGTATAATTTAGTAAAAGGCGAACATGGGTCGATGCGCAATGACGTACATCACATAGTAATTGACCATATTTTTTTCTATTTTTGCTAATGTCTGGCGCTGGAGCAATGGTGTTCCAAGTTGAAGCATGAGACGCTGATCTGTTTCATATGGATGCACAACAAACCAAACAAGCCTTGTACAAAGGAGGAATCGCATTACCAATAACCACTTAACAGCAATAGCAGTCCCCTACCAGCTCCAACACAGCTCCAACGACTTCCCCTATCCAGAGAGAGACCATCCAAGGCGTTCGAATATAAATAGAAACTGAACCAAAAAAAAAAAAAAATTACGTAGGTACGCCTGTTCTCGTTTTTCATTTTTCCTAAGTCTCACTTGGCTGCTTTGCATTGCTCACAACGCTTCGGAAAGAGCTCTAGATAGACTAGCGATGCACTTGTGATTTTCTTCGATTCAATTATCTCGGTTTTACTTTTCTGTTGATATATATATATTATCTTGTCAAAAAAAGGTTTACTTCTATTCGCGTAGGCACACAGTATCCCGCAAAGCACCTTTTATTTTGACTCTTATCTTTCGCTTATCATAATGTCAGCCTCAAGCTCAGATGAAGAAACCTTCAAATCAAACATAAATCTACCCAACTTCAATCTAAGGAAGAAACAACCGAAGCCTAATCGCAAGAGAAACCTCGCTAAAGCCGGACAGAAACTCAAATCGGGAGGAAAGGCAGTGAGATTCCCTCTGAATCCCCTGCTGAACCGTCATTCCACGATCAGTACATCAACGAAAAATGATGATTCAAGCGATTCAGATTTTCTGATTCAAGAAGGCGTCAGTATGGAACCTGAATTTGACTCAAACTTACCTAACTTCACATCTTTTAACCCAGGCATTGGAACATCTTCACGTATGGAAAACAACGATGATGGCGAAAGTGAAGAAGATGAGGAAGAAGAGGACGAAGACGATGTCGATAGGAGGTTAAGTTCTGCGGTGCCACAGTACTCCGATGATGATGACAGCTCAGTAAACGAATCTGTGCATCCTTTTGAACAGCCGCCTGCTCCCTTACAAGAACATCAGACAAGAAGATCTTCACAATCGTCACATAACATATTCCGTAGAAATTCCAGGCAGAATTCCGTAAGCACAGATATCACCGAACAAAGAGAGGACGCCACTTCATCCCGTTCCTTGAATTCCGAAGAAAAAGCGTCAGGTTTCAGGCAGCTTTTGCGCAGAATGACATTAGTAGGTGATAATCCAGCAGAGGATGCTACCTTTTCCGAAGCTGCGCCATCTGCCTCGGATACTTTCCTTGGCAGAGTCTTGAGTCTCTCGCAGAATGGTGGTACTGGTCTTAGTGGAGGAGGTTTGGCACCAGGAGGCTCTAGGCAGACAGACCCGAGACTCAATAACATTGATGAAGAATCTGAGGTAGGGTTGGATCCAGAAGATCCAATGTCTGAAGCCATTGAGTTGAAAAGGATGGACTTTGCAAAACTAAGTGAAGAAGCTCAGCATTTGATATCAGGGCATGTACCAGAGTCTAAAAAATTGATGAAGCATTTAGATATAGATGAAGTCCACGAAGAATCTCCCACTGGAAGGTCCCAGGACTTAGAAAAAGAAAACACCGAAGTGAATCATACGCCCCCTCCCAACGAAGAGTCTGAAGAATTCCTAGCTCCAAATCCCGATCTTTTCCTTAGAGGTGAAGGTCGTCATGAAGATGACGACTACATGATGTTAGACGAAGAAGTAGGAGGTGGTTACATTCCACCACCAAGTAAAGTTCATGCTGGTGTGCTTTCATCCTTACTTAAACTTTATCAGAATCCTCAAGAAGCAAAGTCCTCAGGATCATTTGCCACAACATCAGGCGGAACTACTTTAGCTGGCGATCAAGATGATGATTATATGTATGAAGGAAAGCGTTCACACACTACGGAATATAAAAAGATCAAGAAAGGAATACGTAATGCTCCTAGACATTTGATCAATGTCATACCAGGAAGCAAGAAAAAGACTGCCATAGCTGATACGACCAATAGCTCAGGTGAAAGCCCTACAAATGAAAAGTTTGGCAGTGGTAATGATTCTGAAGATGGTGAACTTGATGAAAGTGCTCGTGCATTACCTTCTTTCCAGAATGCCAAACCTAAGTTTGCCCCTAAAAAGCAAACAAATGTAAAAGTTCCAAAGTTTACAGGTAAGAACAAGAAGAATAAGTTAGCTCAACAACTTCGTATTACAGTACATATTGCTGACATTCTTCAAAGACAAAGATTTATATTGAGAATGTGCAAGGCGCTTATGTTATTTGGTGCACCTACTCATAGATTGGAGGAATATATGATTATGACAAGTAGAGTATTGGAGATTGACGGTCAATTTATGTACTTCCCAGGTTGTATGATTGTTGCATTTGGTGATGCTGCTACCAGAACATCTGAAGTTCATTTAGTTCGTTGTGCCCAAGGGTTGAACCTTTCTAAATTACGAGATTCTCACGCAATTTATAAGAGTGTTATCCACGATTATGCTGGAGTTGAAGAGTCTGCTGTTAAATTGGAAGAATTATTGAAAAGAAAGAACTTATATCCTCCATGGATGTGTGTGATTTTTTACGGCATAGGTTCATCGATGGTAGCCCCCTTCGCTTTTGGTGGAGGATGGTACGATATTCCAATTTGCTTCTTTGTAGGATGCTGTGTGGGTTACTTACAATTTTTTGTATCATCAAAATCGAATTTATACTCCTCCGTTTTTGAAGTTACTTCTTCTATCGTTGTTAGTTTTATTGCAAGAGGAATTGGAAGTATCAGTGGTGGTCACTTTTGTTTCGCAGCTATTGCTCAAGGGTCTTTGGCATTGATTTTGCCTGGGTATATTATTCTTTGTGGGTCATTAGAATTGCAATCGAGAAACTTAGTTGCTGGATCCGTTAGAATGTTTTACGCTATTATTTACTCCTTATTTATAGGATTTGGGATTACGTTGGGAGCTTCATTATTTGGGTGGGTTTATAAAGATGCTACATCTGACTCAGAATGCCCATCTGGGCACAATATGAGTGCTATCTATAGAATTATCTTCGTTCCAATGTTCTCGATTATTTTAGGAGTCATAAATCAAGCTAGCTGGAGGCAATTGCCAGTTATGGTAGTGATTGCGTCAATTGGTTACATTGCTAACTACTTTGCTGGTAAACATTTTTCAAATGTTACGGAATTTACAGCGGCAATAGGTGCCTTTGTAGTTGGTATATTAGGGAATATGTATTCAAGAATTTGGAAGGGTATGGCAGTTAGTGCTATGTTGCCAGCTATTTTTGTCCAAGTACCTTCCGGTATTGCATCCCAAAGTACATTGTTGACAGGTATTACCACAGCAGACCAAATCACCGGAAGTAATGGAACGACTACCACTACCACAACTTCCAACAGTAGTAGTGCGCTACTGTTCGGGGCTACCATGGTTGAAGTATCCATCGGTATTAGTGTTGGGTTATTTGCTGCAGCTTTATGCGTTTATCCTTTCGGTAAGAAGAGAACCAGTCTTTTCACTTTATAGAGAATTTTATGTAGACTATAAATACATGCATTTGAAGAAGAATTGGATTGAATTGAGAGAGTGATTTGCATTTAGAGGACATGAAAAATAGATTGAAAGTAAGAAGTAATAACATGAGCAGATTACGGTGTAGAGTCATCAGTTCTCAAGTGTGTTGCCTCAGTTGTGGCAGGTATTCTCTTCAGCGAAGAAAGTAGCCGGGTCCCAAGTACCCACGGGTAATGATCTTGAGGTTCATCTCGGAGATATTAGTTCGATCACCGAGTTTAAACTTTAATGAAAATCGGCCCTTTAGCCATTCTTTACCGCCTTCCCTGCCTAGCAAGCTTCCCCAGGATCTGTAGCTCTTATCAGCGCTGTACGACGTACTAAGTCTACCACATTTGAATACAGTACCTGATATCGTCCCCTGGCGGTAAAGTGAATATGCTAACGTAGTAGTGAAGCGGTGTCGGCGTTTCGTTTCAAAAATCCCGAGGCGCATCATGATGCGGAACCGCTGATAGATAAGAAAAATCTATAAAATATTCTGTACGCGCCTTCTACAAGCTGCATGGAAAGGTAATATTGCTGCAACATAGACATATATACAGTTGACAACGAATGATGCTGGAAACAAAGCAAGAAGCTGATATTACTGTACTTTCCAGTGAAGAAGAACTATATTTGGACCCAAAGAAAGAGGCTAGAGTGGTACGCAAGTTGGATAGAAATGTTCTCCCAATATTGGGATTGATCTACTTCCTCTGCGCGCTTGACCGGTCCAACATTGGAAACTCCGTTTCCGCTGGATTGCAAGAGAGTATTGGGTTAACGAATTCAGAGTATTCCAATGTAGTTTCGTTGCTTTACGTGACGTACATCTTATCTGAGATGCCCGGTACATTGTTGTTGAAAAAATTGAAGCCTCACAGGTACTTAGGATTCTGTGGGTTATGTTGGAGTTTGGTAACAATCGGAACAACTTTTGTCGGTAATTATGGACATCTTTTGGCTTGTAGGATGTTATTGGGGTTATTTGAAGGTAGTTACTTCCCATGTATTATGCTCTATGTTTCTATCTTTTATAAAAAGGAGGAACAGGGGTTGAGAATGGCCATCTTGTTGCTGTGTGCTGGTCTTGCAGGTGCATTCGGTGGGTTGATCAGTTATGCTTTGGTTCAAGTCCAGACAACAAATCCCTGGTTACAGGGATATAGATTAATTTACTTGGTTGAAGGACTTATCACGATATGTGCCATTCCATTGATATTCTTTTGGTTACCAGACGATGAAAATAGTGGGAAATTCTTCAACGATAGCGATAGAGAAGTAATGGCCATCCGTTCCAAGCAAAGATCAAACTATATGGGAGAAGAAGGATTTCTGTGGGTTGAAATTAAGAAGGCATATTTGGATCCAAAGACATATTTCAGTATGATTATTCAATTTTGTCAAGATTTAATTTTGTATTCATTCTCTACGTTCTTACCTAATATCTTGAAATCCGGCTTGGGCTATAACACCAATGAAGCGCAGTATATGACCATCCCTGTGTATATTGTAAGTGTTATTGCAGTCATTTCAATCTCATATTTGAGCGATAGAACTAGCCTTAGAGGGCCCTTTATTGCTGGTGCCAACGCTTTGGGGATTATTGGATACATTATATTGTTGGCAAGCGGAAACAACAAGGCTAAGTACTTTGCTTGTTACTTAATAGCATTCCCATTGTACATATGTCCAGGTTTGAATTTATCGTGGACAGCAAACAACTCGTACCCTCATTACAGAAGGGCAACGTCGATGGGATCGAATCAAACCCTTGGTAACCTTTCTGGAGTCATTGCTGGTCAAGTCTATAGGAATTCACCATACGTTTTGGGCCATTCCTTTGGGTTAGGGTGCTTGTGTGTTTCAATTATTGCAGTTGCCTTAAATACTCTTTGGTTGAGATATTTAAATAACGAAAAGGAGAGAATTTTGAACGGTGAAAAGGTAGATAACAAGTCCGAAAGAACAGGTGACCACGAACTTGACTTCAGGTATTGCTATTAGAATAATGGCTGCGAAAAGTCTATGTAGCACAACCTTCGCCAATAACCAGGTTCACTCGGAAAGCCCTCTATGTAACCAGTTGAAATTGAGCGACGTTATTGATTTCTGGGAGATAAATATATACATACATATACAAATAAAATGAATAATCGTGTACCTAAACGGTTTGAGGGTGTGATGCCTTACTGTAGCTGGGGATGTGCGACTTCGAATAAAGCAATGAAAAGGCACCAATCCTTACTGATAATAGAGGTGAAATTCCCCTCAAAGGCAAATCAAAGGCCAACTAGTATCATTATGTTTCTCGAAAGCAACACACTTACTCATTTTCACAAGCACCTGCTCCTGTTGACAAGCATGACACTCTCGTCCTTCAACCTTCTTCGATCTTTTGGTTGCATTTTGTGCTCGCTTTGTGTAACAACGTTTCTGAAAAAAAAGTGATTCATCAGTACAGCCTAATTTACTATCGGACTGGACATTCAGTTACGATAGAATAAAGCAAACGAAAAAGGCAATTACGATGGTCGGATATGCTCAGGAAGAAGACGACTATGACATCGCATCTGATGGCGAAGAATTCAATGAAGATACCTTGGACGATGATGAGTATGAACAGCTCTATGCTCAGTTGCCTCTCCTAAAGAAGGAACTTGAGAGCTACAACGACGACATTCAAGAAATTGATATGAAGGAAGCCCTTTATTTTAACTATTACAAGATAAATGAAGCAGTAGAAGAATTAAAGGACAAATATCCCAAGAAAAAGAAAGGTATGTATACAATTTCAACAAGACAAATTCAAAGAAGCGGAGAGGTACTTACTCTTGCTTCCCTTGCGTATAAGGCTATCAGGCTCACTCTATTCTCCTCAGGGTCCAATTTCTATACCTCTCTCCAGCCGCTTTGAAACTTGTAAACCTGCAAAAAGTTTTAACTTAAAGTTCTAGCATCCTAAACAACGTTAGTTATAATACCACCGCCTTCTCCGGTACTGGGAAACAGCTCGCCTGCTCCAGAGATCAAGAAGCCCATGTCAAAATTGGCTCAACTCGCCCATATGAGGAAGCAGCAGCAGCAGCAGCAGCAGCAGCAGCAGCAGCAGCTGACGCAGCTGACGCAGGAGCTGAAACTAAAAGAAGTTTCAGAGTTCCAGGAAGGTGGAGATAGGAAGCCACCTTCAAAGCTAGCATTATTGGCCAAGTCAAGAGCAGCAAGTGCAAACAGATCAGCATCAAGTTTAGATAACCTCAAAAGAGTGCCGAAGGACACAACAGAAACCAAGAAAACCCTTTCACTAGGAGGAAACATCACTAATTCTAGCATAAGAATGTTGCGTAAGAGAACGAAGGAAGATGCTGAAGCTCATTCGTTCCCAATGCCCGACACCGCTCCAGATGTACTCAATGACAGAGTGAGCAGTACAACTAATGTAACGAAGAAGCTGTCGGCTGATATTCCTCCATATAACGTTGTTTTCGATGACTCTAACTTACTTAAACTTGCAAAGTCACCTTTGTCATGCTTCTTGTTCAATGAAAACGATGTAGACGATGTGACTAAGAAGAAAAGGAAATTGAACCAGTATAAAGATATTTTTGAACCGATTACTAACCATGAAGTTAATTCGAAGACTGCCAAAAAGATCCAGGCTAGCTTTGATGAGCCAAGCCCTGATCAGAAGGTTTTAGATGCGCAAAGTGCAGCATTTGAGGCAAATATGGGTGGGTTGAGCATCGAAGAAGCTAAAAACCAACAGGAGAAGAAAGAAAAGGAGGTTAAGAAAGACGTAGTGATTAAACAGACTAAGCCTTTCAAGAAAATTGATTTAGACTCAAAGCTAAAGTCAAGTGACAATTACCAGAAACCAAGTAAGTCCTTTGTGGTCATTGGACACGTGGACGCTGGGAAATCTACACTTTTAGGTAGAATTCTCTATGATGTGGGAGTGGTTGACGCCAAGCAACTCAATAAGCTCACTAGAGAAGCCGACAAAGCAGGGAAGGGGTCCTTTGCATTAGCCTGGATCATGGACCAGACCACCGAGGAAAGATCCAGAGGTGTTACTGTTGACATTTGTGCAACAAACTTTGAAACTGCAAAAGCCAAGTATACTGCTATAGATGCACCAGGGCATAAGGATTTCGTTCCTCAGATGATTAGTGGAGTTACCCAGGCAAATTATGCGGTGGTGGTCATAGACTCTATCAATGGAGAATTTGAATCCGGATTCAATATGGATGGTCAGACCAAAGAACATACTCTTTTGGCTCGTTACTTAGGAGTGGAGAGAATCATTGTGGCAGTAAATAAGATGGATAAAGAAAAGTGGTCACAGGATAGATTCAAGGAAATTCAACACCAAATGTCAGAATTTTTGACCAATCCTGAGGATGATGTTGCATTTAAACCCGAACAAATTGAATTTATACCTCTTTCGGGCTTGACGGGGAACAACCTTGTGAAAAGAGATCAAAGCATTAAGGAATTCTCATGGTACACTGGGCCCACATTGATAGAGTATTTGGATCTGTTGGATATCCCTAAAGGACAACAAATTAAATCAGGTGAAGAGTTTTCTAAAGAAGAGTTTAAGCTAACTATTAATGACGTATTTGAATCATCAAATTCTGATTTCGTAGTAACCGGAAAGATCATATCTGGAGTGGTGCAACCAGGAGAAACCGTGAATATTTTACCTAGTAATGAGTTTGCTCAAGTTCAATCGATTACCACGTCTGTATCTGATCAACAGAATGTTGATTTTGCCATACAGGGAGAAATAGCACTGTTGAAGTTCAAGTCGAACCAGTTGAAAAATACGATTACTTCTATTGCGACTGGAGACATAATTTCAGGCTTGAACTCCCCAATTAAATCTACTGATACGCTCACCTGTGAAGTCAAATTGTTCCAAATGTCCAAGCCATTGCTTGTTGGAACTCCATTTGTCTTGTTTAGGAACACATTTCAATCACTGGCCAGAATCACCAAAATTATTGAAATAGTGCTGGATGGCAAAAAGAAGAAGAAGAAAATGCACTTAGTATCAAGGCAAGTCGCCATCATTGAGATCCAATGTGAAAGACCACTCCCCGTTGCAACCTACGAGCAAAATGAGATACTTGGTAGAGTAGTATTGAGAAGGGAGGGATTGACTATTGGGGCCGGGAAGATTGTCGAAGTATAGAGAAGGCTATAGTAAAGAAGGAGGACACCATATCAGTTGCGTCAGCTGAATTATATTGTATTTGTATTTATGATTAGCTATGGAGTGGGCTCGACTTTTATCTATGTTATATAGTCCAAAAACAATATCAAGAGTGCTACTACTATACTAGTAGTTATTATTATTCTAGAACCCGTCTTATTCCTAGATGTAGCATTTGTCAAGCTCTTATTACCCATTTTAACGTCCAATTCGATTTGTCCTTGGTTGTCTAGCAAGTTCTCGATCTGCTCTGATTGACTTTCGAGTTGGAACGTAAGTTCAGCCTGTAGCTTCACTATGTCCATCATGGACCCACGAAGCTTCTCAACTTGCTGAAATTGATTCGTCTTGAGAGTCAAGAATTCCTGGTTTTCTGCATCGAGTGACTGCACTTGTTCCTGGCTTAGAAGAAGACCAGAGGCAGGAGAACCAGCTCGGTCCATACTCTCTAACTCTTCCGGCGGTATGTTGCTTGTATTTATTACATATGGTTCTTCAGAAGGAACATTGAAGTCATCGAGATCGTACTCATGCTCACCCAAATTCTGGAAGTTCAACAAGTTTAACTGTCTTTCTCTTTGGTATCTCTTGATCTGCATCTTTTCAAACTTTTTGTTGACGTTATTCGTCAAGTTGTTCAACGACTTGAGCACTTGTGTTCTGTGCGTGCTAGTCGTTGCTTGGAACAAAACCCAGTCATCTTCTTCGTCATTACCACTTCCGAAGATACTACCCATCCAGCCTGATCCAGCACTACGTGCCTTAATAGTAGAATTTGCTCTATTTTGCCTCTCTCTTTCGTAGTTCTGGAGCAATTTCAATTTCTTGAACAATTGCTGAATCTCGGCCTGGAAGTCTTCGTCGATCTTATTCTTGTCCTCAATGGAGAGCGAGTCTGGCCGGCTCGTAGTATCTTGAACTTCAAGGTAGTACGTACGAACTTCAGTTACAAACTGATCCAATTTGGATAAGAGAACTCTGAATTCTAGGCACTCTTTGAGAAAGGTATCGTTAATCTTGAACTGCTCGTTCACCTTGGAGCTGGGCAATTCATTGGGTTTCTTGGTGCTTTTCAGGTGCTGTTCTTTCTCGTTTGTAACTTCTTTCGTTGCTGCTTCCACTATACTAACACATTGCCTGAAAAGAGGAGTCAAATCAGACATACTGGCCGATATCTGTGGTATATCTCTGGAGTTCTTCTCTTGAGATCACTCTTCCTAAGCGTCTACAAGTTTTTGGGATCTGGCATATTCGCGTATGCAGGAAAATGCAACCATTTCGTGAAGGTTGGGAAGATGGTACTAGGGTAGCTACGAAAGAAGCCAGAGATGGGAAAAGTGAAGTTTTATGTATATAGGTGGGTAGGTAAGAAGATGTAGATGGAAGAAAACTTGCACTTTTTCTTTTTTCCTCTTTTTGGCTGCATTTGGCAGAAATTGAGTTCACTTATCATCGCTGCCTCACATCGTAGTACTGGTTCACTACTGAACAAGATAGCACTTGCTACCGATGGAAAGCAGCTGTGCTCCTCTAGCTACAACTCGCTCTACGCCCTTTTACTGTCAATTGGTTATTGTAATATGTCATATATTTCAGAATATTTAGAAGTGGACACTTTTTCATTTCTCCGATCCTTTTGCTCCTCTCTCAACCATTGAGGAAGTCGACACACTCAGTCACATCGATCTGGTCTAAACCAGGGCCGTGATATCCGCCACTTTCGAAGCTCTGAGTCACATACACAAGATTCCATCTCCCATTGAAGCTGTTACCGTGTATACTAGGGTTTGCATAGTTGTACTCTCTCTTCTCTTCTGGTGTCATGTTCACATATGCGTGGTACTCCGGAGCTCCAGGTCTAATAATATTGTCACCAACCAAGACTGTACCAGGTGCCACCAAATTCAAAGATTCCAAGATTCTAAGATCTGGAACGTAAAGATCCTTCCTGTGATCAATTAATACAAAGTCGAAAGGAGTATATTTACCGTCGTTTTCCTTTCTTATTCTTTGCTCGAATTCGACTAACGTATCTGCTGCTGGTCCTACAATTATCTCTACTCTATCTTCCAATCCAGCAAGTTTAACGAATTTACGAGCAATTGATGCAAACTTTTCACTGATTTCGAAGGAATAGTATTTAGATTTGGGGTTTGCGTTGGGTGAGTCTAATTCAAGTAAATGGGTCAAAAGAAGGGCAGAGTAACCCATGTAACAGCCCAACTCCGCGAAGAGCAATGGTTCAGTAGTTGTACTTGAAGATTTCTTTCTTTTCGTTAATTCCTTTCTGATGATTTCTGCTTTTTCACGTCCAAGAAACATAGCAACTGGACAGTGTTCTTCAATCAATTCAAGTACTTTGGCTGGGTTACCCTGAACCTTGTCTAAGGTTTCCTGGGGTAATGAGAAAATCGACTTCTCGAGGTTGGCTTCCTTGTCACTCATGCTAAAATAATTACTTACAGAAGAAGCTAAAGAGAACATACAATAAAGTAATAAATAAATTAGTATAAATTACACTTCCCACTTCCTACATAATCGTCCCACCTCGACGATCTACCTATCTATATATATTCCCCACATTCTATTTAAGTGTATGCAACATTGCGTGATTCACCGGGAAAAAAGGTGGTAGACAGAAACTTCGTGTATACACAATGAACTAAGCCATCACCATACACCGATATCGCTAATGGAATAGGGTTTATGTTTGCTGCTCGTGCTTAGCCGCTCATTGCATTGGCATCAACACTTTTACATCTTTGCCACTTGCCCCGCTTCTACACCTCTATTGTTCCTATTAAGCCTTCTATGAAAATTTCCTCTTTACTAGTACGAAACTTTATATTTTTTAGCACCGAGATGAAATTTAACTTATTATTTGCACTAATTTTCCATGACTGGTGAAGAAACGGTTCATTTCTTAGTATGATCTCACTGGCACTGACAGCGGGGTCACTATCATTATTGTTATTACTATTATTATTTTTATTATTATTATTAGTAGTAGTAGGATCACTGTTCTCCTTACTGCAGTAGATTGGCTTACTTAGTACCAGGCTTATTATTTCGAAAAAATCAGTGTCCCACTTGTACTCGTAGATCGTTAGTAACAACTCTATATAACCAAACTCAGCCGCCCTGACTTGGTGTGACTTATGTTGCATGCATTGCTTGAATAGGTACACATTTCCGTAGAAAAAGTCGTTCTTAGCGTTTGAGCTCATTGCAATGTTTTTGGTGAGTATGTCTAGTAGATCTTGGTTGTGCGAGGATTCGGTTATTACTGGTGTTAATTGTGGACTTCTCCTCGATAGCTCACAGAGAATCTGAATACTTTGCAATGTCACTTCATTAATCTCGTCTATAAATACATTGATAAACTCAGTTAGCTTAGTTAAAAGCTTCGGAGACTGGAACAAAGCCCCTGGCGAGGCTACGGCGAACCAGTGGATTGATTTCAATGCTAGCACGATATCTGTACTACTTTTTGTGCGACTACTACTAGTACTGTAATTTCCGTTATACTGTAGAGGAGATTCTACTACTTCCCTTTCTAGTTTTGAGAAGATATCGTACTTCTGCAACAATCCTATAAACTGCTGATTAGAAGTGAGATTTGGGTGTAAAATGCTTAGCAAGGTGCCAAAGTCAAGCTCATTCTTAGACACCTGAATCCTTATGAACTCCGAAACTATGTTCAAGAAGCAGTATATTGGAACAAATTCGTCCAGATTGTACTTGATGTAGAAATTCAGAATCTCAACTTCATTTAAATGCAACACATAATCCTGCCCTACGTTTGAAACTAACAAATTGGAAATTTGGTTGCATTTGCAGAACTGCTGACTACAGGGAACTACAGAGGAGTTGCTAAGGTTTGGTTTCTTTCTTGCATTGTTTTGCAACATCGATGGACTTGCAGACCTTTTCAATAATGTGGCCATTTTAACTAGTATCACTCCTTTTCAAAATTCAGAATCTACTCTTTCTTATTTTAATGTATGTCTTGTGCCTCTCGCTCTAAACACTGCTCAGACCCCGAACCCTAAAAAATATCTGAACTGAGTCGCTAACCTGTTAAAAAAAAAGGAACCAAGATTAATACGATAATGAGCTAAATATACCTTCTCAAATCATCCTCAGGCCCCACAAAATGGTGTCATACAGTCAGCTCCACGAGTTTATTTTCAACTGTGGTTGCTGGAGATAAGAGGATTATTTTTCTGTACCACCGTTTTTTTCACTATTTTAGGCATTTTTTTTTTTCACTTTACCGTTTATCGTAAAATTTTAATTCCATACTGGAAGTATCCACAGTTTAGGAAAACCCATCAGAGATCCCCTTTAGTAATTGTATCAGCAGCATCGATGTCGGTAGCGTCGCGCTTAGCAGAGCTCAGGAAAAAGAAACTCCAGAGTAAAGAGGACAACAGAAAGGATCTAGCTAAAGATTTCCAAAATCAAAGGCGGAAGTCATTGAAATTAAAGGAATTAGAGAAAACAGCGGAGAAGGATGAAGGGTACGATGAAGATACAGAAAAAAAGAAAGATCCTAGATTAAACAACTTATCGTATACTCTAGAAGAATGCGAAGAGTGGGACGAAAAGAAAAACCTACGCGAACAAGCAAAGAAGAGATCATCAGGGAATGATTATTCCGTACTAGCTGAGCAGGTGTACAACAAAGAAGTACTGAGAATTGAAGTAGATAGAGAAGATTATGCGAAGCAAAAAGCACATGGTGCGGCCAAAAAGGGCACTTATAGGAGCGACAACTATTTAGTTCAGAAGCCAAGTACTGCGAAAGTGAATGCATTGGCAAGCGGGATAATAGAGACAAGCAAGAAACGAGCTGATGCCCTCAGAAAGAAGCAAGAGGCTGCAACCAAAAATGACGATAGCAGCTTCATCAATGAAAAGAACAAGCAGTTTAATATGAAGATAAACAGGGAATATAAATGATGTACATGATAACAGGGAACCCAACGACAGGCTCTCAAACGCAAACGCAAGCGCAAGCAAACTGGCCCGCCGGTATACTCAACAGCACAGCATAATGTACCATAAAAGGTACCATAGACGCATAGACTAATGAGAAAGTAGTTAACCATTACACCTCAATACTACTTCTCACGCAAATGTTTGATGTAGTTTTCCACGCACTAAAATGTAAATTAAGAAGTAGCAGAGCGTATCTAATGCCATGCCATACGAAGTAGCACTCAGAATTTAGTCGTAGATCGTATTCGAAAATGAAGAAAACTGTCTCTTCCTTTTCCACCTACTCTTCTCTATTTCCAACATCATCCCTCCAGACCACTACTCTCCTCTTCCAGAGCACTTCCTGAGCACTCTTCCATCCTCTCCTCTCATACTGCTTAAGTACTAACAGTGCACGGGTTACCCGGATTTTCCACTGTTGAAAAAATTTAATTTTTGTGTTAACAAAAGTCACCGACAGTGAAAACAACGACAGTATTGACTACTACAGCTCGTGCATTTGATTAAGGCAATCGAAAGTGTATATTCCTCTATATATACGTAGACTTATCCCTGCTCGATTGATATCATCATGGCTAGAGAAGAAGATGAGATTATAAAGACAGATGGAATAGAAGAAGGGGAAGACGAAGTCCAAAGAAATGGAGGTGGTGGAGGTGGATTGATTGACGATGATGCCGAAGTATCGGACGAAGGATCTGTAGACTCCTCAGACGAAGACGATGAAGACGATGATGACGAGGAAGCAATTCAAAAGGTTCGTGAAGGATTCATTGTTGATGATGACGAAGAAGAAGATAACGTAAAGAGAAGTAGGAAGCACAAGAAGAGAAAGAGAAGATCGGAAGAAGCAGAGCCCAAAGCTAAGTCCGATAATAATGACATTGATGCCTTGGATGAGGACGATTTGGAATTGTTATTGGAGAATTCAGGTGTCAGAAGAACAACTAATGAACAAAAGAGCCAAGAGGGTAAATTCAAGAGGCTTAAGAGAGCTCAGCAAGACGAAGCAGAAGCCGGCGATGACGAAGACAACGTAAAGGCAAGCAGTCTCAAATCCCAAAGAAGAATAGCAGGAGGATTAAACGATATGTTCTCAGACGATGGTGAGGATGAAGACCAGCTCGAAGACGATGACGATGAACAGCTTGTGCCATCCACAGCTCAGATGTCAATCAGACCCACTGTAGGAGATGACCGTAACATCTTGGACGAGTTTGAAGACTTTATTGAAGATGATGAGTTTTCTGAAGAGGACGAAGACCGTAAGCGTCAACTTGAAAAGCAAAGGGCTGCTCAAAGAGCTCAGAGGGCTGGTCCAAGGTTAGACACCTCTAAGCTTTCCTCGGTTGACAGAGAGTCATTGCAACAGTTATTTGAAGTTTTCGGTAACGGTGCAGAGTACGAATGGGCTTTGGAAGCTCAAGAAATTGAGGATGATGGAAATCGTGAGAATGTAGAGCCAACTTCGTTGGATGAGGTGTTCGAACATGCAGAATTGAAGGAAAGAATGCTTACCGAGGAAGATAACATGATCCGTATTGTTGATATCCCAGAAAGATACCAAAAGTACAGATCCACCTTGAACTATAATGATTTGGAAGGTTCTGAATTGATCAATGAACAACAATGGATTTATAAGTTGTTGTTAAAGGAGAAGAGATCCAGTTTGAGTCCAGAAGTGGAATCCGCCTTCAAAGATGCTGTATACAAGGTTGTTGAGTTTGTTTCCAAAGATTGCTATGAGGTCCCATTTATTTGGGCTCATCGTAGAGATTTCCTTCTCACCACCCTTGATTCTGTGGATCCCATTGATGGCAGCGTTACCTCTCAAGTTCATAAATTGTTATATGAAGATGATTTGTGGAGAATTGTTCAATTGGATATTGAGTATCACTCTCTTTATGAAAAGAGAATAAATATTGAAAGACTTATTGAAAGTTTAGGATTAGAAGGAGATGATCTCGTAAAAGATATTAAGAATTTGGAAACAATGGTTGCCATTCAAGATTTACATGATTACATCAACTTCAATTACTCAAGTGAAATAAGAGAAATCAGCAAGAAGGAAGAAGAAAGGAAATTAGTTGCCGAAGAAGAGAACGAAGAGGATGAAGAGGAAAATCCAGCTTCCTCTTCTTCAACATCTAAATCTAAGAAACATTCTAAATTTGCAGTATTCGAAAGGATAAGGTCCAATGTCTTGTACGATGCTGTAAAAGCATATGGTATTTCTGCCAAAGAATTTGGTGAAAATATTCAGGATCAATCTTCTAAAGGATTCGAGGTTCCTTATCGTATTCATGCCACTGATGACCCATTGGAATCACCTGAAGACTTGATAGAAAAGATCTGTGAAGATGACGAAATCTTATTTAAAGATCCTGCTAACGCAATTCAGGCAGTCAGAAAGACTTTCGCTGAAGAAATCTTCCACAATCCAAAAATTAGACACGAAGTTAGAACTACTTACAAAGATTTTGCATTAGTGAGTTGTACTGTTACAGAAAGAGGTAAGATAATTATTGACAATCACTCCAAGTACGCCGATTTGAAGTATGCCATTAATAGGAGCCCTTCAGATTTGGTCAGTAATCCCGATGTGTTTTTACGTATGTTAGAAGCTGAAGCATTGGGATTATTGGTGGTCCATATTGAAACCAAAGATTATAAGAATTGGTTCCAGTGTATCTTCAATTGTCTTATTTCTGATGGTTCTTCCGATATCAGTGAACAGTGGAACAAGGAAAGAGAGATTGTTCTTGAACTTGCATTTAAGAGATTGACCTCCATGGTTGCATTAAACACCAAGGAAGATTTAAGAAGAGAATGTGAAAGATTAATCTCGGCTGAGGTTAGGAGGAATGTGTTAGATAAAGTTGATCAAGCCCCATACACTCCTCTTGGCTTTGACAAAGGTACTAAACCGAATGTTTTAGCAATTTCCTTCGGTAAAGGTGACTTTGAAAGTGCAGTATTGGGGGTTTATGTTAAAGAAAACGGGAAAGTTGACGAATTTTTTAAGAGTGATTGTAATCCTATCAGAGATAGAGAAAACGAAGAAAAGTTTGCAGGTCAATTGAAAGAATTCTTCGAAAGAACATTGAAAGGACAAGTTCCAGACGTCATTGTTGTTCTGGGTTTCAATGCAACTTCTAAGAGGTTATTCGATAGCGTAAAGAACTTTGTCAGCAACAACAATGTCACAGTTAGTGTTGAAGATGATGAATTAGGAAAGAGAGCAGTACTAATTCCTGTGATTTGGGGTCAAGACGAAACTGCAAGATTATATCAAAATTCTGAAAGGGCGAGACAAGAGTTCATTGATAAATCTGCATTGGCTAAATATTGTGTTGCCTTAGCTCGTTATGTTCAAAGTCCATTACTAGAATATATTTCACTTGGCGAAGATATTTTGAGTTTGACCTTCTGTGAAAATCAAAAGTTAATTTCGAATGACCAAATAATGGAAGCAATTGAAACAGTCTTCGTAGATATTGTGAATATGGTTGGTGTTGAAATAAATGAAGCACTTAGGGATCCACTCACTGCTAAATTATTACCTTACGTTGGTGGTTTGGGTCCAAGAAAAGCTCTGGGATTGATAAGAAACATTAATGGTAAATTAGGAGGTTCATTAATTAATAGAAGTGATCTTATTGAACACGAATTGACAACTGCCAACATTTTCATTAATTGTTCATCATTCTTGAATATTCCATTCGATGAAGGTGTTTCTATGAGAGACTCCTCAATTGAATTGTTGGATGCTACAAGAATCCATCCTGAAGATTATGATTTAGCAAGAAAGATGGCTGCTGATGCATTGGACTTGGATGAGGAAGATATGGTTCACGTCGAAGAACAAGGTGGTATTATATATCAATTAATCCAGGATGGTGCTGGTAAAGTTGATGAATTGAATTTGACTGCCTATGGTAAGGAGTTGGAAAGTAAATTTGGAAAGAAGAAATATACTACTTTACAAAGTATCAAAGAAGAATTGGTAAACAACTTTGAAGAGTTGAGAAGTGGTTTCCATCTTTTAGAAGTAGAAGAAGTTTTCCAAATGCTTACAGGTGAAACGACGAAGACATTTGCTAAGAACATTAGTGTTCCTGTTACAGTAAATAAAGTTGTTAGACAAAACTCAAGGGGGGGTAACTATGAAGAAGCTCCTGTGCGTTTCGCTAAGGTGACCTCTTCCACTTTGATTCTGGGAAATCTTGAAGAGAATTACATCCCATCCGGAATTATTCTCAATCAAGGGCAAGTTATTCAAGTTGTTATTGTTGATGTCAGCTATGAATCATTAACTGCTGACTTTTCACTTCTTGAAGAGGACTTGAAAAGGGCCAATTTGCCCAAATTTTATAAAGATCCTTTGAAATGGAATTTTGAAGCTGAAGAAGCGGACTATCAGCGTGAACTTGCCAAAGAGAGAGCTCAACTTTCAAAGACGAGAAACATTCAACATCCATTATTCCATAACTTCAATCATAAGCAAGCTGAAGAGTTCTTAGCTCCTCAAGCTGTTGGAGACTGTGTCTTAAGACCTTCGTCAAAAGGTCCTGAGTACTTAACTGTTACTTGGAAAGTCCACACCAACTTATTCCAACATCTTAGTATTCATGAAACTTCTAGGTCTGGAATTAAACAATATATTGTGGAAAATCAAAAGTATGATGATTTAGATCAGTTGATTTTCCAACATATTCAAGCAATTGCCAAGCATGTTGATGAAATGTGCCGCCATCCTAAATTCCGTGAAGGTACTTTACAGGAAGTTATTGGTTGGTTAGAATCATACACAAAAGCCAACCCTAAAAATAGTGCATACGTCTTTTGTTTTGACCATAAAGCTCCTGGTTGGTTCTTATTATTATTCAAGGTCAACGTGAACACTCCTGTAACTACTTGGCACGTTAAAACCGAATCTGATGGATATAGATTAAAGGGATTTTCATATCCAAATATGTTGAGACTTTGTAATGGTTTCAAGCAAACTTTCAAGTCATATGTAAAAGGATTAGCCGACAGGTCCAGAGGAGGAGCTCCAACTTCAAGAGGTGGCGGAGCTCCACTGCATGGGCAACCTTTGGGAACATATGGAGGATATGGATTCTAAGGACATACTTTATTTCAATGTAAATTACGAAGGAAAGACCAACTAGTTAAATAGGTTGAAAACAAAATGAAATGTAAAAAATGCAACTCTACAAAGTAAAAAAGACAAAGCACAAGTAATATAAATATTAGTTTTAATAAATTTTAAAGATTAAATCTACTAGTAGACATTTACTTTTGTCTGTTGGCTATTCTAAGTTTTGACCTGTAACTGTCGCCATCTACATAACATCCCATTAACCATCTATCACCACCATTTTCATCGGAGAATTCGTTTCTAGAATGTAAGACACGGCGGTTGTCAAATATGACACAAGAGCCTTCCTTCATCTTGAGTTGGAATTGATTTACTGGATCATTCATCAAAGATTCAAAGAGCTCAAAGCCTTCTAAAAATTTGCTAAACAACTCTGAATCTTTATCATCTGTACAAGCCCTTTCGAATGGCCCCTGAAATGGAGGGGAGTAATTCAATTCTTTGATGTGTCCTGTGAGCGGATCCTCCACTATCAAAGGACGAGTATAGTAGTAGTATTCGTTATTATTGTCATAGTGGAATGTTATTGGGAATTCAAGGAGTGCTTTGTATGCCTCAGGATTCGCTACCTTAACAAGTTCTGCAATCTTGAACGAGTCTGCAAATATATTCTCTCCACCAAGAGTGGAGTTGTCAATAACATGTAATAATTGAAGTCCTGGTGGAGATTCATAGTAGCATAAGTCCATGTGGAGAGGCAAGAATGTACTCGTATTCGCAATATTCTTAGCCTCTTCCTTCTCGTTCTTTACATCGAAGAGGGTGCCATAGAATGTCTTTTTGATATAGCCAAATTTGGTAGCGAGTTTAGATACTGGCCATATTTCGGCATTAGCTTCGTTCATGTTCGTTTCACTGGGCTTCGGGATATCATTCACGAATTGGAACCCAAACTTGTTTAAATTGTTAAGCGTCTTATCGAACCCATTCCCTTCAAAGTAGTCCTTGTAGGTCACCTGAAGATCTGCCAAAGAACTTTCTACGTCTTTCCTGGTCCAATAATGTTTTTGGTCGTTGAAGAATATTTGTTTCAAACTGCTGTCAAGGTCTTTGTGTTTCAACAAGAATTCCTTCAGGTAGCTTGATGTAATGCTCCCGAAAGTTGGATTGGACCAGTCAACGACTAGCGAGTCATTTTCGATTCTGGCTCCCGTGGACTTTAACCCTTTGCTAATTTGAGCAGTAGTGAATAGTTTTTGGCGGGAGAAAGGATCAACGGATTCTGGCTGAGTGCAAGCGTCTCTAAGAAAAACATTATTGTACCGAATAAGATTGTCATCAATAAGCACCAGAGTAAAATTCTCGGAGCATTCTCCTAACCTGAGGGATGCTCTTCTGGCTGTGAAGGAAGAGAATGACCTCGCGTACACCTTGAGACTATTACTAGCTTGAAAAGGCAACATTATGATGGTGTTTGAATGTAAAGAAGAAAGTGTGTTCGGTAGGTACATTTTTTTTGTGGGGCAGTCCCCGAGGCCCGAAGCTCTGGAGCGGAATTTTTCACTTCGAATTTTGATGTTCTCGTAAATCGGTCGATCATAACGGTTGCATTTCGGATGAGAAGCAATGGCTGCGAAATATTAGAGAGACCAAAATGAAACTGTAATGTCTATTAATCACTATATACTGTTCGCGTATGAGTACTCAAAGTTTCTTTTCATCGACTTTCTCGAATTGCATTTTGGATGAGAAGGTATTGCTGCCAGCTACTAGAGAGTCTAAAATGAAATTATAATATCTATTACTCACTATATACTATTCACGTATGAGTAGTACTCATAACTTTTCTTCGACTTGCTCAAATTCTTGTGTGACTTCTGGCGAGGCTTCAGCTTCTTTTGCTAAATTTCTCTTCCTATCTCTCTCAGTCAAGTAATGAGCAACCCCTGTCATCACCAAACCGAATGACGACAAGCATGCAGTGTAGGTAAACCCAATGTGGTACTCGGGCTGGTCCTTTGTATTCCATACAAATATTGGGACAAAAGCTGCAGTGACGTAAGCCAAAACGTTGGTACATACAACAACAAAATTTCTCTTCATATCGTCTTCAAACAACAAACGATTTACCCAAGAAAAGATTTGAGGTTGACCCCAAGAAGTTGGTATACCTACAAGGAAATAACACAACCAATGATAGCCAGTTGGTAAGTCCCAGTATGCCAAAGAAGAACAACCAATAATTAAACAGATGAAAAATGCACCAACGAATTGGTAATTCTTTTCCCCTCCAATGAAATCGGCATAGTAGGATATGAAAATGGTGAGAGCAATTCCGAGACCATACAAGATTGATGGATAAGTGTTATAGACGTATGAACTGACTTTCAAATCTAATTTCATCCAAGTTGTGAAAGTAGGCTGACTGATTGCAGCACAAGAATTGTTGTAGGCCAAAAAGATAAATGGGAAAACATATATGTGCCAAGTAGTGAAGACTGACTTGATCTTTTTGATAGTATACTTTTCTCTTGTGTTCAACTGGGCTCCAATCCTTCTACGTCTCTCCAATGCAATTAAAATGTCTTCTTTAGTCCAGTACCATGCATTAGTAGTTGAAGGTGTGTTTGGGTCCACGAGCATAGTATAGATACCGATGGGGAAAGAAATCACTGCATCGAAAATAAACAAGTATTGGAATGGTTTATACGTAGAGTTCTGGAAGTTCTGTAAAATTCTTTGTTGTAAAGGACCAGATACAAGACTCGCTGCTACACCTGCGCAGGCAAAGAATGAAGATCTCTTCGAAAGTTCTCTTTTACTGTACCAACTTCCAACCAAGTATTCCAAACCAGGAAAATAACCAGCTTCCGTCAACCCCAATAAAAATCTAAGCGCATACATCGAATGTAAATTTTTACACTTGATCAAGAGTACCGTTAAGATCGCCCAGATAATTTCCAAACCACCCAAGTAGTATCTTGCAGAGATTCTGTGCAAAATCAAGTTAGAAGGAATTTGACCAATAATGTAACCAACAGTCCACAATGTGGTTAAGTAATTTAACTGATTCTTATTCATATCATAATATTCACTCATACCATTAACGTATGCAGTGGTGACATTACTTGCATTCAACTGCTTAATAAAGTAACCCAACATAGAAGAAGATAAAAGAAAAAAGTCAAGTTTAAACAAAAATGCCTTTTCTTTAGGGTGCTTATCATAAGAGTCCCAAAGCAAGAGCCTTAACTTGTAGTGCCATGTGCTTCTTCTTTGTAACTCTTCTGGAGTCAACTCGACTTCAATGTCAATGTAAGGTGTTTCATCTTCTAATGACGAAGAAGACGAAACATCGTCATACACATTAACTTCCTCTAATCCATTTTTATTAATGCTTGCGTTTTCACTACGCTCAATTTCATTTTTTTTCAAGTGTTCTTGAATAATGGATTGTGCATCAATATTACCCTTGATAAGGTGGATTAATTTCATTTTTTTTTCTTTTGCTGGCAAGAGATACTACTTCTTCTTCAACTACTTTCTAGCGTCAGAACAAGGAGGCACTCCTTTATTTATAGACCCCATCCTCCCTGATCCCATTTAAACTATTGGGCTCCGGGATTTGCAATCGATTCAAATCATCCTAAAATTCTGACAAATTACGAGGCTTAAAAGGCTTGCACTAAAATATCCACAATGTTGCAACTTTGCATGTGAGCAATATGCATAATTCTCCCAAAGGAGTAGCGCACGCAAGGGAAGTAAAATAGAATTAGTAGTAGTACTGTTGATATACCGTTAGTTATATACATTTGAAGAGGTAAATGCAAGAGAAGCATGAATTACGAGGCCCTTGACAGTATTATTTGTGACAAAATCTTAAATGTATTGCCAAGTTTCCTTGGCCATAGTTCAAGTGCTTCTAAAAAAGCTTGTCATGAATTGATCCACACTCTAAATATAAAGATTCACAATGAGCAATCGCACTACTATGGCTGCAAATATTGTCAGTGTGAATTTTTTTTCGGCGGCGCCACAGATTTTTGGTGTAGATAAGGCGGGATTGCTTGTAACTCTCCGAAGGATGACTCTATCAAAGCGAAGAGTGGTTTCTTATGAAACACAGTTAACGCTTAACAGCGAGCTTGATTGGGTTACCCTGTTGCGGCAATTTGAAGACCAGTAGACAACCTCGTAAATGTTTTCGGTTTGGTCTCAGCTCGCTCCGCATTGCACCTTCCTTTTTCCTCGACAGGTCAGACATGAAGTGAAATGGAATCGCTGGATTTAAGAAGATTACAGACATGAAGTGAAATAGGATCGCTGGCCTCAAGAAGATAGCAAGCAGCTCACTGGGAATATATCCCCATTCAGACATGAATTTATCCACTCCCACGTAGCGTTTTGGCGCTGATTGGCTAACAGATCAAAAAAAAAAAAGAAAAAATCGGCTGGTGACACCCGCGAGATTCGAACTCGCGCCTCCGGAGAGACCAGGACCTTACCCTGGCGCCTTAGACCAACTCGGCCAGAGTGCCAGATAAATCCGATTCTGAAGAGTGTTTTGTACAAAATGCCTATCATAGCTATACGAAGAGGATTAGATGGATTGATATATTCACCTAAAGAACCACGTATGGCCTATTTCGGGTACGAAATCATACTTTGACGCATTATCCGGATATCAGACTCATCTCAGTTGATCAATTCCAGTCCGGCTAAAGCTGTGGTGGGAGTAACTCATAACTTAATCTTGAAGACCCCATTGGCGAGGCATAAGTAGTCAAAAGGGAAAAACGCTACCTCCTTGATATATACACTAGCATGCTCCTCTTGGGTTCAAAAGTGTTATCTATTAGTCTATGTGAATGTATATATAAATAAATAAAAATAAAAAATAAATTATTTAATAAGTAAATGCCAGAGCTATGGCCCTCACAACAACGAGATCTCCATTCAGCAGCCTTTTAATAGCTCCATAAAATTGTGCTCATATTGCAAACTTTTGTGGAAAATAATAAATAAATCCATTCCTACATTGAATGCTTTATCTTCATTCTGTCTTTTAAGTGTTATCCCGTATGTGAATTTCGTTGATAGTTTAAACAAAACCACGTAAAGCTTTCTCTGAAGTAATTGACGGATCATTGAGTATCAAAATAACTTCCACTCAGTAAACAGTACAAGAATTTAAATAACTAGTTTATCTTTAAAACTTTCTAAAGATTTAGAATTCAGTCAATATAAAAAATGGTTTTGCATGGTTATGCAGCTATCTTTTCTTTGCTTATGAAGTTTCTGTGGGTACTGTAGGATCTCCTCTATTTATACACTTGCAAATTTTCACAACGAGAAATCAAAAGTAATTTAAAAAAGAAGTAGTGGCACTCTTTAATTCCGACTAAACCCGAGCGACTACGAACATTTCAAATATCCAAACTAATGCTCTGGATATGATGTACAGCTCTTAATCCAGTGTATGTCAGCTTGCACATGGCTCCACTTAAGTAAGCGATTTTGCAGCAATTGTCATTTTTTTTAGACTTTCCTAATTCGTCGAATTACATGCGGATTATGTAATCAAGTATATGCTGCAGCTATAGTGTTGGAATGAGTATGACTTGAGTTGTAGTTAGCTCGGGCTCCTTTAGAATCCTAATGGCCCATTAAGATCAGTGAGCCACTTGTTAGTGTACTCCAAGGATGTCTGAGGATGAGATTTGTTTGCATTTTCTATCCATCACTTTATTTACGCTGCCTCTTGAGTAGTTTGTCTTTCGATAGCAATATCACTACAAGTTGCAAATATTTCTATTATTATATTAAATATTCTCTAAAAGATCTTCTATGGTATCGCTTAAAATAAGTCAAATAAGTCACACTTCAAAATGTCATCAACTATGGTTTTACCAGCAGCAAGTACTTCTTCATCGAAGTATCTTCTACCAGATAATTGCAAACCAACAGGAGCACCGACGAAATCTTCTGGGTTGTAATTACTACACTCCAATTCTTCAAGTTTGCTTCTGTACTTGTAATCGGCATGTTCAGGTCCCCAAACATCCTTTGCTGGGTCCTGGAAAATACCAGTTTGGAAAGCCAAAGTTGGTAAATCCAAAATGTTAAATAATGAGGTGTAAGACCAATTGTAAACTTCTTCTGACTTCGGAGCAACATTATTGTATGTTGGAGATAAGATAAAGTCTACTTCATTGTCATTGAGGTAATCAGTGTAGTCTTGTCTCAACTTGTCCCTGATCATGTTAAGTTTACGGTTTTCAGCTACCTCGTATGCCTTTGCACCGTCACCGTAACTTAAACTCCATTTGGTCAATTTTTTCAATGGCTCCCCAGATCCTGCCAATAATTCTCTTTGGGCGTAGTTACCATCACATGCGTACATTTTGTGCACAGTGTCATATGCTAATTTGGTGTCAAATGGCTCAAACTTAACAATTTTAACGCCAGCAGCTTCTAACTTAGCCACAACTTCCTTTAAACCTCTAGCAATTGGAGGAGAAGGTTTTACCAAGCCATCGTCGTAAATGACAGCAATAGTTAAGGATTTAGGCTCAGGTTTGGAAACCTCTCTCCATGGAATTGGAATACAATTTTGATCCAAATTCCATGGCTTTCCAACGTTAATGTAAGACTTCATCCAAATTTCAAGGTCAGTAACGGATCTTGCCATTGGACCAACCACGGCGGGCACACTCTCTTGTCCAGCGCCCCCAGATATACCACCAAAAGTGGAGATTCTTTTAGTAGTTGGTCTTAACCCATGACAGCCGGAGTATGCTGCTGGTGCTCTAATAGAACCACCAATATCACTTCCTACACCGATGGCAGAGCCACCAAACCCAACAATGGCACCTTCTCCAGAGGATGAACCACCAGACGATAAGATCAAATTGAATGGGTTCTTGGAAAGGCCGGTGAAGTTGTTGTTTGAATCCAAATGCATCAACGTCTGCGGTTGGTTGGTTCTCACGTAGAAGACAGCACCCAAGTTTTCCAAGACTTGGTTGGTAATACCATGCTCAGGAACAACGTTGTCAATCTTGGATACATATCCACCATGGGTGATTTTACCCCTGTAGTTCATTTGCTCCTTAAGGGAAATAGGTATACCGTGTAAGGGACCGACAGTCTTACCGTTCTTCTTGTAGTAGTCATCCAACTCTTGAGCTCTAGCTAAACCTTCGTTGACAAACAATTCCATGGCACAGTTGGTGAATTGGTGCGATATTATGGCTCTGTGACCAAATGCCTTCAACGTTTCCACAGCGGTTAATTCTCCCTTGGCGATCTGCTCAGCTAAGATGAAGGCAGGGGTGTCAGTGATCTTGAATTCCTTTTCGGTCAACAACTTGTTTTCATACAAGTACTTCAAGGGGTTAAATTTGTCTTCTGTGAGCTTTTCAATTGAGCCAGGTAACTCAACGGTGAATTCTGGCAAGATTCCAGCTTCTAAATCTTCTCTGTACTTCAAAACCTTTGGTAGCCACTCCTTTTGGTATTTTTCACTATCTTCATAGCCAGAAAAGTCGTCTGTAGTTAAGAATTCTGTGTAGGAAACAGTCATTTTGTTTTAATTGAACGTATAGGGGAGGTGGGGGATCTTTAGAAGTAAAGCAGAGAGAAAAAATAAGTGTAAAAGTGAAAGAAAGAAAGAAAGAACCTAACAAACTCCAACCTTGCAATCCATGGCTCCCCACACATTTTTATAGACATCATATCTGAGGTTGAGGCTCGCCTACAATTTCCTTATCAGGGTTCAGATACGAAACGATGAAATTTTCCAGTGGAACGCGTGGAGTTCCCAAAATAGAAAGTTCCGCTAAAGCTTAAAAGTGTAGGCATGCTATGTCCGGACAGGTTGATCTGCAAGTGCATGAGCAGGAGAGTAGTGCTGCAATCCTGGCACAGGGGATGATGAATGTAATTATATATAGGTGTAGTCGGATTCGTCTCACGTACACACTTTGAGGTGAGATGTACGTTGTTGCTCAACAAAAATTGCATGGAGACCAGGAAAATTCGTTGCTGTTTCCTGTGTCTTTTTACAGTTCAGAAGCGGTTGCTCGGTGCGATATAAGTGTTCATGTGGGAGAAATGATGTACATGAGAGAGAAACACTTTGCTCACAAAAAAACCTACAATTGTTGCCGGCGTAGTCTAGTGAAGATAGCCGCTGGCCTGTGAATTTAGCTTTTTTACCTGGTGCTCTGGATCGGTCTGGACAAAGAAACCAGTTTGCAGAAAATCGATAGATTCTCGTACAATGGCCTTATCTGGACCAAGAACAAGGACCGCAATTACATGCAGAATACCCACACACTCACACTCACAAAATAGCATGGGAAATCGAATCAACAAGCAGTTTCACGGTTCTTGCATTCGGATTTTTATAAATCTCTCCGGCATGATTTTCCAGGATGAGTCTTGCTGCTTCCTTGCACTATATATATCGTAGATAGCATGCCTCGCCTCAACTCTGACGACCGTAGTTACCCTTTGTGTACTCCTACCAACAACGAATCATAGAATCTTGGATATCTATCGTCCCATGTCACAGTATGCTTCTCAGTTGCACTCGATATCTCCGGCGCTCGCTCATCCTGAGATTTCTGGGATTATCATGGTTGATTACGCAAGCTGGTTCGGAGATTGCACCCGTTTATCAAGACCATTAGTAATTCCATTGCCGATAAACAAGATATACTGTTGTAATGCCAAGCAACATGCTACTCTTTGTACTCATTCTACTTCTGCCTAAATTAGATTTTACAAACACACAGTTATAATACTAGTATATTCCTATATACTTTTATATTCAACACAATAAATTATACTGAACTCTTACAATAATATTGAACTATTTCCAAGTTATATGAGATGCTCTCCTTCGTTATTTCTATTCTTTTCCTACCCAAATGTCTCCATAATATGAAAATAAATCAACAGACTTTTGGTCAAATTCGATAAATGTTCCCTTTTGAGTGCTGTCATCTCCTTTATCAGTCTGCCCTCCAATTCTATCATAAGCACACCAAAGGTATGAGTTACAATACCCAGTATCCATATGCCATGCCTCTTTTGGCTCACCAGCTACATTGTCAGCCAATGTCTCCAACTTATTTTTGAATGGTGGAACTATAGCATGTCTCAATGTAGCAGGATTCTTGTAAAACGTCTCCATTTGCTTTTGGTCAGCAAATGACTTATACCTTCTACCTTCTTTAAATTCTTTTTCATAGTTCACTTTGAAGGCTTGTCCACAGAATCTGAAACCAGAATTGAACCAAACTAAAGATTTACCATCTTCGGCACTGATATGTCCAGGATGAGCTGCACAAATCTCCTTAGAGAGTAAAGTCTTAGGGTTTTTATCGTCGACTCTTTCGTCCATTGGGGTTTCTTCCCCAATAGCTGCTGCAAAGTAGTCATTGAAATAGAAGTTTTCTTCACCAGCGGTCAAGAACGCCAAGAAGAAAATTTCCTTGTCACCATACACTCTTCCTGATACGGTCTGGAAGAAATTCATCTGGACCATCATCATGATAGAATTGAAATGTAAGTTTCTGTTGATCATTACGAGTCCAGATTCCATATAGTAGAACATTCCGTGGAAAAATTCGTAATCGAAAGATTTCTTAGATATACTAGGTATATCAAACATAACCAGGTCAATTAAGCCAGGTGTAATCTTTTTGAAGAAAGTGCTATCGGCAAGTGGCCTGAAATGTGGAGCAGCACGATCTTTATAAAAGTAGGCTCCCAATTCCTTGTAATTCTTCAATTTGAAAAAGAAATCGGGATTTTGAACCATAACTGTGTCAGCATCCACCAACATGTATTCTTCAAAGGAATTAAAAAGAGCAGCAAGAAATTTATTTCCAAATCCGCCGAATTTACCCTTGTACTTGTCAGGAACTACATTGGCCACATTAACAAACCAAACTTCTTGTTTAGGGAGACCATGATCTTTAGGGTCCAAATAATCTGAAGGAAAGTATTTTTCGACGGTCTTAAAAGAATCTGGTAAAGATGAAAAGGCCTCTCTTGCAGCCTCGACAATTCTGTGCTTACTATCCTCAGAGAGTCCACCGTTATAAACAATCTGGATTGGATACTTGTTGTTGAGAGCTCTGAGCAACAATATTTGTCTGACTGTATCATCAACATGCTGGTCAGCAATGGACAAGACAATACCCTTACCGTTAAGGGAGTTCTTGAAATTGGAAACGAAACAATCGTTCTTCTTTCCTGTCAATTTAGAACGCACCTTTTTGCCCTTACCCTTCCCGTTGTGTGCTGCAACATTTGAAGGTTCGTGAACTACGGAGTCCTTGACGAACTTGGAAATCTTAGGTGGTGAATAAAAGACTTCTTTGGTCCACCTTTCGTATGTGGGGTATTGCATGGACAACCATGGGTAGAGCCTGCCTTCAATTTGTGAGCAGGTTCTAAAGGAATCTGTATTTAATCTTCTTTCAGCTTCACTTTGTGTGAATGGTGTCAAGATATTCTCACCATTTGCACCTGGAGAGGCCTCGGAAAGAGCCGAGATGAAAGATTGTTGCTTTTTTATGAATTTAGTTGTCAGATCGCTTTCTATTACGTTATCTCTCGTCACATAACATTTGTTGAAGATTCTTAAATGCGATACGTAGTCAACAACCTTTTGTTCCGTCCTTTGGGTCTTCCTCCAGAATTCCAAATACTTTTCCTTCATCTTATCCTCGAATTCCTGATCTTCCTTGACATCATCCTTCTCGATATCCTTGTCCTTGGCGATTTCCTCCTTTAATTCGCCTGTCTTCTTACGCTTGTAGTCGGCATATTTGAACTCGTCCCTGTTCTCCAAGGGTAAATGCTCATCTGGGTTTAAGTACCAATTGGTATCGGAGGTGTACAAGTTGGTGAAGTACAAGTCACATCTCTGCTCGAAACTCAAGTGCGCCAACACACTGTTCACGTCGTGATTGGCAAAGATTATGTCATATATAGACAGATGCGCCTCGATGTTTCTTATGTCTTTTGTATTACTCTGCTTTTGGAGCATCTGGAATGAAATATTGTTGGCTATGGTCTCTTTGGTCTTAGCGATCTTCTGCTGCTCCAACTCTGCTCTAGAGGGGCCACCTCCCACCGGATTCTTAGTGTCCTGACCCTCGTAGATTGAACCTTCAAGGTAGGCATTGGACCGATCGTAGTAATTATGGTAAAGTAGACTTGAGATGGCCAACCATATGACTACGAGTAAGAAGATGAGTGTCTTCCGTCTTGGACGCAGAAGAAATGCGACTATCTCCACTATCTTGGCCATCTGCGGTACGCTTAAGTGAAAAAGTGAGTAGACAAAGCCTTGAGGTGCGGACGAAGTGCTCAACAAGTAGAATGTCTAGATAACGAAAACCAAGAAAAAGAACAAGAAGAAACAAACAAGAAGGAAAACGTTAAGGAGAAAACACTAAACCGCTGGTGGGTCCTCAGTTATCACACGTCATTAATGAAAGGGAAAAAAAAAAAAATTAAGAACGATGCGAGGACTAAAAAATAATAACGAAAAAAATATCTAGTACGAAGAAAGGCGTCCCCAGGGAAGACATCAGAAGGATAATTTTAACTAAGGTTTCGAGGACAAAAGACAATGCCACGCAGGATGAAATGAAATGAGGTACGTTTGTTTTTCGTCCATTTCCGTGTGTGTATTACGTGTAAGCCAGATTCGTGCACGTATGGGTACCTCTCGATGGTCCCTGGCGTGCCTCTAACCACTCACTCCTCGCTCACTCAACTGAATTTCCTCTACATACACACATACATACATATCATGCAAGCTGGAACGCAACGTTTTAAATTCGTGCGTGCCTTTTAATAAATATGCACAGTAATATTTTCCAGTGAATGGGTCAAGTCAACACCTACACTTACACACCTACACCTATCCATACCTAACCCACAGTTTATAGCATGTACATTGGTGGTGACGAATGGGCGACAAAAAGAACCATCTTGCATGGAAATCTTAGATTCTTATTGTTATGCTTTCACAGCTGATACCTACACATTTTTACTGTGAATCTTTTTTATTTTCTTTCATTTACTTTTTTTTTTTTTTTTTTTCATTTTTCAAGTATTCTTGCTATTTTGGCAGTAGGCGGAATGTATCAAAGGACAAGATGTAGCTGTACCTGGCAGAATATCATGTAGCTCGAGGAAACAAAGAAGTAGAGTAGGCAATCGGAAATACAATGGGGCAAGGTCAGCAAATCGCCGATGACTACAAGGCTATCACTACATGGCTTGTACTGCTTTTTCCACATATGCAGTACTTTTGAAAAGTTTGACCCATAAAATCTAGCTGGCCTTCAAAGTTAAATTCTTAGCTAAGGCAGAACTACGTGCCTAAGAAGATTACGGCTACGTTCTGCTTACGGATTTTTCTTAGTTGAATAAGGATTACTCATGATGCACAGGGTAGCCCATTTCTCAAAATTTGGAACAAATAAGATGAATTTACGAAGTCAACCACTGTAGGTGTATGCAGGAAGGAATCTCGATTTCACTATGGCTTCATGGAAAATGCTGATATGGCACCTGAATGCTTCTTCGATGGAGCGCGCTTTATAAGGTCAACCAGGTCTTTCTTTACAGAACACATTCACACACACAGAGATATCTCTGCTGAACTTTGTATACTGAACACGTAGATTGTAGACCTTCTGGCTCTGCACAGTAGACGCTACTCACAGTGGATATGTTTTCTTTTTTTTTTTTTTTTTTTTTGTATATTCCGCACTAATCCCATCAGCCATACTTAAAACCTCAGTGTTGTGTGCTGTGCACTTTGCTATAGTAAACACTAGTACCCTTATCCCTTTTTCTTTTTCTCTACGCAGCATTCCTTATCTCAGATCTTACGGTAAGTAGAAAAGATATGGAATCAGTTGCTCGTTGTTGACACCATGCCAAATAACTGTGCTATTGTTCTAATTTCACAGTTCCGCCTTTGCTTGCTTTAATCAATTTTCCTTATCTCTGCACACGTGCACAGAAGCTTAAAAGAAGGCTCCGGACTTTGTCCGGAAAGTTAAAATCAACGAAATCATAGCCCCTACGCAAGGATAGATCAGATTTTGATAAGCTAAATTTGAATTAGAATATATAAGTGTATAAATAAATAAATAACTAACAATAACTGGGTATTAGCGAGTAAGCTAAACAGCTGTATGGGTGTGTAATAGTAAGCGAATAGATAAATAAAAAAAATTGCGTATTGGCAATGGGTTGGTTTGACTGGATGGTGGCCTGCGTGGGGCCCGGCAATTAAAAAAATAATTTAAGCAAGAGAGCAAGTATGCTTCTAGCAATAGCATGATGGGGGATCGGTCAATGTAGGCTAAGTATTCCGATAGTACTGATGCGCCCCTGTGCTAACTATTTTTCATTTTCTTGGGGGAGATTCTGTGTACAGCATGCAAGTAATGGATTAAATGAATGTAAAGAATTAAAAGAAAAAAACATGCAATTTAAATGAAAGATCAGAGACACCGTATGTCTCTCAATAAATGTAGGAAAATGGACTAGTCTTAATCGCTTTCCTTCTCTCTCTTCCCAATGAACTTACTTGTCCATTGGTAGTTTAGCTTCCAGTTACTTTGGACTTCTTTGAATTTGAAAATTGCGGCATTGCGCGAATTAATCTTATTCCCTACCGTGTAGCGTAAGGCCAATCTGTAGCAGTATGTAGCACATTCAAACAATGACAATGTGAAAAGCGGTGTGAGCAACAAGATCATCAAGTTACGACTGAACACCACAATAAACTGTTCCAAGCGTATGAGTTGGTCGATTTGGGTCTGACCAACATAGGAAATAGCTTCTATTAAAAGTGACATGCTTCGAAGTAAAGTGTGAAAAAATTTATGCGAGTGTGAATAATTTATTTTATGTGTGTAATCCTGTACCAGCAGTTTACTTTAAAATAATAATCCAAGAAGAGGCTGGTCTTGAATTAGCTTATGTGAATCTGAAGATCAATTTAATCTGTAGATCTTTATTCAAGGATATCGATATGTTTAAATATAACCACACAAATTTATTTTCTTTTCCGATGGCAGGGTTCAAGAAAAAGGAAAAAATAATAAAAAAAAAAAAAAAAGCTTCTTTCTAGCCTTGCCGAGGACTCTGTAGACGGATAACTGGAAGTATTCTTTCCAGTTGACAATTAGCGTGTAAACTAGTAACCTTATTCAAAAACAAAATTACCGAACCGAGAATTGGGTGATGGATAGGAAACACTTTAATATTCTCCCCAGATCTTATGCGGATATACTTGTTTATATATGGAAGAACAGGCAATGCTAATTAATTGAACCCCCTGAACTAAAACTTTTATTCCTTTTTTTTTTTTTATCTTCTTTTTAAAAGAAAGCGTAGGCGCCACTAAATTCCAATATGAAAAAATCTAAGGGAATCCTAAAGTAAAATTCTTGAAAAAGTTTAATTTAAACTTTCCGATCTGAGCCTTAAGGCGTACCTGCCAAAAACTAGAGTGCTTTGTTTCGAACCCGAGAGCTCTGCAAATACAGTTAGAAACGATCGAAACTAGAAGGGCTCGGAACGCATCAGTACTTAATTTAGCCCTAAATTTGATTTTAGCTTTTTGAGGGATCAAAACTGTGTGCGCGCACCAGGATGAGGGATTAGAGAAAAATTGATTGTGTGTGTACTGGAAGAGCAATTGTGTTTCTTTCTCTTGCAAAGGGCAGAGAGGCAGACAACCAGACGATTACATGTGGAGACAAGAAATATGAGTATGTACAGTGAAGAACCTTTGAATCACCTTATCTACATTACCTGACTTTAAAGAAGATAACATTCCAATTTAACTGAGTACATATACTAACCGATCCGGACAAGTTTGTTCTTCCTTGGACGAGGACACCAGATAGTTTTTATTTTTTTTTTTTTTTTTTTTTTGCTTTTTCTGTGCATTCAATGCAAAATACACCTAACTCGCCAAATTCTCCAGCAAGCATTCCTCACATGTATCCCAAGAATGTACTCCAGATATTGTGGTCTGATAAATATTTATGTGCGTAGGTTGCTTATCTTCATGGCGACACACCAGAGAATAGTTTAATTTGCGTGCGTATGGTTCGAATATGCCACATCTCTCCTATTGAACTCTCCTAACTATCAATACATGTGCACCTCGAACCGCACTAGGCATGGTATTCGCCTATGCAATTGATTGATTATGATTAACCTTTGTGGTCGGGAAAAGAAACCCAAGACTATGAACTCATAGCTTGTAGTCCGAAACTTAATAATAATAGAAGATGCGTTATTATATCACATCTTCGAGAATTTAGGGGTGAGCCCTTTGTTCCAAGATGTATGATATGTACGATTGCGATATTACAATTTTTCAAACTTTATTTCGTTAGACCCTGTCCCTTATCTAAACTTTAAACTATGTGAATATAAACCAAGTTCAATACATTATTTGTTGTTGAGCATTGCACCTTGTTACCCCTTTTGTCCGATAGCAGCGACATAGTAAGGTTGGTCTTAGCTGTATCAACGAAACCCCTTCCTCTAAACCCATTGAGTGAGTTATTATCGCAGTTGAATTTTAGTGGTATTACTTGATAAAGCAAGCATTCGCAATGTGGGGGAATAATGCACACATTGCAGCTTTACAATCTTTTTCAAGAGTTGCAGATTTAGGAAATCGATGCACCCAAAGTAGCCATGGCTTTACTCTTCCTAATAAACTTTTGCGTGTAGCTTCCTCTTTCTATCAGGTACGTCATAGATAAGAATCAAAGCTGAGTAAACTTAAAACCAGCTACAGCTGATACTTTTTATTGGGCTGAATGCATTTCAACTTAGCTAAACTGGCTCTTTGCCAAATTTGTTTATTATTGATTTACTGACACACCATCATTTTGAATCTCATTGTTTGATACAAGCTAAACAATGAAGTAAGATTATAAAACTAACTTGAAGGCTTTGCGCTTAAATGTATCTAAAGAGTAACTACAGTCTAAATGTTCAGACTTGCATAGAAAATGCGGTACATTAGTCGAATCTCTTTACTTTTCTGGTAAGGCAAGCTCCTCAAGCTGCCTGACTTCCAAAACGAACTCAAATTGTTCTGAATGCGATTGTTGCCCAGAATATACTCGATCTAGACTACATTCGGCGAATAAAGTCGGACATGTTTTAATCCTTGATGCGTGTACTTAATGTATTATGTTATATTGAATTGAATAATAAGTCATCTCTATATGTTTGTCATTGTTATTTCTTTTTGTTTAATTACTCTCTTGTAATAAACTGCGCATGGCTAATGACCCAGTTAATCTGGCTGGCGTGGAGCCAGTAAGATTATAATCAAATTGGGTAATTGAATTATCTCCATTTGGTTTTTCTCCATTAGACTTAGGTACTGCTCCATATCCACCACCACCTGGAGTGTTAATGATCACCCTATCACCTTTCGCAACCTGGACAGTACATTTACCTCCCAATGAGATATGTCTATATTCGTTAGGATTAGTCTCACTCTTTCTTAACCAATAGTTTAACCCTCTGGCACCATCTTCGCCTCCTAATAATCCATATGGGGCCAATGCTCTTCTTTCCATTAAACATGAAACTTGTAAGTTATCAAGAGTGAATTCCACATCTCTAATTACACCATCACCACCTTTAAACAATCCACTACCGCCAGAACCCTTTCTAATGGAATATTCATGGACGATAACTGGATATCTTTTCTCGAATACTTCAACATCAGTGATACGAGTGTTAGTGGTGTGACATTGCACTACACTCTGTCCATTCCATGTAGGCCCAGCACCTGAACCTCCACATATAGTTTCGTAATATCCAAAAGAAATATTTTTCTCCTTATCGTTAGTACCAAATGTAAAATTGTTACAAGTACCCTGAGAAGCAGCAGCAGCTTGAAATGCCTTAAGGATTACATCAACTATTCTTTGACTAGTCTCGACATTTCCTCCTACAACTGCTGCTTCGAAGGAAGGATCCACTATAGACCCATGCCTAGTGATGACATCAATTGGTCTAAGACATCCATTGTTTAATGGAATATCTGTACTAATCAATGACCTAAGAACGTATAAAACGGCAGAATTCAAAATGGCCTTCGGAGCGTTTAAGTTACCATATATTTCATCCCCGGATTTACTGAAATCGAAAACAGCATCGCCAGTTTCAGGGTCTATCTGAATTTCCAAGGCAATCGGAGTACCATCGTCCAAATAGTCGACAGCCTTCAAATTGTGACCCTGGAACTTCTTGTAAGCTTCTTTCAATAAATTTCTTACTGACAATTCAGCAGTAGATTGAATACCTTGCATGTAAAGGTTGATAATATCATAACTAAACTCATCAATCAATCTATTCAAAAGGGAGATACCTTTGTAATTTGCAGATACCTGGGCTTTCAAGTCCGATAAGTTATCATTGAGAGTTCTGGTACCTGAGCATCCTGGATACTTAGCTGGTTCATCTAACAACAATTTGGTAATACCTTCTTCGTCAAATTTCCCATTACTGCATAATTTGTGAGTTACAATAGCTGCTCCTTCTTCGAAAATTGTCTTAGAGTTTGCAGGCATACTACCAGCAGTAATAGAACCAATGTCAGCATGATGACCTCTTGAAGCAGTCCAAAAGATAGCTTCATTCGTCTCCGGATTTATAACTGGGGTAATCACTGTTATATCTGGTAAGTGACTTCCACCAGCACTTGGATGGTTACTAACCAATACATCCCCAGGTTTTAATTTACCTTCCCAAATCTTCATTTGTGCTTTAACAGCAAATGACATAGCTCCTAAGTGGATAGGGACATGTGGAGCATTGGCCACAAGATCACCATTACCATCGAAAACAGCACATGAGAAATCTAATCTCTCTTTAATATTGGTAGAAATAGATGTCTGTTGCAAAGTCTTACCCATTTGTTCAGCGATTGACATAAATCTATGACCAAAGACAGAAAGTTGAACAGGGTCAACAACTGTAGATGATAAAGAGTTCACTGTAGATGATTTACTAGTATGAATAACTTTAATGAGAATATGATTAGAAAGTACGATAGCTTCAGACATTGGTTCAACAAGAATAGTTTGGGTGTCATCAATAATAATAGATGGTCCTTCAATTCTATTACCCTTCAGTAAATCACCAATTTGATAAATTCCTGAATCTACCCAGCCAACTTTTTCAAAATAAATCTTTTGCGTACCTGAAGACACCTTGGAATCAACTTGAGTTAAGGTGCCTTCCAATTGATCATATTCCTCGTACGGGTTATGCACCGATTTATCTTTACTTTCAACTACCAACAAGACTTGAATATCGTCCACCAATACTTTCCTATCCATACTGAAGCCAAACTCAGCCTGATGTCTTTCAATAAATAGTTGGTCAGCATTATATTCATTTGCAGTTTTAGGGATTAATAAGTGAGTGTCAGATCCGTTGTACTTCATATTCAAGTATACTTCTAATCTGGTGGAGAATTGAGTCAAATTTTGATTTTCATACTCTTTGTATGCTTGAGAGACAAGATACTCTATCCTAGCATCCAATTGTTCGAAATTTGCTGATTCGAAGGTCATGGAAAGAGGTGACTGTTTTTCAATTACTATATCAGCCAAATAGATACCATAAGCAGATAACAAAGAGGAATACTTGTGAATAGCAACGTTCGTAATTCCCAAATTTCTAGCCAATGCAATGGAAAATTGACCACCGGACCCTCCAAAACATGCCAAGTTATGTTCAGAAGTGTTGAATCCTTTGGCCTCCGTGAGCGTTCTAATTGGTCTACACATTTGTTCAATGGCAACCTTCAAGAAACCAAGGGCAACTTCTTCAGCACTTAACTGATGAGATCCTCCGGTTTTCTTCGATTCATTAATTTCTTTGGTTAATTCCTCAAACTTCTGCTTGGTCAATTCCAAATCTAATCCCAAATCTTGGTTAGGACCAAAAATCTTTGGGAAATATTCAGGCAATAATCTACCAAGGTACAAATTGGCATCAGTAACAGTCAATGGGCCTCCCTTTCTATAACAAACAGGACCAGGGTCTGAACCTGCCAGCTCTGGACCGACAACAAACATCCCATTTTTCCAAAATAATATGGACCCACCCCCAGCGGCGACTGTTGAAATATCCAACTGAGGAGTTTGCAAATTAACTTCACTCACAACAGTCTCATAGATATGTTCCAAATTCCCATTATAACGAGAAACGTCAGTGGAAGTTCCACCAGCGTCAAATCCAATGGTGGCCAAGCCTGTTTTACTGTCGAAACAGGTTTCTCCAAACCCAACCATCCCCCCAGCTGGACCAGACAAGATTGCTTTTAAACCGGTGAATTTATACCATGGGCACAATCCACCATTACTCTGCATAAATAACAACTTGTTTCCGAAAGCTTCAAGTCCACCTTCAAACCCTGCACCAAAATTTTGAATATATTCACTTATCACTGGTGTTAAGTATGCATCGGCAACAGTGGATGATGTTCTGTTTACCATACCGATCATTGGTTGAAGCTCATGAGAAACAGACACCTGGAAACCTATCTCTTTGGCAATTTTAGAAATCTCCAATTCATGCTCTGGATACACATAAGAATGAAGAAGAGTAAGTGCAAGTGCCTTGATTGACCCTTCGTCATATAACTCTTGCAATTGTAACTTGATTTTAGTATAGTCTGGCTTTTTTATTACTCTGACCACATCTCCCGTAACACCAGTCGTAAGAGCTTCGTCAGCGTCAATTGACCAATCTAACTTATCACCACCACCCTCTGAAAATGATTCAATGGTAACTCTTTCATCCACCTCAATGACTTTCAGGTACAATTGCCCCAACTTTTTGGCCGTAAGGTCGAAAATGTTTGGTCTTGTCTGATTACCAATGGACAAGACGTCCTTGAAGCCCTTCGTGGTTATCAAACCGACAGATGCACCTTTTCTTTCCAAAAGGGCATTTGTGGCAACGGTTGTACCCATTCTAATGGATCCAATAGAGTCGAGGTTCAACTTAGCCAGCTTGGGAATTGTGACGCCACCAGCCTTCTCTAATACTCTTCTTATACCTTCAGTTGGGGCATCTTTATAGTTCTTAGGATCAACCGAGAGAAGTTTAAAGACGTAGTCATCTTGACCTGGAATTTTGGCGATAACATCGCAGAACGTTCCACCCCTATCTATGGCGATTTCAATAGCCATGTTTGTACTGTAACACAATTGGAAATTTGCTTCCTGGGTCTTCAAAAATATTGTTTCTTTCAAAAAGTAGGTAAGGTTCGATCACTTTTATACAACGGTCGGTAGATGATGTGGAAACCCCCACACCCATAACAACCTGATTACGTCTTACCGGAACTTTTCATCTCAAATGCCGCTCTCTACTGTGAGAAGAATTCGGACCCTGGTGTCGGTGAAAATGGCGAAAAGTGCCGAAGCGCTAAAAGTGCTGAAGGTAGTAGGAAATAGCAAGAGAGGTCCGGTATATAGAAGCTAGTCGAAATCGACCTACACATAAGAAAGGTCCTGTGTCTAGAGTAGAATGAGGCAGTATGGTTAGCACTGGTGTCCTGTACGTACGATGGGAGATCCTGTGTGTAGAGGAAATAGACCTGTATAGTTCTATTACCGAATGCAAGTTGGACTGCGCAAAGGCCGAAAATTTGAACTGTTTCGGTATTGCACATAATCCAACGAACAGTGTACCGGCATGTTCAAATTGTTACTTAGTGTACCGAGAAGGAAGTAGACACTTTTACAATAGGGCAAATCGTATCATTGTGGTAATCATCTTATCGTAATCTTGCGAGGTATTTACATTGAGAAAAAAAAAAAAAACGATGTTTTGCCAGAAAATAACCTAAAAATATATATATTTTAATCTATTTTGTATCTTGGACATCAAAACGAATTGTGCAGTTCAAGTGTGTCATATGACACACCAACAGTACATGCTTTGTATCGATGTGTCAATCCGTAGACGAGTAGACATTCTGGCTTTTATTCATTCTTGAAATCGTATTGTTACGTGCATCCTCTCTATGAAATACTGAGTATTCTTACCTAAAAAAGAAATCCAATAAGGCTTAGGTGAAATAGAGAAAAAGGTACATTTTCTAATGATGCTCAAAGCACTTGAAGGCAGATCATAAATGTGATGAGCAGACGAAAGGCTACGATAAGAATACCATACGATCGAGCTTAAGTTGCATATCCAATTTTGGAGCAGATTCGCATTGGAGTTGAGTTTGAAAACTTCTCTGCGGCACCCCCCCTTGTAGACCAATAGCGGTGCTTGTAAGTTGAAAGGTCCAGAAACATTTCAAAATAGATTGTCACTTCCTGTAGACTAATGAAAGAAAACTCTACGTTCCTCGGTATAAGTTCACATTTATTCACTGGCATGCATAACGGATTTATTCCCTCACTTGAAAACAAAACAGCTTGTCTAAGTAAGTCCCCCATGTGGGTGATGCTTCCTATTCAAGTTTGTACATGCATAATGCATACAAAAAATCATTATCAAAGAGGAAATTGTCAAATAAGGTCGTTCCTGGCGAACGAACTTAATTTTAAAAACCTTAATAATAATATCATAAGAGATCTAGTGGGGGTAGCGCAGAAAAGGTTCATTGCTTGCTAAGCTGGGAGTTTGAATTGCAAGCCTAATATTCCAATGGCTAGTAAGTTTTATTTTCCATATGTAAGTTTTTTTGTAAGTTTCTTCATAGAGCATGCAATGCAGTTAATGCAGTCGCAAGAAAATTAGCAGAATAGTTTAATATTCTATTGTCTTGATTAACCCGAATTTTGCACCTTATCGTCCTTTTAAATTACGAGAAACTGTCAATTCGAAGTATTTTGTATTGATCCCCCAAAATGTGTTAAAAACTAGATGTCTTCTTTCGCTTGCCTGTATTTCCCAGCTCCATCATCATCTCCTGAGGAGTTTTTGTTTTCGCAATGGGGGCTCCCGCATATACTCATCAGTTGGAAATGCATGTCATGTCAGAACAAAGAGATCAAGTTATCCTATCCCAAACGTGAAAATTACCACATTTGCATAATGTATTATACTGTCTCATCGGATTTTTCCAGCCTATGCATGAATATCAGAAGTCAGAATCAGTAAACTTCCTAGATTCGTCACCTAATCGAAAGTTTGTTTTAAGGGTGAAAGTACTTAGTGCAGGGTAGGAGACACCGACAAAAATAAGATTTGATTTGTGGTATACACGATAATACCTAAAAAAAAATAATTAAATTAATTATTAACAAAAAAAATAAAAAAAGAAAAGAAAATATATTTCTCCTAATGATAAGAAGCTTAAAATAATTCATACTATGTGGTATCTTTGAGCTATGAAATAATGTACTATTGTAGTTGACAGTAGTAAGTTGGATCGGATAAAGATTGGAAATAGTTGCTTCCATGTGAATTACAACCAAAGTCTATTTGTCATAATTACAGTATAGATTAGAGTTGAAGAAGCTTATCTTGAGCTTCTGGTGGTAAAAAATCTGCAAAAGAACCCAATTGAATTTAAGATAAGGTTTTCCTTTCTTTCCATTTTGTCAGTGACAATTATTTTTTTTGGTAATGTTTATGTGTTGAAGTAAAGCTAGAGAATTTCTGTAAGGTGCAACAAGGTAAATTAGCATGGGGGGAAAGCAAAAGTGAACAAAATGTGTATTGTCCATATGCAAGCTCAAATTATTTTTTACAATTTGTTGTCCAGAATTCTTCTTTTCGTGAGAAATAGAATTTTTTGGAGAACTCAAAATGGAATGAAATAAAATATGCATTTGCATTTTTCCATAATCCTTATTTCTTAATTTTGAGTGTAGTCTGAGCGAATGCCACCTATTCTCTTTGAATATACTCTCACACCTTTGGAACCTTCCGCCAATACTTCAAAAGTCGTAAGTACGCCTCCCTCCTGCCGTAGTATTCTGACTAAACTTTTCCCTGATTTTCGTCCTGATTTATAAATCCTTCTCTCGGAAACGAGCCCAGTTGGCGAGGTGCCTCCAAAATGGAATCTGTAAACGAATTATGCACGAAAGTACCTGCGGCCCGGAATCCCATGGCTGAGAGTTAAAAAATAAAGAAAGATGTAAAAAATAATTAAGGATACTGCATTTTTTGAACAAATGATTATCTTCGTGCATTAGGTTATCAGGATTGGATGAGCTGGAGAGTGTATATTATCTGAAACTGTACCTATCAATGAAGCTTAATCATAAGAAGATGAGTGGGCTAATGAAGTATATATAAAAAAGTTCCTAGCTACATTTACTTTTTTGTCTATTTCTTTTTTTACTTAAATTTTTTTTTTTTTTTCCCTTTAAGAAAGTCTAAGTACAATATATAGGTGTATTTTACGAATAAAATTACAGATATATTTGCTTACAGGACACCAATAAACCGAAATTCCTCAAAAAAATCCCCCAAAAATTACCCTCCCACTGGAAATGCCCAAGAGTAATACTAATTCACAAATTGCCAAGGCAAAATCATCCCGTCCCTATAAGTCAAGGTCCCAAAGGCCTTGCGACTTCTGTAGGAGAAGAAAAACTTGCTGTATAATAGAAGGTTCCGTACCATGCACTCCCTGTATCCAGTTCAACCAAAGTAAATGTACCTTTAATGAAGGCCCCATGAAGCGCAACAATAAGCAGGAGAAGTCCAATATTACCCCAGTGGCAGTCAATTCCGCTCCTTCTTCTGTTCCCGCTCCTTCTACTGCAGCTGTTGCTGCTACTCCTGCTGCAAATGCAGCTGCAACGACCGGAAGTCAAAAAGCTGTCAAGAAGCAGATAAAACCGATACTATCCAAGGCAGTATACACCTCAACAGCAGCAGCAGTTGCTACTCCTGCCTCGATAGGTTATACGAAAATAACCAAAAAACACATATCTCCTAAGCCCAGAAAGCAGACCACTCCGCAACTTAAATCACAAGCGTTTGCTTCAAATTCGGCACATTTTACTAGCACGATAGCATACCCACCTATTTTGAGTCATCAACCATCCATCATCACGCCTTCTACGACAAAGGAATCTCCTACAAATACAATACAACCATCAGCGACAGCAGCTCCTAGTTCGACAATGGGATCCTTCTCAAATAGTACTATTCAGTCGTTCAATCAACTTCCGAGTCCCATTTCTGTTGTCTCATTGGAAGCATTGGACCTCATTAATGATTACGCGGACTTTGAACCTCTCACGAATGAACTCTCGTCTTTGTTAACGTCAACAAGCACTGAAGATGAAGAAAAGAAGAAAAACCTTGCCAAGCTCAGTAAACTGTCCCATGCCATTTTTAACGTTATCACGAACTCTGAAACAACCCCCATTAATAAGCAATCTACCATAAACCCTATAAGAGAATTGGAATTACTGACAGATTCCTCAGATTACTCCTCTAATAATTTCTCTCCTTACAGAATGGAATCTCTCACTTCCGTTGATACTAATAGTTTGTACAATTACCAGGTCATACCGTCTCCATTGATGGTACAGCCAATGGATTTACAGACCAGATTTGATGATGAATACCTGAAGTTGCAGCCAGATCCTTTATTTGATGAGCATTTCCCAATGTTCCAGTTCTCCCCAGAAAGTGATGTATTTTAATGGTAGGACGATAAAGAAAATTACGAAAAAACACTCTCAACCTCCAGCGTAGATTGTTACGAAGATTAAAGATTTAAGATTAAAGATCAAAAAGAAGAAAACATAGAAAGTAAAATAGTAATACAGAACGAAAGAACATTGTATGCAAGAATTTGAATGTAGCTAGACGGCATTGTAATCACACCTCGTGTAAGTTTGCTACTGCTTTGTAGCTCATCATATTTCAACTTTGAAGTACGGTGGGACCAGGGCAGATGATCAGGCAGGCAGGCGCTTGCTACGACAAGAAAGCATAGGCAGTGGACAGTAGCGTGGTAATACAAAACAAAAGAAAACATTGTAAGCCTGCTATTGGCATATAGCTAAACGAATAATGTAAGCGAATGATCTAATCATGTCTTCCACAAGTCTGACACTGCTTTGCAGCTCATCGTCATCGCCATAGTTTGGCACGCTAGGACCGACAAGATGAGCAGGCAGACATTGAGCCGCTTGCTACAACAAAAAGACATACAAAGTACAATATCGACACAAAGTAAAAGAAGCCATTGCAATGCTGATATCAGAATACATCTCTTGCAAGTCGGCTACTACTTCAGCTCATCATCTTTGCAATTCTCTGGTACGGCAGGTCCTGGATAAACGATCAGCCAGGCATTGAGGTAGCTTGCTGTCGGGCTTCTTATCTGAAGCTTAATTATAAGCAAATATGCACAATGTAATGCAGGCTGCATATAGCACGACTTTAAGCTTATTTAAGGTGCGCTGCATCCTTTGAAAGTCTAATGGGGAGGTTTAGCCTGGTGACATTCTTCTAACAAAGCCTAGGGTTCACAATCATTGTCATAGCAAAAGATATGTAAGGGGTTTATGGGGGCATATGGTGGCTCTGTAATAAGACTGGGAAGTTCTCCACACCGGGGTTCCATTTGAACCATAATCCATCCACCACTTGACACTAGGCGATTCTTTTTTAGGTGCTTAATCTTTTCTTTTTTTTTTTTTTTTTTTTTTTTTTTCACACATTTGCTTGCCAGTAGTACCCCAGAGTCGTTGCGGTGGGTGTTGGGTTGCGGAGATCAGACCACAATGTATCATACTACTAGTTGCTCCCCTTCCTTCATCTGAACTAATGCAGGAGATCCAAACCTTAAATGTGCAGTGCAATAAACGGTGTGTCACAAACACTTTTTATTTCTTTGTTGTGAGAGCAATTCAATATCATATTTCTAACGGTTGTCGACACTTGATCAAATAGCATATATACTTTCCTACTTCTGCTAGTTCTATTATTCTTTACATCGATACCAATTAATACTGTAGATCGTATTACATTTTGAGGAATCCTTGACCAACATTAACTTCTATTGAAAGCTAGTGTCATTTTAGAGAGTTTCAGGATGACTAGAAGATTCTCGCTCGCGATAGAAGACTTGAAGAGCGTGGGGGAAGAGAGAGGTAGAGGTGGTGCATGTTCCCAAAATCATATTGGAAGTGGAACCCAACCTTTGAGTGGCTTTTTGATATCAAATGAACCAAGTAAGCCTTGCCCTCCGGTACGTTCCTCATCGCTCTCTGAGCTCGATAATGCTCACAATAGCACTCACAGAAGGTTTTCAGTGTGCGATTTGAATACTATAGAAAGAGCAACACAGAATTATGTACCAAGATCGCACGGATCTTCGCCCTACGGAAAGACGCAGGAAGACTATTTCCAACCACAAGGAGAAGAAGTTCGCGATGACCAGGAAGACGACAAATGGGCGTCAATGGACTCATACAAGAAGTCAAAACTTAACTCAGGCTGTGGAAAGAACCATCACCGGAGAAACTCAACCGCCATAAAATTTGAGTGTCCAAGAGCTTACCCGATGGTAAATTCCAATCATTCCAATAACTCTATCAACTCTGCATCTTCTCGTACATCAGTCCCCCAGCCTACTTTATATAACTAGTCCTATCAGGTATAGGAATGAATCATGACTTATGTGTGTATATAGTAAAATAAATGAAAAATAAAAATCTATAGTAGCAGTAAACTTACCACTGAAACAGGCATATCATGTAGTGTATCTTTTAATCAGTTCCAAAGTAAAGCGAATCGATGTATCTATTCGAAAACACCCAGTCTGTGTCTTTGAAACCCTCTAAATTATAACCGTCAATCTTATCAACAACCTCACCACGGACCAATCCTTCTTCTTGACTGGAATTCATGCTACTAACCTTTCCTAAAACAAGTTTAACATCAGGAAATGCATGTATAATACGGCGAATACCAATCTCTGTAGACAAGTATGAGCACAAAATAATATCCTTAACACTGATCCCATAGTCTACTAAAACCTGGATGGCCATGATCGAAGCAGCCCCGGATATGATTTGGGCATCGAAGAGGAAAATCTTTCTTCCAGTTTTCAGAACATTCTTTATTGATTTAGGTAACAGTTCGGTATGCAACTGTGGTTCACCGGTCATCGAATCTGACTGGATCAATAGCTTTCCAATAGCAATTTCTGGGAATGTCTTCTTCACAGACGACATGAAACAATCTCCTGATCTAATGATGTTCACTGCAATAATTTCATCCTTCAGCTTCATTCCGTTGTAAGTATAGTTTCCATATGTAGATATAGGTATATTTTCTTCGAACTCTGTCAAAAACTCAAGAGCATGTTCAATAATTTTAAACGCAATGATATCAAAATAAAAGATGAAATCTGTCCTGTCAGTGTCCTTGCTGAGTAAAATCAGATTTACACCATTGGTATGGTTTGTGCTTGGTAAGATCTTGATATTCTCCTTTTTGGATAAATTCAAGTCATGAGTTAACCCCAATCTTTGCAAATGCTCCAAATGTAATTCACTCTTCAATGATAACTGGTTCTGGATATGCTTAATCATCATGTTGATCCCAACGATATTGTCCATGCCTCTGGGTATGACCAAATCTGCATTATTCATAGTGTGCATGACATAGCGGACCGCATTAGGCTTTACGAATTTTTCCCATTGCTTGATGGCGCCCATCAACTCTCTTCCTCTATCCAAGATGTCTCTCGAAAGTCTTCTCCCAAGGCAAATGTCCAAGTCCGTATCGACAAAGATCTTGACATCCATCATATCTAAAAGCCTTTGATCATATAGGGCATAAATTCCTTCAATTATTATGACGTTGGCTCCATAAATGGTGGATGACTTTCCGGTTCTATTGTGATCTACGAATGAGTAATTGGGGATCTCAGTCTTGTTACCAGCCTTCAACGAGCTGACACATTCACACAACAAGTCAAAATCTAAGGAGGCAGGCTCATCGAAATCGAACTCACAATCGAATGCTTGTTGGCGCTGCTCCTTATTTAGCGGGTTATAAAAGTTATCAAACGACAATAATATGGTCCAAGGCTGATTTAACTCTTGAATGATTCTTTGCGATATGGATGTCTTTCCAGATCCCGAGTATCCAGCTACACCAATGATGTATGGTGTAGTCCAAGGAGGTGTATAAGAAGGGATATCTGCATTGGTTGCTACCAGATTACTACGAGTCAATTTACTAGAGTCATTGAGCGATAATGAAGAAGCTAAATGAATGTTATCACGGGACTGTATACCAGACCCAGAGAAGGAAGGCACTGGTGATGGAGAGAAGAACGAAGTATTCTCATCGTCTGGATGTATTCTGTGACCTTTATGGGTGACCATTTCGGGACAACGTTAATAAGCTTGAACTTACCGAGGGTAATGTATTGCTTGGTATAGAAGCAGAACAAAAGAACAAAAGTACAATAGAAGAAAGGTCAAGTAAAGAATCCGTGCAAATGTTCCCGATGCATAGGCAAGATCATACGGCGATTACATAGAGAAAAAAAGGATGGGGTGTGACTTGTCACGTGCAGATCTCATCGCTTTTGGTATACTTGGTATGGCTTCGGTTGTTTAATATGTACATATATGTATAAGTATATACCTGTATCATTGTTCAAGGAAAAACCTCGCGCGTTACCATTTATCTGCTCTGTCTGCTAATATAGGACAAAGCTTGCTCAATTCGTGGTGGACTTCTGATGTATACTTTCCTCATCGCAAAGCATCAAACTATTTTTGTGATACATATCGAACTCTAAGAGAAGAGATTCAGTACCTTCAGAGCTACGCTAAAAAGGTTTCATTCTTGCTACCAAGATGTCGGTTCTAAGTGGGCAAGGCAGACACTTCAAGAAAAAGGCGAACCAATGGGAATCTGACTCAGAAAGTGAAGAAAACCTCCAAGTAAGTGTTCCCGACGATGGTTCTCCAAACGGAACCTCAGAACCAGAACCTGTTGCAGAAGAACTCAACAACACCGATTTCAATGAGTTAAGAAATATATCTAGAAATAAGTACTTAGAGCAAAGACAGCAGCTGAAAATAATAGAACTAGGCCAAGAAATAAGAGAAATTGAGGCTAAGGTCGAAAGTTATGGAATCAACCTGTTATCGAAATACGAACAGAACGAGTTGACCAGAAAGAGAAAAATTTACAGCTTGGTAAACGAGAGGGAGAAGTTGAAAAGTGATGTAGAAAGCGTAGAGTACCAGTTGCCGGAGTCCGGTATGGAGAAAAAGAGAAAATTAGAAATCCTTCACAAGAAATCAGACGTTGAAAAGGATGATAAACCAATCAGAAGAGGTAAGGGTCCAGGTGACCCAGTATTACCAAAAAGGAATAAGTTTGAAAATCAATGGGAGGAGGAACAGTTTAAAAGAGCTCAAGTTGTAGTAACTAAAAACGGCCCAGACGAAATCGATCTCCCTGACCAAAATAAGTACGAGTATGTTTTCGATGAATCACAATTTGTACAATTCAATGTGGACGATGAGACGGTGCTACAAGGCGATAAAAATAACTACGCTCAACAGCAGGCAGTCACTGATACTGTAATACGTACGGGAAGGGAAAAAATGTCAGCTATACGACAATCTTTACCGGTGTTCCAGTATCGTGAAAAGTTCCTCGACCTAATTGAAGCTAATCAAATTCTCATCGTTGTTGGGGAAACTGGTTCAGGTAAAACCACCCAACTCCCCCAATACCTTAACGAGGCTGGCTATTCGAAGAAGGGAACCAAAATGATTGGCTGTACACAACCAAGAAGAGTTGCAGCGACATCCGTGGCAACTCGTGTGGCAGAGGAAATGGGAGTGAAGCTTGGAGAGGAAGTTGGTTATAACATTCGTTTTGAAGATGTTAGTGATCCGCAAAAGACAGTTGTCAAATACTTGACAGATGGTATGCTTTTAAGAGAGTTTTTAACAGATCCTGAACTTTCTAGTTACGGTGCCCTCATGATCGATGAAGCTCATGAGAGGACTGTTTCGACTGAAATAATATTAAGTTTATTGAAAGACATTTTAGAAATTAGGAAAGACTTGAAGTTGATCGTTGCTTCTGCTACAATCAATGCCCAAAAATTTTCAGACTTTTTTGATGGAGCTCCTATCTTCCAAATCCCTGGAAGAAGGTTTCCAGTGGATATCCATTACACTAAAAACCCAGAGGCGAACTACATTCAGGCTGCAATAACCACAGTTTTCCAAATTCACACAACTCAACCTAAGCTTGAGAAAGAAGAAGGTGGTGATATCTTAATCTTCCTCACTGGCCAAGATGAAATTGAAACGATGCAAGAATCTCTTGAAGAAGCAGCTTCCAAGCTTGAGGTTAAAGATCAATTAATGATTTGTCCCATTTATGCAAATTTACCTCCCGATCAACAGCAAAAAATCTTTGAACCCACTCCTCCAAAATGTCGTAAAATTGTACTTGCTACAAATATTGCAGAGACTTCGATTACAATAGATGGAGTTTCGTACGTCATTGATCCTGGTTATGTAAAGGAGAATGTGTTTAATCCAATTTCTGGTATGGAGAGTTTAGTAGTAGTTCCGTGCTCTAAAGCTTCTGCGGACCAAAGAGCTGGAAGAGCGGGCCGTGTTGGGCCTGGAAAATGTTTCAGATTGTACACCAAATGGTCATTCTATAATGAATTACAAGCAAATCCGACCCCAGAAATATTGAGAGTGAAGCTCACTTCTATTGTTCTTCTTTTATTGTCGATTGGTGTCACAGATTTGATTGGATTTCAGTTCATGGACCCACCAAGCCCTGAAACTTTGATGAAGTCATTTGAGCTTTTATACGCCCTAGGAGCATTAAACTCTCAAGGGGGATTGACTAAAATAGGAAGGATGATGATTGAATTTCCAATAGATGTCATGTTCGCAAAGGCATTAATTAGTTCCACCAAATTTGGTATTAGCTCAGAAATCCTCTCAATAATTTCAATGTTAAGTGAAAGTTCCAACCTTTTTTATAGGCCAAAGGACAAAAGAGAAGCTGCTGACAAGAGGAAAGAAAAATTTCACCGAGAAGAAGGTGACCACTTCATGCTTTTAGATATTTGGAATGAATGGGTTGACGTTGGGTATTCCAACCAATGGTGTCAAGATAACTTTTTGCAGTACAAGACACTTAAGAGAGTGAAAGATGTTAGAGAACAACTCAAAAGACAATGCATCAGAGCAGGTATTAGTGATGAGACCACCGAAGTATCCAAAATGCTGAAAAAGAACAACAAAATCATACAGATTCAAAAGGCTCTCACGTCTGGGTTCTTTCCGAATGTCGCCAGATTATCAAAGATGGGAGACTCCTACAGAACATTGAAGAAAAATCAAGTCATCTACATCCATCCATCTTCATCTTTGTTTCTGCAGAAACCACCTCCAAAATTATTACTTTACCATGAGCTAGTACTTACCAGTAAAGAATTCATGAGAAACTGTATGACTATTGATGTTTCTTGGCTAGGTGAACTTGCTCCTCATTATTATAATGAAAAGGAACTCGATGGAACAGGAAAAGTTAAATAGTTTTCACAAGTCAATATGTTTTTTATTTTTGTATATTATATTAATTCCAAAGCACGATGGTCTATTAAAATATGTATTAGGATCCAAACAGGTACATGAATCCGTATGAAGTAAAGTGTTTTGTTTTCCAATAGTAATTATTCACTCTTCATGTTTTAATGCTTTTCATTCTTTGCAGCAGCTTCTTTGGCGGCTGCTGCTGCCTTTCTCTTACCCATAGTCTTACCGAAGACGACAATCGTACCTAAAAAGACAAATATGCCCAAAATAGCCCAGGCGAAAAGAATTCCGTAATTTCTTCCTAACTGTCCTTTGTAAGTGTTGCAAAAAATAACCTTGGTTATTTCATAGGAGTTATGCAATGGTAAACCATACCCATATCTAAAGACCTTTGGAGAAAGGGCCAATGGTGCAAAAGTTGGAGCAATGTTTACAATAACCCAGAATAATAACCAGAAACCCATCAATGGTGGATAGAACAATATGCACCACATAGCAACAATTTCATTAACAGAACCGACGACCCACATAGTTAACCACGAAGTCATCCAGTAAACAAGGAAGCCCGATTTACCAAAAGCAACAGTGAAATCCACTTGCATACCCAACGTGACAAACGAGTACATCAAGCTTAGCCACAAGTAGGAGGTCATTGAGGCTAATAATCTATAAAGTAAGTAATGGTGGTTCTTGATACCATACATCTTAACTCTTTGGTGGATTTCCAGGAAGAAATTGACATTGAAAAAGGTCAAGATAATCATATAAATCAAACCAACTTGACTTGGTGCAATAAGAACCAAGTCTGTGACTGGAATCCTATCAATATACTCGAAACTCAAAGGATTAGTCAATAAATTGAGTGCATCACTTGAGTCGAAAAGAGCAGATCTCTCTGAATCCGATAAGGAGTTTGCCAAGTTAGTGGTAACATTTTTCAGGTCACTCAACCATAAATCTTCTGCAATATACAAACCTGGTACCACATATGCTGGCATAGCAACCATATCACGACCAGTTTCGTAGATAGCAGTAATGGTGTTGTTAGTGGAGGTATATGAGCCATTTGCAGTTCTTAAAGCTTCTAACAAGTTTCCGGTAGCATTAGCATTAACGTGAATCGCAGCCCAATACTTTTGATGGTGAACTTCTCTGATAACTTCATCCCTTATAGTGTTGTTGTGCTTTTGTGCCTTCTCGAGGAATGTAGTGTAGTTAAAAACATTCCATTTACCATAAAATTCGGCTTCTGGAGTTTGAAGTGTTTTAATTAAGGCATCACCAACAGTATCATAACCTGACAACCCAGTATCTTCGTCAATAACGACTAAGAATTCCAAGTTTCTGAATCTCAAGTCACGCTTGTAACATGACCCCCAATAGATAGAGAAAATGGTCAAGACGAAAAATCCCATAATCAAATAGATTTTACCAAAATCCAAGGCAAGTTTAGTTCTCTCACCTTGCAATTTGGAGCTGAAGAATGATAACTGCGTCTGGATTCTTTGAAGTCTCGACTGCGTTCTAATTGGGGTATTCTCTTCATCAACAGCATTCCCAGCATTATATTGCTGGATTAACTCTTCTTCGTTAGCATCCTCAGCCTCATCATCTAAACTCGAAGGAGACTCTTCCACCTTATCGATCCCCTCTTCATCAGCCGCGTGGTAAACTACGACCGGGTCCGCATTTTCAGCGTCAATTTCCGCCTGGCTAAAGCTTCTGCGAGCGTGGGACATTTGATACAAAAATATTCAACTATTATGTATGCGTTGCAAGAGTAAATGGCTCCTCTTGAAAAAAAGTCCTATCAAGTACTACTATTGCTCAGCCGTGTTAACCAATCCTGAAAAATATAGCAACAAAACTAAAATATGTGGTCTTTCTTGAAAAGTCGTCTGCGAATTTACAGCTCTGAGGACTAATACAAGAAGCAATGAATTCTGTATTCACCAGAAACTTCCTTCTCCAACATTCTGGAATTCAGATGTATTTATACAAGGTACATCATTCAAAACTATCTTCATCTTAACATTCCTAATCGGGAATAATTTCCGCGCTCGCGGGAATAAGAGCTTCCATCGCCAAAGAAATACACTTTGGGCTTACAAATTCGCACATAAGCAGGCTTGAAATTAGTTGAAGCTCAGTATGGAGTAGCCGTTTATCCGTAAGAAACCTAGTCAATCTCTGCTTACAAACACATGGATCATGGAAAGTGACAGGGAATCTTACTAATTGTCTCGGACGAGCGACGATGACTGCAGGTTATTATTTTGTTTCTTGCTTACCAGTCGAGTCACCATGTTCTTTGTTTGAGGCATCTTGACGATGATTTCCCCAGACCAAATACAGCAGCACCTAGAGAAGCCAGTAGGGGTAGTAATTTTTTTTTTTTTTTTTTTTTTTTTTTTTTAATTTTTAATTGTTTAAAATACACTATTTCATTTATTTTTTTAGGAATATTTTAAAAATAAAAAGATGTACCCGTTAAAGCCGACCAAACAAGCCCCACGTCCA